TTGCTAATGATTTTGGGAAGAATGGATTTAGAACTTTGTTTTCTGACTATTTTATTTTGACACACCATTTTCCATATACCTTTCCTTGCATTCTAAAATTTTAAACGGACTATTGTTGAATAATAGAGATACAAAAAAGGTGTGGGAAAAGAACCTGTAGAACGATGTATTTTGAATAGCGAATAACTTAAACATGCTCATATTCATAAATCTACTTTCTAATAAGCATAAAAGCCTATTTGACTTTCTCTCTCTTTTTTTTTATTTGTTTTCATTTCTCTTGATATGATTGTGCCACAAAAAGGTGTTTCACGGTTTATTGGCTGTGTGAGGATAGGAATATGGATATGTAATGCTAATGCGCAACGGCGATGTAAAAATTGGAAATGGTATATGTTTAAGACTAGTGATTTAAGTGTGATAAGATATTGTTCAGTGAATGACACAGTTATACTCGGACAAAAAAAGATATATCTATACCAGTGCTCCTGACAGGATTCCACGATGTACAATTATTTCGCTTAAAGTGTTGCAGAGTACTTTACAAACTCATGACCAAAGCCGATCAGCAGCTGTGTCTTTTAAGAGCTAGATATCAAAGGGCCTTTAATTAGGAAAGAGTTCTGCTTAAACTGCGAATTTGACCCCTCCCATTGACAGGCCTCTCTCTCACCCCTCCTTTGTCATTGTGCTCAGCGCCAAATTCCTTCAAAGGCAACTACTTATATCAGAAAACGATAAAATGGAAGTCAATTTTCGTGTTTGGTTTTAATCTAACTCAAAACAATTAATCAAACTATAAATGAAGCCCATATATCCTTCCCCCCTTCCCCCCGACGATAAAACTAGGGACAAGCAATTAGAATACTGTTCTCCTGAATGGTTTCAAATCATTTTATTTTAGAATATTCCACAGTACTTTTACGATCACTGAAAAAGGAATGAATGAATAGTAGGTACTACTTCTGGACTCGCGTCGCAATATAATGGCGTCTTTTCACAGTTTATCCACAAGCCAAGCGAGTGGGCGTTTCATCTCAGTACATCCACTCGTTAGCCTCCAGTTTCGGGTCTTTTCTCTACCAAAAGAGACAAAAATGATTATAATTCGTCAGTGACAAATCAACCGATCACCAGAAATAAACCTTACAATGGGTCAAGTCGTTTCCCCGCTCTACAATTACCGATTTTTGATCATATTGCATCTTTTAGTCGAGTGTAGCATGACACACTGACAGTTTGTACATTCCAAGACAAACAAAGCTTACTTTTGGAATGTTTTCCTGGGGACAATAAAATCCAAATTATAAATTCTATTTCATTTAACCAGCAGAATGCTTCCCGTTTACTGCTAAGTAAGCTCGCTCACGACTAACCTCTTTTTGACGAACCTCTCTTCCGACTGGGCTGGTTCTATCATAGCTGTCCGTTGGCTTAATAATTTCCTCTCCTGGATCTTGGTGCTGCAAGAAATCAAGTAAGAACTTCACTTTCACAAACTTTCACAATAGTCAACCTCTCTGAACTCAGTAAAAGTCACATACCTGAACGATTCTTTCAAGGAGAAAGCGCCGTTTGCCCACTGGTCTCGACAGCGCACCAAAAGCTTCTGCTTGATTATTCAGAAGCAGCAAATAAAAAATAGAAGAGACGAGTATGATCCACCTTGTGTTCATGTCTGCTTCTCTTCAGTTCACCCAGTCGTGATGAGAATGATTAACCTGTTATTCTGATATGTTTTTATAGGCTACTCTGACAGGTGAATCCAATTCTAACTATTGTCCGCCGGCAGTTCAAAAGCATCGCGTGGATATAAAATTTACAAAACGTCGATCATACTGATCGACTTAAATTGTTCCCACGAGGAAGCTTCAAAAGCTTTAATGAGTAGATGTAAATACATATTATCTACGTCTTATTAGGAGGATTCAGTCAACTGCTTGGGATCATCAACATTACAGCTGTTTCTTATGTACTGGTTAACGGGAAGTTTGTGAGTCAGTTAAATTGAAATGATGGTAAGTTGTAGCCGCAACAGAACACGAAAATCAAAATGCAATTCTTTGGCTCCCCACTAACTGTTGATTGAAAAAAAAGTCTCACGTCAATAAATTTTCAAATGTGTTTATAAAAATGAGCCCGTAAGACCACATCAGATGGTCATGGAATTTGCTAATGACACATAAACGATGAAATATGGTGAGGATTGTGAGGGAAGGTGCGAAAGAAAGGGAAAAACGGTTTCATTTAAAAGGGTTTGCCATAGAAAGGAGCACGCTTTCAAAATTCCAGCGAGATACGATTACAACTTACACCGGAAAATTTGTGGAAGAAATGCATATGATGATAGTAATTACCGAAAGATAATAAAAGCTGATGAAGGTGAAGCTTACGCTGATCGATCTCTAAAATCTGGATTTTTCAGCTGCTTTTGATTTAACATGCGTTATGCAAACCAGGTTATCATCAGAGTCGTCGATTAATTGTCTCGACGTTTTTGGGGTTAACTCCCAAACTGTGTCGAATTAAGACCCAAGCGAGTTTAGAAACCAGGGACCTGTTTCTCGAAAGTCCTTGTAGATTCAGATTCACAAAGCTTACTTTAATGGCCGTGTTTACATTCAAGATAGAAAACTCAAAAGTACGAGTAGATTAAACAGTTTTTTTTGTCTTTGAGCCAAGACCCAAAATACTATTCCTCAATTTGAGAACCTTAAATTATGACTTTGGATCTGTGAAGTTAACTGGATTTTCAACAAACATGCCCCAGAGAATAACTACGACAGTTGCAGTGAGATTGGGTCTCCAATAGTTCCAGGTGTATGAGTTAATGGATGATGACGGCGATTATTAGCTCAAAGAATTCACAGTCCGATAAGCTGACACACTTCAACGCACCATAATTCATAGCGGAGCTCGCAGGGCGTTTCCCATAATTATACAAAATAGAAGTAACCCATCAAGCCGAAAAACTTTGGATGTACGACCGTACGACCGTACAAGGTGCTACTTTTAACATGCGTGGTCAACTGTACCGCGGGCACGCCAACGCCACGGCTTTGTCCAGTGGTCAGTGCACTGGGCTCCGAGTCGGACGACCCGGGTTCCAGTCCTGGCCGAGGCAAGGCGTTGTGCCCTTGAGACGTGCGGGAAAAAAAATGCGAGCTCCGCTTTTAGGCTTGGCTAAATCTATATAATACCTTTATTGTATGGTAATATCAAAGTGAAATCGAAATGGTGCGTGATAAATTAACTTTTTGTCAAAAAACTACAATGACATGAATCATGATTAAAATCTCTCTAATTGATTTTGGGAAGAATACCTTTAGAATTTGTTTTCGCACGTTATTATTTCGCCACCCCATTTACATTCCCATTCCTTGCTTAATAACATTACGGAGTCTTTTAACATACAATGCTGCAGGCAGTCGTTGTATGTAGGTAACTCCTCGCTATATTTGGGCACAACAATAATTAAAAGTTAGAGTCGTATTTCCGATCCTTAAATATTTAATGACTTAATTAATTAATTAACTCAGTTGAAGTAGATAGCGTGGCTGTACGCATTGTTATTTTAGAGTAGTACTTTAAATGTTTTGGTGGAAAATACCGTTAATCAACTCTTTCGAGGCACTTCCAAACTACACATTTTATCCAGCCTTTTTTATACACATATTTAAATTTTAAAAACATGTCTTTGTTATATTTTTCTCTCCCGTGACTGATTGTAATTCAAAACAGCTTATAGTCTATACCAACAAATTTTATAGTGTAATTAGGGAATGTTATTTGTTACTCCATGTACATCGATGTAGACAGACACAAACAAATAAGTCTCCAAAGCGGAATAAAACTAGCGCATAAAGAGTCAATTAAAAGAGCCTTGCGTTACATATCGTGAGCAAAAAAGGTATCTTTTGACAAAAAATTTGTGTTTAAAACTTAAGGTTCTTCTGACTTAATTGGTCCGTTTTAGAATCGTTTTTATTATGGAGTCCCATCCCAATAATGCATTAAGCCTTAGAAAGCCACTGAGATACTGGGCACACTTTCATTGGTCGATAGTCAGTGTGTTTTGACGAGAGTATGTCAACACCTACGAGGCTTCATGGATTGGTATTTTTTGCGAAATATGTTTAACAGAATGCAGCGGAAGACTTTCTCTATTTAATTACGGAGCCTCATGTAAACATTAGGTTTGGTGGGGTGGGGGGTGAGCAGGGCTTCGGAGGGGAGGGTCATTAATACATTTTTTACAAATTGGGAAGGGTCAAACCTGTTTTATTCGCAATCGGGGGAGGGTCACAGTTTTTTTTTGGCAAGGAAGAAATTACTCCACGTCGCTTAGTTGACTCTTATTTGTTAACAAACACGCGAAGTGTATAGAAACCTAAAACCTGTATATACAAGCAAAGCTACCAGTCAAGATTAATCTAAATTATTTACAGATGACGAATTATTATATCAAAAAGCTATCTTCTCCCCACTTACATAATCGTCTCTCTCGACCCGTTCTCGCTTTCGTCCATATTTTGACGGCGGTATAATGCTCCCGCGCGGGGTTCTGGTATAAAATCAGTCTCCGGTGACGACTCGTCACTTACGCTACTCGGGCTTGAACCAACAACTCGATCTACTACATCACTTTGCGAGTCAGTTTCTACCTCAGAAACTGCGGTCACATGTTGCTGCACATTTCTTAGCGAGGGCTACCGAGGTTGTTGGCACTGCCAATGTGCCCTTTGATCATTGCGACCTTTTCAGCTTTCTTCTCTTTGAAGGTGACCTTGTAATGGGAAAAGTACAAGGATAGCTTGTCCACCCTCAAGGACGACAGCTCATCGGAGTTGTACAGTCCAACCCAGTCAATGTCATTGTACTGCCGGTTCAACCGTTCTATTCGCTCTGTTCCAGTCTCCTCTTTCTTCTACTCCTTGCGCATTTTTATCTGGGCAAGGTGCCGAACATACTCTGCCACAAGCTTTACGGGGACAATGTATTTATCTGAAAACTTTAGCCTCACTGTCCCCACTGACTAGTTCACTTTCCTCAAACAATCGCTTAATCTGAGCTCGAGGCTGGAAGTTGTCCGGCTTACGGCCATTGGTGGGGGCTGCACTCCAAGAGAGATGGTGGAAGTTTGGTAGCTTGCCATAGTCGGGATGTGGTCGTCGAGTTGGAAGTGGAGCGCTGGTAGTCTCATCCTTCTCGCAAAATTTACATAGTTGCATTGGCCATTTCGCTCTCGAAACGACATTCGCCTATACTCCATATAGAGCTCCATGAATCTCCCGGCAGCCGCTGGATTATCAGAAGTCACAAAAGCCAACTTTTGATTCATTATTTTCAAAGCCTCGCGAACTTCCCACTGGCGCTTTCTTTCACTCACGAAACAGCGGCGAAAGCGTTCCTTGTAGGGAAAAGTGGTCCAAAAGGACAGCTAGAATTTTCAGAATACTATTTGAGTATTATTCGCCCTTTGGGTTCGCGAACCACCCCCAGGTCTTCATTTCTACACTTCCCTGGACTTGCACTTTCGCTTGTTCCCGCATCCGATGTGCCACCAACAGAGTCAGAATAGTAGCGGGCATCCTTTTTAGAATGACGAGTCGGTAAACAGCCACAATAGCCACAAGTTGCTCCATCTGACCTCATGAAATCCTCGCATTCACCACAAGCACATTTTTCTCTTTCTATTCCTCGTACATCCTCGCCCATTTTCAAGTTTTCATCGTGCAATCATACGCCACGCAATTAACTGCTTTGTGCGCAGACGCAGTTACGTGAGTTACACTTCCGGTTAGCTACTTACACTTCCGGTTATTTTTGTCATGGAGGAGGTGGGGGGGAGGTTCAGATGTTTTTGTGTAGGTATTTGTGAAGGGTCATGCGTTAATCCATGCAGGGAAGTGGGAGGGCCACGACTTTTTTCGCAAAAAATTTCTAAAAACCCCGACCCACCACCCCCCCCCAATAAAAAACGTACCTTCCCTTAGTTTGTTTTCAGTTGTCGTTTAGGTGGAACTAAAATTTGAAAAGTACTCACTGACATGCGACAAGACGATAATAAAAAGTTTTGCAGTGATAACTTATAATGCCTTACTAACAATTTCTCGCGCGTCTTTAGGGAACTTTCGCCACTATTTCAGTTGCAGTAGCCCGGATGTAGTTATTAAGATTTTAAATTTAGGATGTGCAACCAGCCAGACGCCCCTTGTGGAAATCACCTTAATTGACAAAGCAGAGTGTAAAGTATTTTATTATTCACTTTATAGACCGAGTATGATATCTTTTTGGCTTCTTCTTCCCTCTGGTGCTGAGTCGTATAGCGGTTTGCCGGCATAACCTGGTGTGACTGATATCTTTTTGGCCTCTTCTTCCCTCTGGTGCTGGGTTGTATGCGGTTTGCCGGCATAACCAGGTATGACTGATATCTTTTTGGCCTCTTCTTCCTCCTCGTGCTGGGTTGTATGGCGGCTTGCTAGCATAATCGTGTATGATATCTTTTTGGCCTCGTTTTCCTCTCGGCAGTTTGTCGTATGGTTGTTGGTCCATTTTACTAAAGCTGATATATTTCGCGTTCATGTTCTCTTGTTGTATGTCGTAATCATTTGCGGGAGGATTTCGCAATTCAGAGAACAGGAAAGTTAAAACAATTATCACGAACGCTTGGAGAGGCTCCATTGGGCTTTACTCGACTTGTTACAACTGCGTTAAGTTGTGTAATTTGAGCTTTGTTCACGATCTATATATGTTTTGACGGTAACATTATGCAGTGCCAATGAGCAGTTAAATAAACAGGTGACACAGGAACGAAAGTTTTTGATTCTTTAATTTACGTTAATCGTGTTTCTTTCAATTTAATCAAGTAAGTGATATAAGTAGGACAATAAGACATTTCAAAGTAATGAACGGTCAGTTCCAAATCAAACCAGTTTTCATTTGGTTTGGTCCAACATATCGTTTAGCAATTAAAGCTTCTTACTGTATTCGATTAAATGCCGAGAATTCCTGAAAAATTTTAAGCTTCTTCCAACCTGTCCTTCCGCAAGATAGATGAATCTGTTGCTAGTGCGTTAATAAACGGCGGCTTTTAAATCCTTGTAATGCCTGGATTGAATGTTTCTCTTATCGAGAATCCCTAGACTTGGTACCTGTTTTCCCATTTATACCTTGTGATACCTTGTGACGCCGGCTCTGACAAAGTTAAACTCGCTTTATGAGGTAAAACTGGATGAGAAAGGATAAAATAACTTTTAGAGTTCCAGTGGTTGAAGCAAATCTTGAAGAAAGATTAAAGGACGTTAAGTATCCACAAACTGAAATAGCAGCACAGTGTTTATAAATACTAAACATATGAAGCTCTTGGAAAGCATTTACCTCGCTAATGAAAATGAACCCGTATATTAAAAATTCATGAAAAGATATAAAAATATATAACATATATATTTATATATGATGTATGAGATATGTTATGTAATTAAATGTCTGGTTTAATGGCCGCGAGGGAAGGGGGGGAGGGGGGTTCGAGAATGTGGGTCTGTTAACGGTGAAGTTTACTCCTAAATACGCCCAAAAGTTGCAAGGTCGTTAGTAGCGAGCAGATAACTATATCATAACCAAAAATACATGTAATTGCATACTAGAAAACTACAATAAAGTCTCGCTTTTTTCAGCAAATTAAAAAAATTGGTTGAGGAGAAATTCCCTCCAGTTCAATCTTTGTAATCATTCTTCCCAGTGGGTCGAAGTTATCCTGAAACAGATACGCATTTAAACAGCCCGAGCTAAGTTATCACCACTCTTACCAATCCCCACTTCTCCTATTTTTTTATCATTTTTTTTTTAATCGTGGCTTATTTCTTATGGCTCTGCCGTGTTTCCTGACTGAATGCGGGAAAAGAAACTTTAATTGAAACAGAAGAGGGTATATTTTGCATTTTTTTATTCGTGCGCGTCAGCCTGCAATAAACATAGAGTGTAACACTGGGAGCCTTTAACTCCCCCGTAAGTAGTTTTGGGAGCGATATTCGTCTGCTTTTTATCATATTGATCGTTCATAACTTATGATCAGTCTGGCGGCAACTTGTGAAGGATTTTACTGCTTTGAAATTTCTTCTGATTCTTGTTCGTTTTTCCGCAGCCAGTTCAGTTGTTAAACATACCCGGAACTCAAAATTGCGTATTAAGGTTTCTTTGCATAACAGAAAATGCGGACATTTCTGCTCATGAGAGCCCAAGCACGTTTTAATTTACAAAATATGATTATTTGACAAAACAACAACTGAAACATGACGTGGTAGCTGATTTTATCAACCTACATGATAATTATTGATAGGCGTTTTGTCTCAGATTATTCCTTGTCAAATACAAAACATCTAAACTGAAACAAAACGAGAGACAGGAACAAAGGATTATTCTGAAAGAAACTTTTACTGGGTTTCAACAAACTCAGACATTTTCTGTAAAGTTAAAAACAGTAGTTGGAAACGGTGTTTATAAAATTTGCAAAATATTCTTTCCTCGTGTAAGCATTCTAAACCTAGAAGAAGCTCTTACATTCAGATTCAATATCCCGTCTTTTTAACCCACACCTCGTTGTGACATTGAATAGCTGAAAATATGTCAGCCTTTGATCACTTTCAATTCAGTTTTCAACCGATGGGTTGATCAAAAATTTGACTTAAAATACTCGTTTTTAACTCAAAAAGGAAGCTCTTACTTTGAAAAGGAATCTTAATTTCAACTGCTTAAATAGGAAAGGCCAATAGATATAATATTCATACCGAGTGTGAATTTTAATATAGTTGAAATGGTTTGTTTGACTTGAGTATTTACCATTCGAAGCAATGACACCCCTCGTGTGACAGTTGATAAGAAAATACGGAAATACCAACAAAAGAATTCCTTATCAGTTTAAAAAGCTTTTATCGGAATTTCTTTTGAAATTGGTTGTTCCGACAATTTGTAGATCATTTCACAGCAGGCAGACAGAGGCTCTCAGTGTATTCACACTAACCACTGACTATAGAGAGGGGTTTAAAATGTACAGCATTTTCATATTTACAATGATCTGAAAAATTTTGATTGTGGCTACGCTAAACAACGGAGATTACTTCTGGCGAGGTTTGCGGAGAATATCTCATATCCAATCTGTTTGAGGATTGTTTATGAGTTCGTGGTAAATGGTCATGAATGATGATTTGGCAAAAGTGAAGTCAGCCACGAATCACGATGATATGGAGCCGAAGACGTGTTATGAAGGAACTAGACCAGAATACGTGGCGCAGACGTTTTTCTTGCTGTACATTACTATAGCTACCATAATTGGTAATTCTGCCATATGCTGTTCAATCTACTACAATCAAACTCTTCATCGCTTCTCAAACTATCTCGTCATGTCTCTTGCTTTATCAGACCTGATGGTTGCCTTTTTCTCACTTCCAATGCGAATCCACCAAAGTTTGCACAACACGCACTGGTGCCTCGACGAAACCACTTGTGTTTTCTGGATCTGGGTAGATTTAGCTTGCCGCTGCACCTGTTTTGCGAACTTAGCATTAATATCGCTGGACCGTTTTGTAGCGACAAGATATCCGTTGAGGTATCACCGTATTATAACTCATAGAAGAGGTCACTTGATGATTCTCTATATCTGGTTTCATGGAGGCGCGATAGCTTCACTCGGACTAAACAACTGGACAAATCCTACCATTCCAGCGTTTGCTATAGATAATCCATCAGGGTGCCGAAAAACTCCCGATCCGACTTTTTATACTTTTGCCGCTTGTGTGGGATTTTTCCTTCCTTTACTCATCATAACAGCATCGTATTCTTACGTATTTTCAGTTTCCCTGGAACACTGGAAATCTACAAACTGCAGGACACTACCAGAGCCCGTCTCACTTGTTCAGGGTGGCATCGCCTGTCGACGATTTACATTGACTCGGGAGATCAGAGCCGCTAAAACATTGGCCATAGTTATAAGCGCCCTGATCTGCTGTTGGTTCCCGTTCTTCGCCATACTTATGGCTCTGTTTTGGTGCTCGACATGTTTTACTCGAATAAGCCCGTTTATAAACATTACATTCATTTACATTCTTCCAAACATCAGCAGTGCCCTAAATCCATTCATTTTCTTCATATTTAGTCAAAGACTACGAAAAGCGTTCTACAAATTATATACTCGTGTTAAGAGGAGCTTAATTTGTTTCATTGAGAATTTCCGTCTCTAGAAGTGCCTCCAGACATTCTGTGAGCACGAACATAGTCGTTTGCTGTCGTTTGTTACCGTGGATCAGTTTTCCACATGCAGTAAATGGACATACGAAATTGTTGATTACTGCCTGTAGAATGAACTGATCGAAGGTCTTAGCTTAGCACGCAGGTGTTGAGCACGTAAGAAATTCGTTCAATTTTTGTCCCTTGCTACATTACGCCGCGTTCAGTTTGCACTAGTAAGATTTTGAATGTGTGTTCTTCTTGCACGGTGTCCTAAGAAATTCGGACCCCTGGACCCTGTGTGGACCCCGTTGTGTTGCCGTAAAGGAACACGTTCTCCTTGACTGAAACGGCAGAGAAATGTCATCAAAGGTTGGTGTGATGTACTAAAGTCATGCAATTCGATGGAAATTGTACATCTTACTTCAGCTTATTTTCTATAAAGTAAGAAATAAATCACTGAAAAGTATGTTCTTTAAAGAGTGTGAAGTTCGTATGTGTTAGTTGTCTCTCAATTTATTATTTCAGCCTCTGAGACTCTCTTATTCAGGAACTGAACAGAAAGACATGTGCTTCAATGCCACTATAATTATATTCATACACCAAACAACTCCAGGTCTGTTTGTTATATGGGTATAACTGAGTGAGGTTTTCCAGTAAAGAGCTGAAGCCCGTTGATACTTTGCCTACGAAATTTTTCACAAACCCGAATAATCTAAGGGTCCTCACAGAGCTGTTAACACATTCTGAGCCTAGACTCAATCAACATAAAATAATTATCGACGAGAAAAGACACTTTTGAGGTTCGCTTTATCATCCGCCTGATTTACTGGAGTCTCAGAAATTGTAAAAGGAATCTTTCTGTGACAAAATCTGTATAAATTTCGGTGTTCGCAGGCTCCGAGAAAACGATAAATACTTCAAAGTCATATGGAAAAATCACTCCAACAAACTGCAACGGGCTTTGTTCCCTAAGATACGTCCACTCCAACATTATCTACCGTCAAAAAGGTATATTACAACAGCTTTTTAAACATATTATTATGTTCCTTTCAGTCAGCATGAAAAGTTAAAAGACATTCTCGCTGCCTAAGGGATAATATGGTCAAAAGAAGTCCTTCGAATCTCAAGAATACAAACAAAGTCCATTTGTGTTGTTAGACTGAGTCGGCCAAACTCTATGTACATGTTACTTTTGAAGGTTTTTCTCTTTAAATGAAATAAATTATACCAAAGGTCACCAAGCTGACGCCCAGAGTAACCCAGTCGACAGAAGTCACGTGACCTGTATTCCAGAATGAAAGAGCAGTTGAGTCTCCATGGTGAGACATTGAATTACATCCGCTCCATTGGCAGCAAGTAAAACAGCGTTTCTCGTGAACTGGAATGAAAGAAACAACGCTCAGGACCAAATGCTTCTTACAAACCTACATTAACATACGTCCACATAAAGGGATGACAAAGTTTTCATATTTTCCTCTTATAATAATGCGAAAAAGGTTTTTTAATGATGTTTGTCTCATTCGCCCAGTCTGTTACTATGTTCAGTTATGACATGTGGACTGTCCACGAATAGATTTTCAGTAAAACCATTTCGGAAGAATATTCAGTTGTTAGAATGAAGCCGCAAAAATTCAATGCAACCAGCTGAATGGAACATAAAAAGAGCTTTACCACGACAATATATCCCCTTTTATGCAATCAATAATTATTTGATTTTCAAAGCCAAGAATAAACCATGTGCAATAATTTTAATTGATGAAAAACCAACTAAATAGTTCACTGGGTATTTTGTACTGACTCTAACTCATACTACTTACCTTTGCATGGTTTAGCACGAGCCCTCTGACATTGCTTGTGGTTAGCACAGCCCATATGATAGTGAACTACATCGTTCCTCTTTGTACTCTTTGTAAAGCAGATATTAGAAAGACCATCATTACATTTCTTGAGTGTGCGTTTATGTGTACATTCGTCGTATGTTGAATTCATTGGACAGTGATGGCACATGGGGTACATTTCATGGGCGGGGTGTTTCACGCTACCGTGCTGGTAAGATATATCCGGGTCATCATCCAGAGCGAGATCACCCGACGGATTCTTTCCTTTTGCTAAAAAAAAAAAAGCGCCAAATTCACCATGCATGACGATTACCTTGAAATATTTCACTAACAACACTTCGTCGGGTTACTTCGATAAATTGACAAATTTGTGAGACATAGCAATTGTAAAATATCTTAATAGCATTAAGTGAGGTCCCATTTGTAAATAAAGTAATTCATTGTTGGTTCTAATAGATATAAAGATCCTAGAGTATCTAAGATTGAATCCCAAAGATCGTAAGGTGTGTGATGAAACTGCTCATTCTTGGCTATTAGAATAAGCAATAGCTCAGAGATTTTTTTAAAAATACACGAATCCCTGACAACATTTTTCAAATCAGCTATTCTGAGATCCTGTTATTACTTAAAAAGGCGAGCCAAGATAGCAATATCGGCTTTTACAAAAAACCATTCATTGTTCCATTCATGTTTGTTTGTTTGTTTGTTTGTTGTTTATGCTTCACTAAATCTCGAAAAAAGTGAAGTTTTCTTCCAAATCTAATCAAATCAGAAGTTTTAGATGAGAAAGTTGTTCACCACATTTTCTAGCTGTCAATTTCCCGCACAAACTTCGTTGCTACTAACGACCAATACTATCAAAGATGGAAACAAGTTGTAACGCAGTCTGGTTTTCATGTCAGGGCCCATGGATAGTTACCTTTAGTCAGATCATTTGATTTATCATGTTGAGTGACATTCGTGACCTTCCCTTTCCCGCCTGACAGTTCAACAGTCTCATGATGTGGGAACAGGAAGAATGAAATAGTATAAGGGTGAGGCTCCTCGTCTGTGACGTCACTTCCGGTCGTCCGTTCTGCCTGCTGTGCGCATGCGACTTGTAAAACGAAACAATGAAACGTTACGTCGAATGTCAAATCTGTCACTAAAAGTGTCGTATCCCAACAAAACTCAATCGGCCTACAGTGCATCACAAATTGTTGGAACATTATCACTTTTGCCTGGGAATCAAACAGAAACGAACTGAGAGACTTTCTCCCAAACCCGACCCTATTGATTGTGGGCTTAAAACAAATTCTTCGGTTGCAAGCAAAAGTGGGGAAATTTGTTAAGAGAAGGTTAAGTTATCGGGTTGTTAATCACTGTGAAACTGATATGCGTTGCGCGCATAAATTTGCCGGTAAGGTGACCGAGTTTTGTCCATACTTGTGCATGAGCAATCCTTTGTTAGTTTTCTTTGAGTGATATTAAGTTGTTTATCTAGGCTTTTCACCAAGGTTTGACTTAGTCATCGAGCTCCATCAGTAATGGCTGTACGTTTTTTTCTTAAGGAAGCAGTGAGGTTGGTATAGCTGCGCGTTTACTTCCATGTATATTGCCGATGAGATGCGTGTTGGCGTTCGTCTTTGTCTTACGTGCATCGGTTGTCACTGTAACATTAAACTAAAGAAGTGAAGTGGTTATCCTAACAATTTGTCCCAATTTCGTGAAGCTTAATAGGCCGTTAACTAGGAGGAAATCGGGAAACAACAAACAAACAAACGTGATTACGACAAAACAAAAATTACACATTTTAGCTTTCATTCATGCGCGATATAGCTTTATGAACTACCAAATTTCGATCGATGATTTGTCATCAAATTTCATGATAAACACTTTATGATGAAATGCGGTAACATCATGTGTATAGTGACGTGTTGCCACCAGAACAATTACTTGGTCTCACCTAAGTATTCCTACAAGACTCTTCATCGATAACATTTACTCTATAACTGATACTGATTTCACTGAATGTGAGTGGAAAAAAATATGTTCCTTAACAAAAAGGTAACACTGATATCAAGTATTCCTCAAAGTGGATTTCGAATCTTGTTGGCTTACGAAAAGGGAAAAAGAGGAAAATCAGGTGAACGATCGATCACGCATCGAGTTCGAAGCTCAGTCTAAGATAGGAGGAAGTCGCTTTTAGGACTAATTATTACAACAAAATTAGAATTAGAAACTTGTTTAAGCTGACAAAGGTGGCCAGTGTTACTGACGATATGCAAATTGAGCGCATAACTGGTATCCTAACTCCATGACCCGCAAAGAGTCAGGCACAGGGCCTTGTTTTGTCTGGTACGCGACGTATGAACACTGAAGTTGTCAAATTTTAACATTTCACCACTGTGCGACTATTTTTAACCAAAATTTCTCGGAACTGTTTGATAAATGGTTCAAACCTCGACGTTCACAAACAGGAATTATACATAAAGTGAAAACACTCGAGAGGAATTCTGTTCAACAGAATAAGACCCAGTAAATTATTTTTTACAAACTGTATGGTCCGATATGCCGTGAAAATATAAAAAAAAGTCATTGGTAAAAGCAATATCGCGGACAAAGTTGGAATATTCTCTGATGTTTCAACACGGGTCCGTTATCTGTACTTATAAATTTTACGAGCAAGTGAACTTATAAGATGAATTTAAAAAAAAAGGAACAGTTAATTACGTCATGTTGAGATTATTTTTTTCAACTATATCTCTTAGGGTCTCACTGTTATACGATATTTTTGCTTAAAAAAAATTATCCCTGACCATCGAATCATGCTCCCTAGGATAACATTTGAAACGATTCTTGTAAAGTTATATAAAACACATCAAAAACGGAGACTAACCAAGATATCTTGGAGCTTTATATTTTTTTAGTGAATATTGTTCCAGTGATCTGTTCCGTTATCAGATCATATCCAGAATACCGCCCCTGGACAGATAACTCCTCTCAAGAGGGAACATGATATTTATTTAATTCAACAGTGTTATGAAGTACTTACCGATGGCCAAGCAAAGCAACGAACAGGCGAACAGCAGTCGGGTCATATCAGCCCTTGTGTAACCTGAGATACACAAAACAAGCTCTACTAAGACCTCTTACCGTCCGTGACCTTCAAAGCGTGTAAACAGACATAGGACGGCAGGTACAACAACAGGTCCCATGTCGCTAAGCACTTGCGCGGTCAATCGCCTCAAAGCAGATTTTTGTCACGTGAAATAAGTGTTACTTTGAAAGTCAGACAAATGGATATTATTGTTGGTGATCTATTAACAAGGTGGGAAATATATCGAATTTCACTTCCTAGTCAGAAGACAAGAGAACTTCATCATCATGTTAATACCTCGAAGCAAGAATCGAGTTAAGTTAATGTTGCTACCCTCTACAAAAAGCACCTTTTCTACGAGCGCCAAAAATATTTTTGTTGATCGGAACAGAGGTATTTAACATTCTGGCTTGTAGTCTTTCCTTTGAACCCTTAGTATTATCATTTGGTATCATTCTAATTTAGAAAAGAAAGAATGAATTCTTAAATATCATTCGACAATTATTTCTAGACAAGTGACGAGTTAAGTGAAATCCCAGAGTGGTTCCAAAGATTTGTTTAAGGTGATGGACAGAGATTAACATCATGACAATAAACATACAACAAGACCGCTCATAGATCTTTTCTTTTTGCGCTAAATACAACACAGTTACGTCAACCTATCTCTCATTTCACAGAGTTTTATTGTTAAACTTAATTGGAACTGCTGGTGTAGTGATTCACCGCCAACATCAACTAGAAGTAATCAGTTCTTTGCTAAAATCAAAGGAAAGTTCGAAAGCGTTAACCAACCTTTTGTCCCTTATCTTTACTTCTTGAGATGAAATTAATTGTCCGCCAGGCTATATTCGAACGTTATGACTGACTGAAGCTTTAAATCTCATTTTCTTGCATGGTTACCCTCGTGTGAACCTGAAATCAGCTTCAGGCGGTATATGTCAAACAAACCCTTTCACTTTTTGACGCACCAGCGAACTCCTGTTGACAAACCTACATTTTTTTAAAGACAGCTACCTGTTTCTAAATATGATTTGGCTCTAGGGGTAAATGTAAGTCATCTCGAGGTAAGCCCTTTAAGTTTGTATATTCTGCTAAACGCTGGACGCCACTGAATAAATTCCGAAGCCGGTCACATGGTAAATTGGAGCATAGGATGGTCCATCCATCAGTGGTCATACGATCACCGACCCCTTCGGCGCGTGGGGATACAATGACCTCTCTCGCTCAGAACTTAGAAAAATGGCGTGAAAACACTAAGCAAATGTCTTTAATCACGTGTGGGATTAAATAACTGTGTATGAATCAGTTTGGTTCTGATTTCTGTCCGCAAAGAAATGACAATAGTGTATTCTCGGCTATTGGAATGATTGGGTCTGGATGGCAAAATAATGAGAAGAATGAGAGTGATGTGATATGTCAGAACGCAAAGTAAATCCCACTAGTGCTGAGACAAGCTGCGTCAGTAACAATCATGTGTTTTGTTCTGGTCATGCTTTAAGTTAACATGTGGAACGCTGACTGCTTATATTTCACCAAGTTCAGCTTGTTGACAGAAATTTACTTACTTTGCTTTCTGGTAAAAAAAAAAGATCAAACTGTTGAAGGAATGTAATGTTATGATCGTAGCGGTCGATTCCGTTTCATGTTTGTAGACAACACCACATGTATTTCAAACTGACAGGAAAAAGGAATGCGGATTTGGAATTCTTAACTAGCAGTTGGTTAATGATAACTCTTAGAGTCATTACATACGAGACCATTCCTCCCCTCCTACAGTTTCTTACTTTCTACAACTTTCCATGTCGCTTTAAGAGTTGACTGTTACACACTCATTTTTCAGGGGAACAAACAGATTATGTGACATGCTCTTAACTAAGAGTCGAATAAGAAGTTACTTCATATAAATCAAAGAAATCCTAACTTAATAAAGGATGGTTATAGTCGTAACGATAACGCATTTTTGTCTGTATTTTGACGTTTCATAGCAGTATAGAAATGAAGGAAAATTAAGATCAAAAGGACCTCTTCAAGAGAAAAAAAACCTTAACTTCAAAGGCTATTCTCAAAATTGACATGTCAGATCCTCATCAGTTAAAAAACAAAAAAATATATATAAATTTGATATATACTAAAACAGGGATAGTGTTAAAGGCGCGCTGTGATTGGCTGCTTAAACTCTGAATATCCTATTCATATTCACTTCCGAGAGATGCACTCAGGATTTGCCCCAGAAAATGTTATAATCGTTTCAGAAATAAATTAGCTAAAAATCGTCCTTTGTGATATATAATATTACCGTAAAAGTAAACACTAAAACAACCACTCACCTCAGCGTCGCTGGCTAACGATTGATCTTTTCCTGACCGCTTCGCGGCTCGGTAAATATCCACCGCTAGCCACCTCCACTTCGGTGAATAGTCGTTGTATATTTTTATGAGAAAGATATGACAGTCAATGGTTTTTCCTCTGATCAGACGCAACCGCACCTTACAAATGAACTGTTAAAATATATCTATCCCCCTGTCTGCCTCTTGAGTGCATACGCAGCTTTAAACGAATTTGTTATTTAGTATCTTTTATGTGACCTGCTGAACAACCAGCCAATTTACCTGTAGTCTCCTTTGATAATTAGATAAAATGAGATCCTCTCACGGCTAATTGCCACTTCGTGAATAACTCAACACAGCAATACTGATCCAAAGTCAAATTTTCTTATTTCAACTGCATGCTTAAAAAGGCCTTCCACCGCTCGAGCGGATCACTAGCCGAAATCTCGGTGACAGACATGCAAAATTGGATTGGATGATCACAGATTAGATGAAATCATCTTCACTTTATTAGAACAAAACTCATCAGAATAAACCATACCTTTAGAATTGCAAATTAGAATTTTCATCAACTTTAGTAAAACCTCTCATCTCTCATCAATTGACTTGGAACAATTCAATCTCCTATCAATTGACTCGGTATAGTGAATACTCCTGTAATTTTCAGGGGCACCACTTTCATTATATGCGTACAGACGATTCTTCGAAAAAGCAAATCGACCTTGTCAATTAGAATGTAGAATTGCAGATTGAAGAGGAATGAATTCAATGTGATTGTTTATCGATCGGCGACTGATTATAAGCTGCAACCCCTCTAATGTACCAAAGGAACTTCACTGGCCATGAATAATAACCAGAAAACAAAATTCATCAACTTCTCCCTGCACTTTTCAAACTGATGATAACCGTTGTGCTATATTTCAAATAGCCCCTGTACCCTCCCCTCTTACCCGCCGTCACTCACATGAGCTGACATGCAAGAAAAATATCTTTCCTTTTCTCAGAGCAATTTTTGAGCACAATCATCACATTTTTAATTTTTTTGGCTCGTTTTGTTGTTTTGGCAAGCTGTTTATATTGAGGGTTATTTGGAATCTTTCACTCGTAACACATCCTAGAAAAGGAAAAGGCGGGGGGAATTGACCAGCTGAGATGTGAGAATAAGATAAAACGGCGGTTTCAGCTCAACCGAAAAGTTTTCACGTCAGGCGTTTGGAGATGAAACCGGCCTTTTATTTTCATTTTCGCCAAATTATTTACTCCTTTACCTCTGAAGATGACACATTTACGCATCTTAGCACCTTTGTGGTCAGCAGTCTTGATTCTGATAACTATGTCGATACTTAGTATGCCTGAAAAGGTAAAAATAAAACAAATCAAAATTGCATGTGGCCTTCCATGTTAAACCACTAAATTACTAAAATTTTGGTAATGCTTTCATCTTCGTAATCGCCAGCCTTTCGCCTGATTCCTTCCAGTTCAGAGCCCAGGCCGGAGTAACAAAGATTCTACACTCTTTCTGTCTCTCGGTACAACCACAGCAAAAACAGTTTCCAAGGTGACTCGTAATAGAGGGGTTTCCACCGTATGTTTATCACTAAAGAAGAAGATATGGACTCACCGCTAGGACTGGAAGCTATTTATTTTTTATCTTATACACGAAACACCATTAAAATACCTTACTTCACATGGCAACCAGGTGGACAATCAGACATGGTTTGATGTTACTCTGGTTTAAAGATTTAATGAATGTAACCGAGAAGTTACAATTCATAGACCCAACGTTTCGACACTCTTGTCTAGTGCCTTCACCAAGGGTGATCCAAACGCTGCAACAAGAGGTATTTTTATACGCTCACTAATTAGCTGACCTTTTTTCTTTCACATTTTGAGTTTATCATTTATTCCGCAAAGTTAATCTAAAATTATGTACTTATGATAAGCAGTTTGAATTTTGATGACCTTTGTAATCGTTATCATTATTTTTCATAAGTTTAGACTTTTTATTGGGTTTTTCCCTCAAATAACTAGAAGACTTCCGCCTTAGCAGTTTTACCCAATCAAAACGGAACAAGTCAGACTTGCTAATCGCCATAATCACCCGGACCACCAATCAGGAACTACTTTACAGCGGAAGTGAAAGTAAAATGAACCGCGCGAGGCACCAAAACGAGGCGAGCGTCCTGACGTCACGAATCTGCCATGTAATTACGTCATGTGACAAAAATATGCATTGAAGAGACGCGAGGGAAAGATTCATTTTTAGGGGAAATTTTACATTTTCTGAAGAGTAGAATTCTTATTTTTACCCATATTCAAAGGATAAGAAAGATCTCGAGAGCAACCCTTTAATGGGTTATTTAAATTCTGACAGTTCTGAGGTTTCTCTGGCTCTTCTAAATGTTGGTTTCTGAGAGTTTATGAAGAAGGAAGGATTCAAAATGGAGGATAGCGATGATAAACCATTCCAGTGTACGACTCCTGGATGTGGACAGGTTAGGCTGAGTACCATTTGTTGCTGTCATATATCTCTTCCTGGGGGAGTTTGGAAGCGACTGGTTTAATTTTATAGTGATGTCGTCACCCGTAGATGTTTCCAAGCCTTACGTAAGCCTACATTTAGCCAACTTTTCACCTTCTTCTCTTCACAGAGATTCGCTAACAACGATCACCTGGAAAGACACAAACAAAAGCACCAGTTAACTCTTAAATTCGGCTCTCTTAAAGGAACAGACTTAACTGTTGCAGGTAATTTTCCTTCGTTTGCAAGATCACACCAAATTTATATTTAGCACTCTTACGACCAAACAGATCCTTTGTTAGTTTGTATTTACGTGCGGTAGTTATAAAATAATTTAGCTGATGGTTTTACGTGACAAGTCTTATTCGTTGCCTTATATCAGCTCCTTCGCTTCCTTATGCCCTCAACAATTTGTAGAGGTCGTGAGTGGCCTTAATGACTTTAATCCATGGTACTTAACTTGCTTTCAAACTTACATGTATGTTTGTCCTGCTACATGTTAGAAATTCTGTTTTACAGTTTTCCTGTTATAATAAGTTCTCAAATACCTTGGTTTTGGTTTTGGTTGTTGTACAAACTCGTAGTTATCCTTGCATGCCATTTTAGGGATGAGGAAACAACATAAATGTGTACTTGAAACATTAAAATTTTGTTAGCTGCTACACTAGCTAATTACAGTTTCGTAATTAATTGAAAGCTCTCAGTTAATGTGCACTTGTGACCACCAAGTGAGTATACTGTGAAAGTCTGCGATTGTGGCACTCAAGTTGTGTTCTAATTCAGTTTTTATTCTGTATTCTGTATTCTGTGATATGCTATGCTCTAAACTATATCATTGCCAAATTTGTTTGGACTATTGGTAAATGATTACCAAGCTCACTGTTGCAAATAAACATAAGCTTTCTGCTGTGCTAGTTAATTTTGTTGAGTGCCTAGAATGTATTTGATTGTGCCATTCCTGATAAGAAATGATGGTGGGATTAGGTACATTTTGATTAATTACACTTTGTGCTCTCCCCCGTACCACTGCTGGTACCAATTTCTAAGAAGTAGTGATGATTAACAACTATTCATGGAAGTGGAAGTGGCTTGTGGTGGATATTTACTGAGATGTGAAATATTCACTGCTAGCCACCAACACTAGTTGTTTTAGTATATACTAAAACTGAGGTTTGATCACTACAACCAATTGCAAAAGTAGTTGGAACATGTTACCATGACAAGAGACAATTTTTCACCATGAAATCCAACATAATGTATCTACTCTTTCCCCTCTTGTTGATTGCTGTACAAAACTTGAATGAACAACAGTAAATCTGGGAAAGGGACCTTTTTTTTTCACTGACTTTCTTCTTGGCCATGAGATGAAGTCAGTAAATTCACTTTCTTCTCAAGGTTCTGAAGATTTTTGCAACTGTTTGTAGCAAATTAAGATGATTTCAACTCATTTATCTCTGCAGCCTTTATAATATTTTCGGGTGCAAAAGTTTTAAGTTTGGGTAGTCAATCAGGGCATGCCTTCAATGCTATCCACTGTTTTAGTATACACTAAGTATGTTATTCCACACAGGTATGCATTTATACTGTAGCTATCACTTTAATTCAACAGATTAGGATGAACAATTAAATTTTGTTGTCATTTAATATGGTCATCCTTATATGATATCCTGTTTGCAGATCAGACACCAACACCAACAAGATTTTTAAAGAACTGTGAAGAGGAAGGACTCTTCCAGGATTTGGAGAATCCATTTGACCAGGTACATGTATGTTCTGGTTTTGCTTTGAATCACGTAACTGTAAACTTGCATAAAAAGTTGAGCAAGGTAGCTTTCCTCTGAACATCTGTGAACTTTGAAAAAATGTATGTGTCAGGCTGGTTATTTGCAGAAGGTCTAACCTAAACCATAGTTTTTTGTAATCAGTGGGCCTCAGGTTTTCTCTATAAGGGGTTGATCTAATTAAATAAATTTCCATCCACTGTTAGCTTTGGCCCTCTTGATGCTGTTCACAAAAATAAATGTTTAGATAAAAGGTTCAGCTGAATTGAGGAATACTTAGGATGTGATTTCATCAAACAACAGCCAAACTTTGTCAAGGTAATTGGACAGTATTGTTTATCAAAATGCTACTGTAAATGAAAAAGCCACAAGTTAGCCATTATTATCATTATGCTTATAATCAATTTTTCCTCTCTATCAGTCAACTGGAACATGTCCAAATTGTTTATTATTCTTTTTTTGAGGGGGGTTGGGAGGGGGGTTCAACATTACATCACAATAATTATGATATACAGGTGTTATTAAACTGCATGGTCACACAACTGATAATGAAAATTAATGATTTTGTAAATCAGGACTAAAAATATGCAATTTTTTTGGCTTGTTTCATTTCAGGATTTCAAGAGAGCTACTGATCAGGTTTGTGATGATGTTGGTAACACTCATTTTACATGGTTACCGTGGTAATATACATTGCATTCCCTGAACACTGAATATGATAAACATGTAGATGTAACTGTATATGAAAGACAAGGCATTCCATTCAGTGACATTGTGTAGGAATCTAATTTTTTGAAAATGGTATTCCATTATGTTCTTTTTTTTTCATTAAGGTGCCTAATATTGATGTGATCATGTTATAACCCCCAAAAAAAGTAAATGTTTCATTTGCTGAAGTCTCATACACTGTATGTTACATGAAATTTAAACTTCCTCATTTTCAGCTGAAGTCATGATCTTCCTTTAACTTAAGGTTAAGTTTGGCACTTTAAATTTTGTGATAGAGTGACATAAATCCATTTTTTTCCCAACTTTTAGCCCCCAAACTCGTCCACTTCTCACTCTTCAGCTCAGTTGTCTGATCACAATCAAGCTTTTCTTGCCAGTAATGGTGCTCCAACACCAACTGTCATTGTGATTGAAGAAGCTGAGTCTAAACTTCAGCTAACACCACCTGTGCAAAATAACACCACAACAGACACCAAAAAAGTCGTCATATCTGCAGCCCCAGTGTCAGTACTTGTGCGAGTCCCCCCGCACATTCCACCAGCAATACCAGCCTCCATAGCGGCTCCTGATGCTCAAGTCCCCCCTGCACTTCCAGTGCCTAGTCATTTACACAGCCGCCTTAACTCCACAAGCTCTTCAATGCCAATTCCATCCATCCCCACCCCAGCTATAGTAAGCAGCCCAAGTGCAAGTAGTCCACCCTCTTTCATGGGCAGTGCTAAACAGGTGTGTTAAATTGTATTCTGCAAGAATAATATTTTCATAGACCCACCATCATACATGTACCTTTAAGTTTGTGATTGGTAAATCTCAAATGTGGGAGGTTCAGCATGGCCTGAGTTTAAGCCTTTAGTAGCACTCTTACTCTGGCTCTCCTCTACTCTGGCTCTCTTCACTCACTGACCAAGACAAAATTGCTCCTTAAAATATCAATAGAAATAGAAACATAAATTAAGGGATTGTGACATGAAGTTGATCCAATACCAAATTCTCAGAATTAACGTCATTGGAATTGTATGACAGACAGCAAAGAGAATTGCAAAGGAGATCTTAGGAATGAAAGGGTTAAAACCTTTCTTTTACCAAGGTTGGATGTTGGCAAACTTTCAGGAAAACTTTTAAGCTCTTGGTTACAAATATATTTGTCCATGAGGATTAGCAATTCTCATAGTCACTAAATCCCTTTCAAACCTTGTTTGTTTTAACAGTGACACTCATCTGTAAATTAGGTAATAGATCAAGTTAGATATTGATCAACTCTTTGTTGATTCAGTGAGCACTATTACCCAGTCTGTTTGGTTGACGTGATCAACTCAGTTTGTCTTGATGTACAATGGAGTAAAATGGAGCAAAATGAGAAATGTAATAAAATAGCAGCAGAGTGAAATAGTCATGGAGGTCTGGGTTGGTTCAATATGCCACCCAACCCAGACCTCACTGTTTTTTTGATCCTCTGCAATTATCACATCATTTACTATCATGCTTTGTTTTACTTACTGAATGTTTGAAATAGGCAAAATTGCAGCATGTCCTATATCTCTTTTGGTTACCTAAGTCAATTTTGATACGCAAAAGAATGTAACAAAATTGTTGCCACAATAGTCAACTTGTTTTGACTTTGCAGCGTCTCAAGGAACAGCTTAAAATGCACCAAGCAGCACAGTCTAACAATATCATACATCGTGCCATGACTGAAGCTGTTGACATGGTAACATCCCAACATAATGGTCTCCCTGTGAGTCCAGCTAATCACATAAATCACCAACAAACTACAGTCGTAACCAGCAACAGTCCACAGGACACCAAGAAAATGTCAGGTGCCTCGTAAGTATTAACTGTGATGATAACAGTAGCCATGGTAATTTGAAATTTTTGGCTTTATTGGTTTTCAAACCTTGGCATCTGAGCCTGTTTAGCCTATGGAAGCATGGAGAGCTGGTTCTTATTCCTTTTCCTAAAATTAAATCCATGGGCTTGTTGGTTTTGTTGTCCAGTTCATCAGTCATCTACTACCTCATATCTTCCCCACACCCATTAGACATGGCATGTAGTAGTTATATCATATCACTGTCGTATCGTTAATACGTACACTATTATGTTCCCTGTCTGAGTCAATGAGATTAAAATAATAAAACTTTGTTTATGTAGAAAACGCCCACGAAGAACACAGGATGAGATGGACCCTGACGAGAGAAGAAAGCGCTTCCTTGAAAGAAATCGGTGAGTATTCACAGACAAAACTCAGTATACGCATACTATATACATGTATAGTTTGGATGTTATGGGTTAAAGTTGGTTGAAGAGAACAACAAACCATTCTATCCCAATTTACTTCTATCTTGCATCACAATTGACATGTTAGAGTGAAAGGAAACCCATTGTCTACAACAACCTTCAAATGGAGTAGCTGTATCTGTTTTTAAAATGATAGTGCCTGTATATGTACACACTTGATGAACCTGTGCGTGTTTCCTTCAGAGCTGCAGCCACTAGATGCAGAGAAAAGAGAAAAATCTGGGTGCAGCAGTTAGAGAAAAAAGCAGATGACCTTAGTAATACAAATGCTCACCTACAGGTATGATTGGTTTTACTTTTTTTACTGTTTTTCGTTTGTTTTGTCGACCGTTTTAAATTAACTATGATGCGTTTTCTTTCGATCGTTTGTTCATTTGAAGCAGCATGATAGCACATCACTCAATCATATTGATAAAGATAATGACAATACAAACAATTACCTGAAATATCGTCGTAAAAAAAATCACTGAAAACAATGTTCCACTGATTCAGAAGCGAAACATCAGCAGGAGTGTTGGTCGTGCTGATTCAATCATTGAAGACCTTCATGTTGGTTTTCAAGGGTGTAGAAACTTTATTCATACGATTTACCTTATGACTCAGGAAACAACAGTCCTATGAATCGCTATGTTAACTTCTTTGTGATTGCCTTTAGATACTTTTATTACACGTACACTGACACAATTTTTCGATTTCTGTAATGTTTGTATAGAGTGAAATAACACTTCTACGAACCGAAGTTGCGCAGTTAAAATCCCTACTTCTGGCGCACAAAGACTGTCCGGTCACAATAGCACAGCAAAGAAACGCACAGATGTTAAGTAAGTATTTAAACTGAAAATCTTGCTCTAAACTAATCAAACAGTCGATAACATAATTAAGATTTTGTTTTGTCTATTTGACTCACGAAATCGCGCGGTCTTCGTACAAAAGAAGTTAGTCGAGTATGGAGACGGGAGCTGAGACTTGAAAAGAAGCAAGCACAATCATCAACGCTCTCTCGCATCTCGATCGCCGTGAAAAATTCAAATTGTCTTTATGTCTAGTTTTGTTCACTTGCTTTTTTCTGTTCTTCTTTTCTATAGTGATAAAAAAACTTCTTCATGCAGTTATTGGCTATCATTATCGGGATTACCTTCCGATCAAAGAGCTGTCTTGTAGTCCTCTTTTCTGTGACCAGTGTTACCAAAACTTAACGTTAGAGTTTATCTTGGAAAAAATGCTGTCGTAGGCCAAGCTAAGGGTGATAGAATGTCAGTAAAGTTGCCAATTTATCAAACGAGTTCCTATTTTTCCAACAGATCATCAAGTTGGTGAGCAAACGAACGGAGTTCTTACAAATAATTCCCACGGCACAGATGCTGCCTCGGCTGAAGATGTCGCTACCAGCGCTCTCACGCAAATGGCTCACCGGGCTACCCTGGAACTAGAAAATCTTGCTGCTACTACGATGTCGAGTGTCATAACAACAAACACTAACCCCATCGGGGTTTGATATAGAGTAACTTAGGTAGAAACAAGTACAGTAAGACATTAAGAGCATTCTAATCAGCATGTACAGTTAATTAGAACGGCGCGCGTGCGTGAAAATAACCGCTTTTAGAAGTGTATTTATACAGATTTCAAAGAGAACTGAATGTATTTTAGGTATGACGCGTGTCTGTAAGTTGCTACTAGATACTTGTGCTACTTTCTATCAGAAGCATCTTACCGCGCCATTTTTATTACTGACGCATTCATTTTGTGTTTGCTGAAGCTGTAGTATAAAACTATTTGTTTTAAGGTTTTAAATATACAGTGCGACTCAGCAGATGGTGGAACAGTATCGCTCTGAAAAATGCAAAGCCTACGCGTTGACGCGTTCAACACTCAGCAGAAGTGCGAGAAAAGAGTGCAATGTTATGTTATCTTAGCAGCTGTAATGATTCAAAAAATGAAAAATGCAAAGCTTACGCGTTGACGCGTTCAGCACCCAGCAGAAGTGCGAGAAAAGAGTGCATTGTCATGTTATCTTAACTGCCGTAGTGATTCATTTCCTGAGTGTGATGTTCTTTCATGAAAAATGCTTATGTAATTCTGTAATTCCGTGTCTGATAAGGGGTTAAGTTAACCCTTGATTTACGGTGTTGAGTGTAGGTTACTGGAAATTCCAGTTTCAAACTGAAAACAATTCTATTCAATCTGTGTGCTGGCCCTTCGTTGGGCGATTCTGTGTTTAACATTCACGTCAAGATGGCAAGTAACCAATTGACTTCTTTAATTTCTCATCGAAACCGAACCCTTCTGCGGCGATGTGTTGCTGACATAACGATACAAAGGCTAAGCGCTTGTTCGTTCGTGGTGCGCTCCTCTGATGCCTGTTTTGTTAAAGCAGGACGTGCATTTGGTGTAAGAAAATAACCCTTGTAAATAAATAGAAACGAAAAAAAGGCGATATATACCTATATCCTTACTCGAGTTTTACTGTGGCACAATGTGACGTTCAATAAAACCGGTGCAAACTCACTATTGTGTCCTATTAACTTACTTTTCTCTATCTCGAGTTTGGCCACCTAGCATTGAAACAATAAGGCTCTTCCTTAGTAGGGTTGGGGTAAGGGCAAAGGTTAGCGTCAACATTATGGTTAGGATGTCAGGGTTAGGGTTTAGGCCTAATGACGGTGCTAGGTTCGAGGTTATGATTAGGGTTTAGACCTTATGTCCGGGTCAGGTTTAGGGTTATGGTTGAAATTAGTGTTTATGGTTAAGAATAGCATTCAGCTTTTGTCTCTTGGTTATGGTTGGGAAAGTAGCAGCGCGAATCCTGGAAGTTGTCGAGAGGTTAGGAAAAAGGAATTCTTTGCTTGAGATGATTACGAAGTTATACTTACGAATCAAAAACTCTATAACTTTGTGACAATACTAGAATGAAAAAAAATTTTCAAACTCACGACAGCACCATTAAAAGTATGTTACGGCAGGACTCACGCCATCATAAGTTTATTGCGCTATTATCATTACTGTCATTATAACTGTTTCTGCTATTATTATAGTTACAATTTATAAAAACAAATTCGCGTCACAACTCGCCATTTTTCCACTAGCGTAAAGGGACATCTGATCGACAAAAACTCATTCGCGTCTTTACAAATACTTGAATACCTTGCCTAGCGGTAAACGGAAATGTTCGGCTGAGTGCCTTTAGTTGTTGAAACAGCGAAAAATGCTAATTGTCAAGTAATCATGGCATGAGTCAAGCCCAAACATTTCTTAAAGCCTTCAACCTCTAAGTGTGACTGACATCTAATTTCTCCTTACAATATCACACCTTAATCAAACATTACGGTCACGAGAGTAGAGGAAATGATCACCGACCCAATAGCAACCAGTATAACAATTGTATTATAGGTCATTAGGAAATTTGAAATGTAAGTGCTGGTTGTATGTGCAATCTGAAGGGTTCCCTTTACAGTTGGTATTGCATAAACAAAAACAGTGATATAGTCAAACCTGTATCAAGCGGTCATTCACGGGAAATGACAGGTTGACCGCTTAATACATGTTGACCGCTTAATGAAGGTTTCACAGAACAGAGTCACTACAACAAACATGATAAAAACGTCATTTTATTCCATAAATAACCGATTCACATACAAAAGCTCACTTAAAAATGCTACTAACATTGAAAAAAAATTTCCTTGAAATATTATTCGTAGTTTTATTTGAGTAGATCTACTAAAATTAACCGTCCGATACAGGTCCAGGACATTACAAACGGGCCGTTAGAACTCAATAAAAGGTGAACACGACCGCTAAAAAAAGGTGAAAATTACAGTAATTAAGGATAAAAATCTCTGGACTTTGAAAACTGACCGCTTAATACGGTTCGACTGTAATTCCAACATTGACTGTTGCATAATGATGTTTAGTTAAAACTGATAAGGCCAGTTTGTAGGTTTCACTTATTAAGGCAGAATACGATCCCAACCTACTTCATAAGCTTTCATACAAAGTAGAATCTGACTATTCTTGAGTTTTTGTAAAAAAAAAAAAAAGTTATTTTTCTGTGTTACATGTCAATGGTTGACAACTTCAACCATGAATCGCCTTTTATTCTAAAAAAATTAAACTTGTATTTTAATTTACCCTCGGAGTAAACTTGTCAAGAACCAATAATTTCCTTAAATAGTTAGCGAAAACACAGTAATAAAAAACTGATAAAAGAAAATGAAAATATTCAAAACGACTATGAAGACGATAATGTGATGACCTGAAACATGCAAGAACAAATTATACACAGTTGGTCAACACGTACGTTTCACCTTATATCTTGACATTTAAGGCGCGTCAAAGGCGCCTTGAAAGTTCCTTTCAGTTCAGAGAGCTGAACACAATTATTTTGATTATTACAGCAAGCTTACTATGTTCATACGGAACGGATGAGGGCTTTTTCAAGTCCTGCTCGCTGGATGAGAGTCCGCAAAACGGCTGCGTCTGTAAGGTAATCTACCTTAAGTCTTCTTCAGAGACAGATTCTAATTTCCAGGTCATAGGACTGTTGTTGGAGGGAACCCCTCACCTTGCGGTGCAGAAAGTTGGTCCTAACAAAAAAAGCGTTTAAACTTTCACAAAAATTGAATTTCAGCAGGTGGGTGATTTTCAATTTCACCTTAGCGATGATTCCTGTTAGTCAAGAGCTCCTGAGCTGCTTATGATATCTCCTCTTTGTTGAATCATCATAAAAAGGAAAATGATGATGACGCAAATGAAAAATTATTCAAAACATCACAGTACGATATCATGGCCGCACGGTTTGCAAACGTACTTTACGCCACAAAAAGTAGGAATGACCAAATTTTTTTTAAGCCCGCGCACGTAATGGTAAGCTTCACGTAACTAGAGGACCCAAATGAAGAGAATTGAAACTTACCTCACCCTTGGACGCAGGATTTGTTTCCATATCAACAGCCAACTCGTCTTCGTTCTCTTGGACTTTGTCGCTGGACGTAGATATTGCAGAAGGTTTTCTGGAATTCGTTTTAGAATGTTCTGAAGCATCTGATTTGTTGTCTTGATCATCAGGGTAAAGATTACTCCGTATCAAATGTGAGTGTTTCAGAAATAACAGTAACTGAGCTTTATAAATATCGTTGTCATCATCGTCGTCTCCAATAAATTCTGGATTCGTCTTCCCCTTGGGATTGGCACTAGTTGCTGTACTGTCCTCGTAGATAATTTCGAGTGGTACAACAGTACTGAGTCCATTTGTCTCATAATCCTTGGACGTAGATTTTCTGAAATTAAAAGGTTGTCATTAATCTTGGCGTAAATCTTACGCAACTAGCATTGACGTTTTCCGGCGAGGGGAGGGAGTGTTCATTCAATGGCTGATTTGACTTTAGAGCCGAGCCTGATTTATACCCAACTTATTTCCATACTTTGACTCGAGTAGTCGTTGCTTCAAACCATTGTGTTATTCCTTACTCATTCGATTTAAGTAACCTATACTTACCCATTTCTTTGTTCAGCTTGTTTCCTTCGTCTTCGTAGCAGAAGCAACACAACAAAAATAAGAATCAAGAGAAACACACCACAGGCGACTCCGACAGCTATCCACACCTCAGTTGAAACTGAAAAACACGAGCAGTAGTGGCCAGAAGTCAGACGGTAAACTCTCACATTCCGACAAGATAAACGCTAATCAAAAATTAATGATTGAGAGTAGCACTATTTCAGAATAACTATACATCATACCAATCGTATGAGCTATTCAATCGTGATAGCCCAGTCTTCATCAATATGAAACCCGCAAAGCCGAGTTCTTAATTAGTTGTGTAAACTTGTTCTTGGACAGTGAGGCAAAGGCTATTGCCCTCCGGTTAATAGGCTGGACTTAGGACCGAAATATCCAGTGTATTTTTCAGCCAGGCCACAGTTGCTGCGTTGCGCAAGACTTTTAAGTCTCACACTGAGCGCCTCCACCTAAATGAGTGGCTAAACTGACTGGTATCTTGACAACATGTTGAAGGCTCCCTGTAATTTACTAGCATTTCATTTAGGTGGAGTAACAATACAATTGGTTGCCTAATGCGACAGAAACAACAAAAAGCTCCTGATGCCCGTCCAATCAGTCTCGTATTTGGACTTTTGAATACCTGGACAGCGGACATCGCTATTGCAGTCTATGTATTCTACATCCCGTCCCAGTCCGGCGCAATCGTTGCCCCCAAGTCCAGGAGAAGGATTAGTACAAGTGCGCTTGCGGTGTTTCTGTCCACCTTCACACGTTTTGCTGCAGTCTGTAAACTCGGACCACTCTGAATAGTTTCCATGTACGGGATCTGTTAAAAAGTATTTTAGAGCATTTAACCATAGATTGTTTCTTTTGGAAGGAAAATATTTTGATAATTCAAAAATCTGTAAGTTTAAGGTACATTTCTTGCTTAGATCACAAAGGTCTGCACGTAACTTCAAATGAAAAGAGTTTTTTTTGTCATTTAGCGATAGATTGTAACTTACCTAATCTTTGAGTGCATCTGTATCCCACAAATCCATTGCCGCACCTTAGGATGGATCCACATAAAGATAAGTAAAGAGTCGCATGATTCCTCGTTATCCAATACTTTAACGCTGTATTTATATTTCTCAGTATTCTCACACCAATTCACATGTAATTATCATTTCCGCGTGAAAGGCATGTAAAAAACATGTAAAATTTTGTCCATTTTGCATTATGATTTTATACTCTCTTCAATTGGTTCTTGAAGCCGACACATGATAAACGTGCCCTCGCGCATGCACTTTGACGGCCTTGACGTGTGAGGAGCGCCTGATGAATGAATTTGGATTAACGTTTGCTAAAATAAGTGCCGAATCAAAAACGTGGAAAATTTGCTAAACAAGACAGTGTTTAGTCGAGTTAATGCAGTACTGACCTACACTTTGGACCGTTGGCACCATCGTCACAAATACCTGCATTCGCACAGAATCCGGCGGAACACTTCTCTGTAATGCAAACGAAGCGAAGAAATTCCGAATTTCTTCAATAATAAAGGAAAATGCATTTGGCGCCAGAAAAATCCAACCAGAAAGTAAAGACCAGATAATTAAGGTTACAGTTGAAAAAATATCATTTTGCCAGTGAATTATGAGAAGTGCAGTTCCCATGTAGTTTTAAATGTGTTATGGAGATGGTAAAAGAAAAATTAACATCATACCTTTAACGAGAATTCTCCCGAAAATAAACCCTTCAATGTTGGAACCATTTTTTCTCCAGAGGGTCTCATTGACTGTATGTGTAGTCGTATTGGACGTACTGTCGATAAGCAATCGAAAATCCACCAGGACGCTTCCATTTCTTAAATGAAACAAAATTGGAAAGGTCAAAACTAAATCAGAAATTACTAATATTTCGTATCAATATTCCCAGTCTTAATTATTTTAATGCGTTAGTTAGGATTGTTTCATTTGAGTTCAATCAGATAATCGTTGCTGTCATCAAGGTACACCGGCATACAACCTGTTCATTGGCTCGACCAAGAAGTAAGTTCACTTTAGACATCAATTAGTCACTGAAAGAGACATTAATGTTTCTTGCAAACCTGAATTCAAGTATTTGTATTTCCTTCAGGCCCGTCACATCGCGAGAGAACATGTCCCACAGCTGTAGGAAGAATGAAATCATGATATGACTAATCTCTCAATAAATCGATTTAAATGGTTCTAAAGTTCATTCCTTTACGTAGTAATTCCTGATCTGTCGTTTAGTCAGTCCGTCTAGCATCAATTAATCAGTTAAGAATTAAATCACTCAACGAAAATGAATGGCTGAAATATTTACCAGCTCCCAGTTGGCTTGTTAGCTCAGTTGCTGAGCGCTGCACCGGTATCGCAGAGGTTATGGGTTCAAATCGCATGCAGGCCTGAATTTTTTTCAGACCTTACTTTCGCTATTGCTTAAGTAGTGTTTATTACTTCGAAGATCGCTTTCATATTCATTTCTTAACCCGCAGTTCACATATACGATTTTCATTTATTCACAGTCATTGAAACATATTTCTTTTAAACAATTGCATTTTTAATTTCAGCGAATACACGTCATGCAGTGTCAAAACATATCTGTGTCACTAAACTGAAATATCTTCGGTTCAGAATGAAGTACAATTCTTACCGTGTAGTTCACCCTTCGAGACAGATTCACAAAACGTGCTGAACTTTTATTCATCAGGTCTTTATCGTATTCTTCATTTATTAACGAAACCGTCACATCAATAATCCTCGTGTCATTTGAAGCCCTTGGTTTGGTCAGGATATCTGTTGCTAACACGGTGGACGAAGAAGATTCCTTAAGACGCGACTTGGTAGGTGAAAGAGTTACGTCAACTGTCTGTGACGTAAGGTTTACAGCGGCCATTTGAGAAATTGAGGAAACTGTTGATCGCTGCTCTTGCAAGGCGTTACTTCTCCAGGGTGAGAATATCAAAGCTGACGTGAATGCCTCTGACGACGACCTAGAGCTCATTGTATTTGACTTAGTAGAAACAATAGTCCTGTTAGCCGTGTGTGACATCACGTTAGCAATGATCAATTGAGAGATTGAGGAAATCACCGATCCTGTGGGGCGGATGACATATGTTAATGAGGAGTGTTTCGATTTTAAAGTTGATGTTAGTGATAAAGGTAAATCTAGTGATTTTAAAGACGCTGGAGAAGAAAATGGAAGAGATGAAGTTGCTGGTGGTAATGATGATAAAGGAAATGGTAATGGTGATACATTTTTTGACGATGACAGCGATGGGGAAGGTAACGAAGACAGAAACAGGGAGTGAGACAAAGACGGAGATGGATATGACGATGGAGATTGAGACGGAGATGGAGATGACGATGGAGATGGCGATGATAATGACAATGGTGGTGGAAATGATGATGCTGGTAGTGACGATGGTAATGGCGATGACAAAGGCCATGGCGGTTGTGATGATAATGTAGATGAAGACGGAGATTGAGATTGAGGCAAAGACGGAACCAGAGATACAGATGACGATGGAGATGGAGGCAAAGATGGAGTCAAAGGTGGAGGTGGCAATGATGGTGATGGTGGCTGTGATGATCTTCGCAGTGATGATAGTAAATGCGAAAGCATTAGTGACAGTGATGGAGAAGGCGATGGAGAGTGAGATGGGGATATCGAAGGGGACGGTGTGAAAGATGATAATGGTAGGGATGATGATGGCGATGGTGATGGAGACGACGATGGTGATGGAGATGACGATGTTGGTGGAGATAATGTCGGTGATATCGATGGAGATGGGATTAGGGCTGGAGATGGCGGCGTTGACGATAGTGGTGGAGATGATGTCGGTGATATTGATGGAGATGGGGTTGGAGATGGCGGCGTTGACGTTGGCGGTGGAGATGATGTCGGTGATATTGATGGAGATGGGGTTAGGGCGGGAGATAGCGGCGTTGACGATGGTGGTGGAGATGATGTCGGTGATGTTGATGGAGATGGGGTTAGGTCTGGAGATGGCGGCGTTGGCGATGGATTGGAGAATGATATGATAAACGATGACGGTAAAGGCGGTGACGATAGTGAAGGCGATGGTGATTCTAATAGTGGAGGGGATGGCGTTGACGATGGTAACGACAACGTCGCCGTTGACGATGATGATGATACGGTCGGCATTGGTGATTGCCCTGATGATTGTAAGGACTTTGAAATCACTGATGATGTTAACGATGACGTCGATGAAAACTGAGACCATAGGGATGGCCATGATGATAATGATGAGGATGATAAGAGTGCTGTTACTGATTTCCGTGCTATTGACTGTGATGAGGATGGTGACGCCTTTGTCGTCGCTGATAGTTTTTGTGGCGAAAGTTGTAGAAATGTTGACGTTGCTGAAAATACTGTCAAGGAAGAATTCAGAGACGAAGAGTTTGAGAATGCTGAAGATGATGGCGAATATAACGGCAATGATGACGATGATGTTTCATTTGCCGATACAACTGCTGATGAGAAAAGCCCTGAACCAAATAACGTTATCAAAATTAAGAGTGTTTCCAACGGTTTTGCGAAGATCTCTGGACCCGAGCTCATAAGACCCGTTGAGCTGTCAACGCAGGGCATAGGTTTGGTCTTTTTTGTTGACAACATGAACCACTTCCTTCGAATAGCGAATAATAGAAAAAGTAAATGGACAATAGCAAGTAGTGAATATACTAAGCTCGTCAAGAGTTTCAGTATAAAGTCTGTCAAAAGTACAAGAGTGCTTGCCATTTCATCTTTCGTGGGCCACGGAAGGGAATATCGAGGGCACTTTGATATGGCTTTTACGACTGTGCCACGAAAATGAAATCTCCTTGGATAGGATGTAATTATGGTAGATGCGACAGGGAGAGCTGACTTGTTGGGATCCTCTTGAAAAAGCGTTTGTAATTGTTCAAAGCAAGAAATTATCGGTAATGAACCATTTCCATGCAATTTTTCCTTTTCGTTGGCACTTTTAGGGTGACCTGTTGGCGGAGAAATTCCTGGATTTATAGCAAGAAAGGTCGGAGAAACGTTTACTTCCTCAATCCTGGGGTACTCACTGTTCCGCAATGTTCCTAAAAGAAACCTAGAAGTCACTTCATCTAAAAAAAAGTTTGAAATATGATAGAAATTGATTTGGAATTGTTTCCTTGATTTTCCTATAATCAAAAGCTAATATGCTAATCATCATTGCATGCGGGGCTCATCTAATTGCTAAAATATAAGCCACTGATACATTCCTTTTGTTTCTTATTCGGAACAGGCTTTCGACTCAGGCAATACAGAGTTGATAATATTGTTGTGGTGTCAAGGATTAATCAATATCTCTGTAACCGGGGTAGACGACATCGCGTTTTTGACCTGTGTTTACAAAATGAGAATTGAACGTTTCTTCCAGAAGTTTCGAATAGCGGTTTCATAGCGAATGTGCCATTCGTATGTACACCATTGATCCTACATATTAACAGTAACGTATAACATGATAAACCACGACAGCTTTCTTACTTGAGCTTCTTTTAGTTGGTTGCTAAGCAGCACTGTTCGTCTGTGATGAAAGTAAAGCTATAGTGTTAAAAAATATGTATGCGATACCTGCACTGTCTGACTCAGTCCTTTGTTTGTTTTATTTTCCATTTCCGGCCTTATATTTCCTTCGCTGCGGTAATAAAATCACGATGCTTGTTGCAGAAAGTTTGTCGATTAGAAAAAGCAAGTAGTTGACAATAATTCAACACCGAGTTGCCTTGCGCGCGACGTTGGTTATGAGACCGAAAAAAAAATCAGAGGTGTTGAATGAAAATTTTACCTTGCTTCCGTACTGCATCTAACTGTCCTAATGCAAACTTGACGATATTCCAAAGAGGAAAGGAATCAGATGTGAAGTTTTGATGTGAATTGGTTTTAATAGAAATGAATAGAGATATTCCACCTCATCTTAATTTGACGTAACTCGACAAGCCGTCCGTCGTGTATTTCAGCATTGAAACCTCGCAGTGTTATAATCAAGGACAGAGCACAGAACCAACAAATTTAAATCAAACAAATTCATAAAATCTTTGATTTGAAGTCGGATAGATGAGCTTGAAACTACGACATTGATCACGGATAGGAATTGTTGGGCTACTAAAACATTCAAAATTGATCTAATACATTATATCGACCAAAATGATTTATTAAAAAAACCACCTTCAAGGTATTTTAGCAAAGAATAAAATCGGCGCGAATATGAATCCATATCATTTAGCTCAATACTTTGATCATTGGGTTGGCTGGAACCGAACGAATCGAACCTTGTAAGCATACAATCTGTGTCATTGTCAAGTTTGCGAGTGACCTCATTTTCATATCTCTATATGCTAAAACCTTTGAAGCTAGACAATTTCAAGGTTTCGCGTCGCTGACCGTAGTTTTCCGGTTAGTTTAAATTAGCACTTCCTTGAGTATTTATTTCACATTCACAAAAAGCCTATTTATGGAACGGACTTATCGATGACTCTTCAAAAAAATGAAACGGGAAACTTCTCCGCTGAGGTGTTTGAGCTAATCTCAAGCCATGACGACAATTTTATGTTTTTTCATGTTTCATTGTCAGTTTCGAACTAATCATGTACTGAATGGAGACTTCTAATGAAAAATACTGAAAACCTGATTGATAACAGAAATGCAATCTTGATGGTTGCTCGGAAAAACGAAACAACCACGTCCTTGTTCATTCATAATCACAGCAGCAGTGAAATCGTACAGAAATGTTTATATTTTTGAAAACTGCTATAATAAAATCATGCAAATTTGAGTAAGGAATAATGGAATAATAAATACGTATCATTTTGGCCCTTAGCTTCTCAGTCTTGAGGAAAGAATTTTATTATGGTAAACACAATAAAAAATTCGTCAATATTGTTCTCATCACTGCTGTAGTTCTAGTTAGCTCCCTACTTGTCTTCCGTACTCATAACTATTAGTGTTAAAAAAATAACATTGGGAACACTTCAGCACCGCACTACACATAACCTTTATCATACCTTGAAATCGTACAGCCAAGTACAACAGACCGCAATGATACAGGATAAGACCCATTCGTGATTTGATCATCGTACGCTAAAACGTTTGACTATTCAAGAATAACCGTTTGTTGTTGTTCCTCGACATTTTCGTTTACCCATTATGCTTATGTCATTTTTGCATCAAGGTGGTCGGTTCGGCGGAGCAGTTCAGCGGTGCTTCACGTTACCGTCTGTTTATTCTGGCTGTTTTTGATTGATTGCCACCCCGTAAGACAGGTACTGACAGGTGTCCGTATCCATGGAAACAGCATATAAACGGAATCTTACTATGAGTATGATAGAAAATGAAACCCTCCGTAAGACAACCGAAAAGTTTACTAGTGAATATTCTAAATTTTCCTTTTTTTTAGTGCGAATTCGCACACTTATTAAATGAAAAAAAATTACTCGTGCAGAATTTGCAACATACTTTTAAACATTCGTCTTTATATTGGGTGTTATACTTCAATAATTAATTAAAGAACCATCTGCAGCCCTAGCTTATGATATCACATTGGTTTTAAATAAAACAAAACAATCTTGTATAGAGCTTCTTTAGAATTAGTTATTACATGACACAAACCATTAAAAAGGGTCGTGATAAACAAAAGATCGAGAAAAATTATAATTATCCTGAAAATCTCTTTGTTTAAAATTTCATTTAAGTTACACCATGTTTGGCCATGTTTATCGTTTAACTATTCAAACCATAATAACATGACAACCCTGGTCTTCAATCCCCGTAAAAGATTAAAATAAAAAACCTTGGCCCCGGTTGTTCGAAGGTTGGATAGCGCTATCCACTGGATGAAACTCTATCCGGCGGATAACGCTATACGTTTTGCCATCACTTATCCGCCGGATAGCGATTTATCCGTTGGATGGCATTATCCGCCCTTTATACAACTGGGCCCTGGCTGTTAAAACTCGCTGCAATATTTTAAAATTCATTGGCTTTTTTTGGGATGAAATATTATTTGTTCAGCTGCTAAGTGTGGAAATTTTAGTCCCACCATTGTTTTCAGATATGTTTTTGAGTAGATTAAATCACAAATATTATTCTAGATCTGCTGCAGCAGCAAAGCAGCAACATATTGAAAGAAACTGATTTGATTCAAGGCTCCTTGTCTCTCGCTCAGCGTTGTATCCTCGTCTTTCCCCGTAAAAACGTCCCAATTTAAATTTTGAAATCGAACAGTTGCAGACAGATGTTTGCTTTTTATGCGTGACAAAACAAGCATTTTAAGGACTATAGACAAAATAGCCGCAGTTTGACTCAAAACAAACTCAACACAGTGTCGAGACACTCAGTCACAGTACGCTGCAGTACGGCTACAGTTACCTCAAACCCACGTTGTATTACAACAACAGCAACATCAACATCGACAACAATCTTTATTTGCACTAAAATTTTGTTTATAAGCTATTGCAAGAAAACATTGATTATAAAATTGGAGTACTGGCTGCTTTGAATAACCATAGGTGATAGAGCGGCTAGGCAGCACACCTGCAAGTGAAACTGCCGAGAAAGCACGGTTTTGGAAACATGTTCTTTGCTCTTTCTGTATATAAACTCCTTTCTTCCAGTTATATTACAATTCGCCTTGGAGAGGAAAATACTACTATGTCAGCTTTTACTGCAGTGTTTCAACATCTCTATCAAAATACGAGGTAAATTTATAAAAAAAAAATCGACTCTGGTTTTGTCCTTCTCTCCAATGGAGTAGCTCTGTTAGAAAAAGATGGATAAGTACCAGATAATGGTGATGCAGTTAGCTTTCATACATTGGTGCCTTAGGGAAGCGTTAGGAACAATTTCTAACACTTCTTGCTTTAAATGTAGCTAAAGAGGACTTTATCTTTGTAATATCTCTAAACGTTTTGCAGCAGACGGTGTGTGGCTCCCTAACGGCTTTAAGCGGATTGAAAAATTATTTTCAAACGTGCGATTGAGGATATAGCTTTATTTTTTCTCTCTGGCACATAACATTTTAAAGTTACATTTCACATTAGATTTAAGGAGGTAAGTTTCTAATGAAACTGGGGTGCTGCGTCAGTGGAAGAGTATAACAGGTTAATTTGGTATCATCAACTGAATTGATAACGTACATTGGCCATTGTAAAGAATTTCAAAGCTGACGTTTCGAGCAGACGTCAGAGCTCTGATGAAGGGCAAACGCTCGAAACGTCAGCTATGAAACTCTTTACAGAGGCCAATTAACGTTATCGACTCGGTTGATAATACTAAATTACCCTGTTACATTTAACATAGCTCCACATGCCCCTTTTATTGGTTGATCTTAGATAAATTGTCTCACCGTGGCACAGCATTATGGAACTCGACCTCATGCCAAACCTGCAGCTAGGTGGGGAAGTTTTAATAGCAGACAGCGAGGGAAATTCTGAGTTAGTCAATGTATCTTGAAATTATTAAACGAGCATCTTTGATCTTCTTTTTTTACCAGTAATAACATCGAGTCAGTTATATAGTCGAAGTGTCAATCATATGGTGACAATCGCAATTATAAAGTTCTTTGAGACAATCCCATAATCAGATATAGTCTCTCATAACGAGAATCAGACCATTAGCCCTCTGGGCGTTACTTTCAGTAAGGCATTGTGTACACCACTGTTCATTTTGTCTTAAATCCTTCTACTCACAGTTCCTCTAACAAGTTTTTCTGTTTTTCAGGACATTCAAGGCTTCTTAACCCCAAAGTGTTCACCACTATGATCTTATCTGCTTTGAATAAGGGAATTAGAAGTCTTGTTGGCTCTGAATTGTATCTGTATTCACCAGCCCTTTGAACCATAACAAGCATGCCTCTCTACTCCACACGAGTCACGTGTTTGCGTCGAATACTTGTCCATCAAATAATGACGGTACGTCCAATAATGCGCCCACTGTCAGCTCAGCAGCTTTCACAATTCTCTTGATATCAGCGTCTTTATCCTGCAGAGAATAACGGACAGAATTTCATGTCTTCGATTTATTTAAACTTCAAACAAATATAGCATATAACGCCAAAGGCATGGAACGGAGACAAACTCAAAATCATTAACTACTTCAAGAATTGAAACTAAGTTAATAGGTTTAACGTTTCAGTGCCTTGATATATTTGGGATGCATGACCAGGAGACTTACGATAGTCAACTTCAAGACGTTATCATCATGGATTGAGACCAAAATGACACGTGACAAATCCTTGTCCATCATGACAATAATGGCCGATAATCATGGTATGTTTCTCAAACATTGCTCCCGTGAATACGAAGGTGTACTCAAATTAGGGCGTTTATTCGTAGACAAACATGGAGTGGTATAAACCAAACAAAGGCTCTGTATGGACTGCCACGAATACACGTGAACTTCAAAACTCTTAACTGAGATCAGTTTTAATTAAGAACATAAACAAATGTTTGCTTCATAAACGTGTGATGAGATGAAAATAAAAATAAAAAGGAAACATACTTCGGGTTCGTTTGCACTGTTAGCGGGAACAAGCACACCGAAACAATTTACGCCTTGTTGCTGTAAACAGGACTGGAGATCTTTTATAGCTGCCTGTGGACGAAATAAACATACGTGCTGATCGAGTTGATTAACATCCGATTCTCTCACCACTTCATAACTTTCGGCTACCAACCAAGGACACTGTGTTTGGCGGTAAAAAACAGAAAATGGCCTTTAGAGTGAAGGTAGCTGAATAATTTGGACTGGTGGGGCAATAAATACTAAAAAAGGTAGTCGTTACCAGTTATAATCAAAATCCACCGATCAAATCCACTTGGTGAACTTATATCCTCTTAAATCCATTGAATGAAATAAAGAATTAGGAAAACTGAAACAGAAAATATGCAAAAGTAACTAACCAACAGAAGTCAACTAAAGATGCCAGAGATCAGTTGAGGACAGTTCATGCCAAATTTGGATTTCAACCTGCTTAGTTTTCACCTTTTTACCAGCCAGTATTCTCCACCTGAACGGGACATGGCGGACTGGCAGTTAGTGTGCTCGCCTGGGGCCATGGCCGGGCCATTATGCTGTATTTTTAGGCAGGACACTTAATTTTCACTATGTCCATGAAAACATTGTGCTGGAGTGGACTTCCTGCAATAGACTGGTATTCCATCTAGAGCAAGAGGTAATACTAACTCTGGCCTCATGATAACCGAAATAAGCTCTAACAGTGGTTCAAATCTGTGTCCTTCTGTCCACTTTCGGCAGTGTACAAAGATCTGAGCTGGTTATTATAATTCGTAGCAAAGCTTACCTTAAATGTATTAAAATCCTCAATACCGCGACGAAATCCAACATTCACCAGTCTTACACTTTTTAACAAACAGGAGTCGAGCGTCTCGCAGAATGATCTGAGAAATGACTGGATAACTGTTGTGTTGTGGCCCTAGAAAGAAGAAATATAACAATGTGTGAGTGACAATTAAGTTAAATCGGAAAAGCACTTCCAAGAAAAATGAAAATAATCAGAGCTGTTACATATAACTACCGTAGTAAGAATGGTTTAATCTGAAATAAAAGGATAGGATTTGGGCAAAAACAGAAGAAAAAATAAGATTTTTAATTCCAAATTTAGAACCGAAGGCACTGATTTCGAACATGTATATGACATTTAACTGGTCTTACCTTATAAACAAGTAAAAAACTGTAATGTTTAACAGAGTGCTATCGATTGTGATCGAAACATATAAACTCTGACTCTCAGAGAATAAAAGGCATTCTAAATTCAGCATGCTAAATGGTAAGGCATTGTACCTTGCAAACTGCTTGTTCATCTGAGTGTGTGCTCTGCGTCACATAAACAACAGATACACAACAACCGGGAGCTATCTGTTTCAAGTTAATTTGGGATGCCTGTAATAACAGAACATGAAATGAGGTACGTCTGTAACAAGTCAGTTTCCTCCACCTGGGCTACATAGAGAGGTGGAGCGTTATGACGCCATGATCAGCATGCAAGCATGTCAGCCTTATCAGCGCTTGGCCCGCTTCTTTTACATCAACAAAACATTACGAAGTGGCGCTAACTTCCCGAAACAGCGAATAGAAGTTGACGTCCTGCAATGGACCAAATAGTGTATTTTTAATTTTTTTAAGACTGAAGCAAACTTGTTTGACGTTTATCTCTCTAGTTGGACGGTGAAATTAAAAAAATAGGTATTATGAAAAAAAAAATTCTTAACAGGTAGCGACGTGCTGCTAAGACTAAACTAACCAAACACTGCGCAGTATCTTGTGATAGATGTCCATCTGAAGATATGTCAGGAAGATACGTGACCTAGAAACACAATCATTTTAGAAGTCCAATGGTGAAGTATATTGTTAAGCTTGACCTTCCTAGCTGTAACATGAAAAACACTTACAAGACAACACATACCCAGTTATTAGAGATACAGTTTTCCGCTGCAAAACCATCGCTCGAAACTGTCGTGCAGGATGAGAATTCTACAGAGTTGTCTTTTGAGGCGATTTTACTTTTATTTTTTCCATTTTTTTTCTGGCAGGATAAGATTTTGGCGGTTCAAGACCACTGAAATTTTTTCTTGGACCTTTTGTTACGACATTCAACTGATTCCAGCAGCAGAGCAATAACATGGTTGGAGAAAAACTTAATCGTCGAGTAATTTATGCTACAGATGATTATTAGACAAATATTTCGAGAGAGTCTGGCTACGCAAAATACAAATTGACACTTAGATCGCGTGTGCAGTTTTACACTCGGCTAAAGGCGACACGTATCGGTCACATCTTGCGGCATCTACACGCGCATATACTGGACGATTGAGGACTATCGGAAAAATATTCTTCAATTAAACTCCACGCAATATTCATGCCATACAGGTAGAGAAGAGACACTTCTCAGCGCACCAGTCCAAGAAACTCCTAACTTGGACCTGCTACGGTCATCTCATCATCATCGGTAGGGGATAGGGCACTTCTGACTAATGCTTGGTTCGTTCAGACACATGGCTAGAAAAAACACATTCACTGTGATTAAAACAACCCAAACGTACCATTTCATCTCTCTCTTGCAACTGTTCATGCAGCTTTCCCGCGAACTCTGGGAAGTCTGTTCCATTAATCACCAACAGCACTTGCTGTTGCTTTTCTGTGGAAAACAATCCCCGAATCAGTTATTGTAAAGAGATAAATCATGTATTCCTGTACAACACATGTACCCCTAGATTTCTACTTAGATTTCTACATGTACACAGATCAACCCTGGCAATCCGACCTTTCTGTTGAATGTCAGTAAGAGCATATCTTTTTTAATTTTGTTTTTTCTTAACTCAATTAAAAATTGGATCATACAACAAACAAAATTTGCGCACCTTTCAAGATTCCTTCGGCAGAATACAAATCCTTTCTGTGGGTAACCTATAAATATACATGCATGCTATCAAAGGTGACTCGGAGCTTGGATAAGTAAGACTTCTATCAGAGTTGAGAAGAAAATGACTCATTTAACAAATTGATTCCAAACTTTCGTGTGTCTGTTAAATAATTAATCACAAATGTCGTAAGATGCGTTAAAAAGAGAGCGCATGAAGAGAAACAGTGGCAAACCAAGCTCAGCCGTACGTGTCACCGATGTTCTCACCGCTCGTTGACATCTTTTTAAATCTAGCACCGAAGAGGCACATGCACATGGCATCATGGAGTATACTTATCTTACATAATAGAGAAGCAAACTTTTGCTCAGTGACGTCATCTATGCACCGGCCCTCTGACAGATCATTAGTAAGAGCCAATCAAAATGCATGTATAACTCAGCTGACTACATAACATGGTTTAGCATTGGAGATGACATCATCATTTGAACAATTAATCTCCTCACTCCCAGATCTCATTATTAATTATCTGAACTGCCTGCCATAGTCTGCCATGTTAGTTTGGAGAATTTGGTACTGGATCAACTATTAATCCTTCAATGGAAATTTTTCTTTATTCCCACCAATCGTCCGCTTGATACTGTACTGATATTGTAAGGAGAAATTCTGTCTTGGTGACCCATGGAAATAAGAAGTTAAACTTCAGGAGTAATGGAACATCCGCAAACAATTCATGGCACTTGACAAAAACTAAACTCAAGGAGGTACCAATTGAGGTTTAAAGCTTCATGAACTTTGTAGCTTTCCAAAGAGATGGTTTGGATATCAACTCAATCTGCCAATTTTCCTTGTTACTTCATCAGTGACCAATCACAGGCTGATCCAAAATTTTACTCCTCACCAACATGCTTTGATTGTGATAGTGAACATCTTAAAATGTAGATGCCCTTCACTTAACATTTAGCCATAACTTGAATGGGAAACTAAGAATAAATTAAGCCTTTACACCTTAGGATTGGTATGCATATTCTCCATACTGTTCTCTGTCCATTTGCTATGTTACTGACAAGGAGAATTTGTTCAACAATTAGGAGCATCTATGGTGAGTGATCATTTCTTTAATTCTCATGGCCTTAATATTTGATTCAACAGTGACACATTAAGGAGAGATAAGATGCCAACAACTCTTTGGGGTTAAAGTGTATTATTCTTGTCATGATTGGTGTTAATGGCTGTCTTTGCACCAGAAGTAAAATTAATAACCTTCCAAAGAAACTCAGGTCCATCAATCAACAGAGCATTTGTATCAGCATACTTTTGAGCCAGGTGTAAACACTCTGTGCCATAATCAAAGTCATGTTCTGTGCACTGAAAGATGAAAAAAAAAACATACCATGAAAAAATGAAAATAAGTATCTGTGTTGAAGCTATATTGAGAATGAACAATTCACATCATCTAAAAATTTTAATGGAGCAGAGAACTAATTTTTAATCTTAACTGAAAAACAACTGTGAGTAAGGTATCAAATAAACAAGAAACAGCCTAAAGTGATGCCCTACAGTTAAAAAAGGAAATGAAAAGAAAACATGCTCAAATCGCAAGCATAAAAGCATTATTTTGATCCAAACCTTCATGTAGGCTTTCTGAATGACTTCATATTTGAAAGCTTGTGGCATTTCACTTGCCCTGAACTTTGACCTATGTGCAAAGGTCATATTACATAAGAAATTTGACAAATTGGTATCAATGTCCTCTGACGTCTCCAATCAAGACTGCCTGATTATAACAAAGATCCATTCAGAAATTCTCTATCTTGAAATATACCAAAGTTTGAAAGAAGTCCTGTTCATGGTATCAGTTGGAGACCAAGATTTGGAACACATGACTAGAGATCAGTTAACCATGCATAGGTTGGGTGAGATTAAAAAATAATGACATTTATTTGGAATTATCTGATCAGCCTACAGATGCTAATTATAATTATGATGATGCCCTTATTTTCCTGAAGGGTAAGATACCAGCTTGTTTAATCAAAACTGGGGCAACTGACAGCTCAATATATTCATCTAAATTTGGTATCAAGTGATGACAGCCCTGATGACTCAGAGTCCACCCTTGCATTCTTCAATGCACTTCATATTCAATGTGGAGCATCTGGACTGCTTCAATAGCTGTGAATGCTAATCCCACATTACCTGTCAAGTGAATGATCTAGGAACCCGTCACACAACTGAGCAACAACTGTAGATGAAAGTGGTCTGATCATCCCAGCTGCCTGAGGAAGAATTAACAAAAACAGACCTAAATAAGTTGACAATATGGAATCATCATCCACAAATCACAAGTTCACTTACCCCATGCTTTTTAGCAGCCATGGTCACACTCCTTAGAGTTTGTTCATCAACAAATGGCCTTACAGCATCATGAAGAATTACCTTAAACAGAAAAAAATTATGACAGCTGTTTCCATTGGAATTTAAGGAACATCATTTAAGGATCACATTAACTGTTCAAAGTCTTATGCAATCCTCATTCTCAGTTTAAAACAACCATTAACATCTGAAATCCTCTCAGAATTTTTATTGTGTTATGACCCATCATATTAGCTGAGCTCCAATTATTCTTGGATAGCATGATTGTTTCTAAATTTTTAAGTCTTTATAGCAATCTACATGAAAGAAACAGTTTAAGAAACAGCATTAATTTCATAGCCAAACATTTGTAACATTTCATTGGTGTTTGTTTGTCTTCTAATCATAATTTCAAATATAATTCATCCAAATATACCCACTTCATACAGAAATCATTAGAAGCAAATCAAGAAATGTCCACTGCTAAATTATTATTATCATTATTATTATTATCATTATTATTATTATCATTATTATTATTATCATTATCATCTTTAATTGATTACATTGTGGAAACTCCAGAGAAATTAGTCTAATTTATGACTTGTAGTAGTTCTAAAAACATTGGGGTTTATCTTTTAAACTCCATACAGTATAGCAATAATACACAGTTGTGTTTATAAAAAAATGTATAAATGATTTGAATAGCAGTAAATAACCATTACATAATTTGAAAATGATCACTAAGATTATTGCATTTACCATTTTCACTTACTACTGTTGGTGAACCTCTTCCATCTGCAGTGATTGCTTGAATACCATTCCATAATGATCTGTGTCTATTTACAGATGAGGAAGATGAAACAATATACCCTTACATCAGCTTGAATACTCATTTCTTCCTGCCCTACCATGTCCATCCTACCAAATCCTCCCCCTTATTGGTCAAGAGTCCCACCTCTTTCATTTTCTGACCTGTTTGAGGTTCCCATAGTTCTGTCCTATTGAACTAAATGCAAAGCCAGGGAAATTATTTCAGGGAAACCTAACTCAAAAAGCCATCTCTGCACCTCAGCCTGAAATTAGTCACTCTGAACTTCAGGAGAATAGAGTCACTCAGAGTGTGATTATATTCTAAACTGACCTTGTGGACCCTCCATAAACTAATCTGACTTTACTGTGATTAAAGTCTTTCAAAATCTGTAGAACAGTACAAAAAATAAGGATAACATCAATAAATGTGTATACTATGAACATACATGTAATAATATTGATTTACGAAAATTGGTTTACAGCTCACAAATTATCCTGTTAATACTGGTTGAATCATGAGAGACACAGAGGTATAGGACTTAGTCTACTGGACTCCAGGTTGAGATTTCTAGGTCTGAGATCTGGTTGGTCGTTGTGCTGTGTTCTTGGGTAAGACATTTTACACTCACAGTGCCCCTCTTCACCCAGTAGTATAAATGGGTTTTGGCAAATTGTCAGGGAAGCCCAATGAAATGCTGGTGGTAATCTGAAATGGACTGGCATCCCATCCAAGGGAATTGAGTAGTAATACATCTTTTCACTTCATGCTACAGAAACTGGGACAAGCACCAGCTGGATAGACCCCTTGCCTCAAGTGAAGACTTTACCAAACAGCTAGATAAATCCAACACCAAAGAGAAAAATGATCTCTACAATAAAGTCTGGTGGCATATTTTAATGATAGGCATTACCTGCTGTGCTTCCTTTATATAGTTTACATTGATGGGAACAACAACTTCCCTGATCCATGACACACTACAGTGCAAAATATCACTGTTAAGATTAAGATTATGAAAAAAGACACACCCACTGAACAAACAGTCTTGTTATTTCACAGACTTCACTTTAAGTTTGACCCATTGACTCTTCATTTCACAAAGTTTTGGCCACTTTCTGGTTCTCTGCCACAAATCAAATACTTGATTGACCAAGCTCTTCTTTGCAGTTAAGATGGCTACAAATCTACCTTCATTTTGTTTTGCTCACCTCATGATTTTAAAAGGCAAAAATTATCTTGGCCAAAATTCAGAAATTTTGACCTCCCATCTATCAAATTGCTAGTGCAATAATATAGGAAACAAACTTTGATATCATAAAGGTTTACCTTTCAAATGCTGCCAAGGTGTAACTGATCAATGGCCTTTCTTTAATTTCACAAAACTTAAAAAAAAGACAGCAGTCAAATAGAGGCTGTCAAACTTCTTAAGCATAATTAATTTAGCAATCTTCAATACACTGAGAGTTCTCAGAATATAACTCATTCATTAGATATTTCATCTCAAAGGCCACTGCTTCATATGGTCTACTTATGTAAAGCTCATCGTTGTCAGCTTCTCGGGCTGCAAGGATAATTCTAAATAAAACAATCTACTATCATGGGAAACCCCACCTGCCTCCATCCCCACCAATAAACATCCACCTCCTACTGACTCAAGTTTTGAAGTAATCAGTGTCAGGGAAGATAGGCGTTTCTCCATTAGAGTGTTTTGTTCCCCTTTATTGGTTGTAACACTTAAAACCACCTCTAAAAGTACAGTAGCTTTGACTAAGGAAATTATAAAATATGTCTAAGGGGGGTATGGGTTCAATTTTCATTATGCCAGCATAATTCTGGGCATAATGCATTAAACTGCATTTCTAGTAATTTTATAACGAAAAAGTTTTCAGGATCGTCTTCAGCGTCTCATTCTGTCATTTTTTCGGGTAGTCATTTCAAAGAAGGCCTGGTTACTATCTCAAATGCTCATGTAAAAAAATGTCGTTTTAAAGTGCAGTAAGACTTTTATCTACCCCTAGCAAGTTTCACCCGTCGGTGGAAGGGAGGGGTAGTGGGGGTTGAAGGGCTCTTAAACGCTCTTAAATAAATAAAATGAGTTATTAAATGGAGCATAATGAAAAATCTACCAAAATTTTGGGCATAATGCTATGTTTTAGGGGTGACGCTCAAAAGCATAATGCTCGAATTTCCGAGCATAAGATATTTGCCCTTACAAAAAACAGTGCATTCCGATATTCAAGAAGTATGCCAAAGACGATCTACAGACTTGCCAATGTATCAAATCAAGTACTTTTATTAAATATTATTTAATTTTTACCTGCTTAGGGAGTCTCAAGTTCATTCTCACTCCGGATCCACCAGCTGGTAACACGGCCACAACATCATAACACACCGGTTCCTTGCCATCCCCGACAGCCGCCATTTTGCTTTTGAAAACACTCTCGCTCTAGCCCCCTCGCGGCCAAGTCCGAGGGCAAAACTTAGCGTTTTGAGATAGTAAGACAATATGCCGCAATTTCCGTTTGCCCTCCACTCTCCACCCAAAACCACTCATCCTAAATTGGTTCACAAGGTCAACTAATCATCTCTTCGACGGCAAAGCGATACTTCACTTTAATCACGTTCGTCCTTGTAGAAATATTACCTGAGGTAGGTTGGTGACAAGGCCATTTCAAGCATTTAAAGGGAGGAGGAGAACTTTTCTATTCATTTATCCTCTTACGCTCCTCTTTATTTGGGCCACACAACAGCGCATAATTTGCATCTCCAATCATGATATGCTTTCATCCAAAACGTGTCACAGAACAGTTAACTGCGTTAGGATGGGCTAGGTCGACAGGAAGTCGGTTGAGTTACGAGTTCCGGTTCCAGACTTTTTAGCCTTCCCAACGATTTTCAGTCTTCTGCATTAAAAAAAGTAGTATATGATGAGTGGACGGAGGGTTACACAAAAGAGCATGACTTACCTTTGCATGATGTTTCGGTCTAATGGTTATGATCAGCTCAGAGCTCGAGGGCTCAACTAGCATTATATTGATAACAAAGACAATTCACAGTTAATTACTGCGAGGGTCACTTGAATTCACAATTCACAGTGTTATCTACCGCGACTTAGAAAGACGCCCATCGGACGAACATGGAAATCAAAGCTGAGGTAAGATAGTTATTTGACTCGTTGGGTTTTCACCTCGTTGCTCTTTTAAATCGCAACATTCCGTCGGCTGTATAGTAAGAAGAACATGCCAAAATATGAGAAGAGTTTATGATACTAAAGTCTTGCGTTCTTGGTGTCTCTCGAGTCTCGCAATTTTGTATTTTAACATTCGCCACCCCCACACGAGGCGACTACAAAAACGTTTCTCGACGAAAGTCAGCAAACCCTAAAAGATTCTTAGAATCGGCCATGATGAAAACAAAAACAATTGTCAAAGTCTCTACGATTTCTATAGACATCGAAGCTTCAAGAAATAATACTAACATGCCTCAATCGGCGGAAACTATAAACATAGTGATTAAAACAAAAGTAAAATAGGTGAAATATATGGTAACAACTTTATACCGTAACGAGAATTGACTCTAAAGTGTAGTCAAGGAAGGTTTTTTTTTCTGCAAAACAACTGCTAATATTTAGTTCGAAGGAGTCTCACAATAACAGAATCCGAATTTTAAATCACACGGCGTCGCTGGAGGCATCGACCTACTCGAATCTCACAGGATTCCTTCACTTTGACAACAAGTTATACATTGGCGAAAGAGGAAGACGACGAGGTGACCCATTCCGAACACCTTCGCGACGTGGAAAGAAATGACAAGGACGCATCTAAACTAGTCGCTAGATACTTTAATCTCCCTAATCATTCAAAACAGCATATGGCAGTTTGCGGCCTTTCCTTACATCTAGGCAGTTCGGAAAGCCGCAAAACACTAGAACAAAAATTTATCTTTCAAATCGGCACCCTTATCCCCACGGAATCAACGAGCGCTTTTCATTCAACTAATTTATCCCTGAAATTAAAAGCTCCTCGCAGCTAAGAACACTACTGAACGAGTAGTTGAAAATAGGACCTGAAAAAAATTCAGGCCCGTACGGGAGAGATGAAATTAACAGCTCCTCGAAGCTCCTCGCAACACTTCACCGCAGTGCAAATATATGAATTCCATATATCTAAAATCATCATTCATCACCTGGATGGTTTATTTGGACCCAACACATTGAAAATTACCAATAACCATTCAAATTATTCCAAGCATTTTCAGGAAGGAAACTAAGTAGTTACTACGGAAACAACACAGCCCCTTAGAGACCCCTTGAATATCGATTTGTAATTGGCTCAAAGATAGATGTCTCAATACACTGGTGTTCGTCAGCTAAAAACAATCACAAGGTTTGAGCGCTAATTAAATTAGCTTTGTACTGAACAGCATTTCACAAATGAGTAAGTAAGAAAAGAACAATCAAGAAAGCAGATTCATACTTAACAAAACTTGTGGTCAACAATAAACCAATCAATTCGCTCAAGCACGGTACCAGGACCTATCAGTAGAAGAATTGTCTAGATACCTAGCCGCTGTTCGGGATAAAAGGAGAAACAGATCAGAGAACGGACTTGAGAGAACAGCAGAGGGAAAACAGTCATGAGAGTCTTGAGATCTTTTCCCCATTCCCTGTTTGAAATAATAAAGTGCACTTTGTGTGGCGGTAATTTTTGTAACATGGGTAGAAACAGCTGATGCTTCAGAAATAACAGCGGTTACTGAGGTACTGTTGTAAAGCTTTGTGTGTTGTTTGAAATTTTTTTGTCTCACAGCCAGGAGAAACTAAAGAGGAGAGAGAGACAGGCAAAGGGTTGACCTACTCTATAGACGATACTCCACCATGGTACCTCAGTATCGTGTTGGGATTCCAGGTAGGGCAATTTATCAACACCAGTCCCTTAGCATCTCAGTTCCATCAAAATTTTAGTTTTTATGGTTCAATTTAATGAACAGGATAAGGGCATTTTATCATATTGTCTTGCAGCATTACTTGACCATGTTCGGTTCAACACTGGCGATTCCTCTTGTTTTAGCCAAGCCCATGTGCTACGACCAGAATCCGTTAGCTACAAGTGAGATCATTGGCACCATATTCTTCATATCTGGAATTTGTACCTTATTGCAAACAACTTTTGGAAATAGGTAAAAGGCAGTATTATGATAGCAATTAAATAATTTTTGCCCACTCATTTTTAGGTTGGAGGTGAGACGGAATAAAAACGCACGCAAAATACGGGAGAGATCAAACAAAGTTCCCTTAACTACATCTGAAAAATACTTAAATCGTCGACTGACCGAGCCAAATTCTACTTCCTACTCGCTTCTTCTTCCCATCTTTGCTACCTATAAACTTATATTGGCTAAAAACTCTTGACAATAGAAATTTCATAGATCGTATGAGCTTTAGCCATGATTACATTCTTTCTTTTCAGACTTCCCATCGTCCAAGGCGGCACCTTCTCGTTTCTTACACCTACTTTTGCTATTCTAAGTCTTCCTCAATGGAAATGTCCCTCTCCTCCCTCAACGGCAATACCACCAACAGGTAACACTGATGAAAACTGGTCCTGTTGTAATGCTTGCGAGCAGGGTCTCATGGGTACTGTAGCAGTAACCTCCCAGTAAAACGATTTGCTTGTGGGCCACCTGTTGTTCAGAGAAAGCTTGAAAGCCAACTCGTAATGGGTGCAGGTTTTGGTTTTTATAGGGAATATCTTATAGGGAATATCAATTTTCATCCGATTCTTGAGAGTCTATTGACCTAATACAGAGCTACATGCTTATTTACTAATTTTAATCAAAATGATATGTCTCTTCCACGAAAGTGTTTTTTTGGTTTTTTTTTGCGTGTAGTTTGCTTTGAAATATACTATCAGCAGATGAGTAACAAGAAATCACCATCAAAAGAGAAATCGCTTTTTCATTTCTTTGTTTAGGAGCGGTCAATTTAAGTACTACAGCCTCACTCTTGAACGTCACCACAACTTCACCAAGTCCATCTGTCCTTGGCTACACTGACATATGGAAACCAAGAATGAGAGAGGTACCTGGAACCTAGATTCACTGAAAACTTAAAATAACTTAGATTACATGAAGGCTGGCTTTAGAAAAAGTTCACATTGTTTTCCTGTTCCTAAACCTTTCTTTTATCTATTTTTATTGTGTCTTTGTAGATCCAAGGAGCCATCATGGTAGCATCTCTGTTTCAAATTTTCATCGGCTTTACTGGTTTAGTAGGGTTTCTTCTTCGTTTTATTGGACCGCTGACTATCGCTCCAACCATAACTTTGGTTGGATTGGCTTTGTTTCAAGCTGCAGCAGATTTCTCGGGTGCGTGTTAATATCTTATAGCATGTTCTTTTGCACCGTGTTGGTTTCAGAGAGGCCTTGGGTATGACCGTTACAAATAGCACTCGAATTTTCATGCATCATTTTATACCATGTACATGTGAACATAGATATTTTCTCTTGATCTCGTACTATTTGTATTATCACAGATAATCCTACACATTTTAATTTTTGGGGATTTATCAGTTTGTCCTCTACCCGCCAAAATAGGGTCCACAGGAAAAGTTTCGTACAAAAAAACGTCCTTAAACCCTCTTCTAAATAAAGTATAGGGGAGAAGGAAAGGAAAAAGGCCTCTATTTGAGTTTGCTGTTATCAGTCACTCCTTTGGGACTGTCATGTCCTATCTTGTAAGATGGTTATAAATAGTTCAGTCATATGTCTCAAATAGGTAGTGTGTGGCAACTCAATAAGTGATAAGGGTTGATTAAAGTTTGTTATTATTACAGGTATCCATTGGGGTATATCTATTACGTAAGTACAAAGTTTGAGATGAATAGTTTAATAATCATTATGATTTGAATCCGTCTTCAGCGCTGATTTCAAGCCTTCAATGCATGTTTTTGATTCTCAGTCATTTTCTCTCGCTATCATTCAACTACACTGATCCACAACCTTAAAAGTTTCAGTACTAAACCATCAACATGGCGATCGTCAATTTTAGATGAGCATCACAAACTTTTTATTTATCATTTTATACATTTATTTATTCCAGAACCATTGCGCTTATTACAGTATTCTCTCAATACCTAAAGAATGTCAAGATACCTTTTCCTGGCTATTCAAGGGACAAAGGGATGTACATGGCCAGATTTGCGTTATTCAGAATGTTTCCGGTCAGTTGCAACATTATCTATTTGTTTGGGCAGATTAAAGTTTTTACATCCGTCGTGCGCATCGTGCGAGACCTGAGCAAGCCCCACCTTATCAAAATTTGCATAATATTTTGACTAACAGACAAATTTCATGACGAAATCATATCATATACGAACTCAGCAGATGAATGACGAGACACAAACAACGCTGGCTGCGTCATTATGAAGTATGCCTCAGCTTAATCCTCACTTTCAGTATTTCATTGTCCTTCAACTATTCGAGATTAGGCACCTTTATTCAGTTTTTAGCCGTAGAGATTTCGTCATGTATTTGTTAGAAACTGAACTAAGCACTCACTTGATTGTTTAGCAGTTCCTCAGGAGTTTTTGATTTTAATAGTAAAATGCTTGTTCTGGTTCAGAGACTTCAGCGGAACATTTTCAGCGAAACAGAAGCACGCTTCTTTCCTTTTGTTTTAATCTCTAAAAAGGGAAGTCGCATTTTAAAGTCAAAGTCATTCTGTTGTTTCGTTTGTGTTTTAATCTTAGATTCTGCTGGGGATCATCTTATCGTGGATCATTTGCGCCATTGTCACTGCTGCTGGTGGATTTACTGATGACCAGAACAATCCACAGTACCAGGCAAGAACAGACGCTAGAATTTTCGTTTTGAAAGAGGCAGAGTGGTTTAGATTCCCGTATCCCGGTAAGAGAAATAAAAGATCAGCACGTATATTTAAGACTTAGTTAGAAGAGGGTATTTCGCGCGCCGCTGTACGTCATAGTCATAGACTATAGAGTGTACATCAAAGTAAAGTTCTCTATCCTGACCCCTTTAACTTATGATACCGCAATGGATTTTGGTAGTCTATGACCCCGCTCACGAACCTTTATCTCAGGTTGCCCTTGCGCTGTCTAACGATTAATGATTTCGCTATTTACGGTAGTTTCTTGGGGACATGACAGTATAAAGAATTAAAGACCTAATATTAAGCAATGTACAGAATATACAATATTAAAGTATTTGCATAGTCTTATATCTTCAGTTCTGTATATTACTGCGATGATCTTCCTGCAATAAAAATCTTTTTTCCACACTTCAAAGTTATGATCTCTATGTATTTCTTTTGAACTTTTATTTTAATGTATGTTGAGCAACATATTCCTGTCAAATTTAGGTCAGTGGGGCACACCCACTTTGAGTGCTGCTGGCGTGTTTGGAATGCTGGCCGGGGTACTAGCCTCCATGATAGAGTCCATTGGAGACTATTACGCATGTGCAAGATTAGCAGGGGCTCCACCTCCGCCGAAACACGCTATAAATAGAGGCATTGGAATGGAAGGGATAGGCTGCCTACTGGCTGGAGCCTGGGGTAGCGGAAATGGAACCACCTCTTACAGTGAGAACATAGGAGCGATTGGTATCACAAAGGTATTCGTGTGTCATCATTCACCTCGTGTTACAAGTTTTCCTAGTAGAGCTTAATATGTTGACGTTATTCGTTTTCAGGTTGGCAGTCGTCGTGTTGTACAGTACGGAGCTCTAATAATGATCCTACTCGGGATACTCGGCAAATTTGGTGCCTTGTTTACCACTATTCCAAACCCCATAGTGGGTGGAGTATTTATGGTCATGTTTGGAATGATAACAGCAGTCGGTATTTCCAATCTTCAGTTTGTGGACTTGAATTCTTCCAGAAATCTCTTTATCCTTGGTTTTTCATTGGTGTTCGGAATGGCGCTTCCCTATTGGCTATCTCGAGAGGAGAACAAGGACGTAATACAAACAGGTTTGCTTCAATTTCAATCATTTCATTACAGACAGACGTTACCAGTTTGTCTTGTTTGAGTATAAGCGATGTCGGAACTCCATATCATACGATATTTACATTATTCCCTAGGTGAACCCGAGCTCGACCAGATTATTACTGTGTTACTACGAACCAACATGCTGGTTGGTGGAATTACAGGTCTTCTACTTGACAACACAATTCCGGGGTCACGTGAGGAACGAGGTATGCTGGTATGGAACAGTAAGGCGGGAGAAACTGGTCACAGTGGAAATCATGTTTATGATCTTCCATTTGGATTGAAAAAGTTGAGCTTTTACAAGTGCACTAAATACGTTCCATTTCTGCCGTATTATGAAAGCGAAGAAGTGCCATCAGTGGAATTAAAGGAAGTATCACAAAAGCATGTTGATCTCCCAGCAGTTTAATGTAACAGTTTCATTATTGTTACAGGATATGGTTCATGGTTTTCATAAGCTTTTATTACTAAATGACCGTTAGTTATCGCTACTAAGAACTCAATAAGGCAACCACAAATTTTCTTTCAAATTTTTTGTCAACTTTAAAAAAAGTTCTCAAATGGAGGCAGCCAATCAGAGGTGCCATTCTTTTCCCTTTAGTGGAAACCATCACGGCATATAAATACAACTCTTTGAGGCAAAGACAAGTAGTTTCCGTATGTTCGAGGTTAGCCGTAGCATAGTGTGTTCATAGCATGGTAGAGAACGCCAAATAAATCAACTACATAACGAAACCATGCGTCCTATTTGACAGGAGATTAAGGGAAAGTGGGGAACTTGACCAAACATTTTTAATGAACATGGGACATCTTCTGAGAACAGGAAAACTGTGAAGGAAGGTCACCACCTATACAATAATACAACCCTCAAAAACACATTCCTTGCGAAAAGTACATACCTCTCTAGAGATAGGTCGTCCTATCTTCAAAACAGAGTTTCCTTCCTAGATAGCCGGGTCACTCACCAAAAACTAGCTGCCCTCCGATAGTTTATTCCTTTTAAAAAATGTATTCTCCCTCAAAAATATTTTGCCCTCCACGTAAAAACGTAACCCTTAAATGAAGGTAATAGAAACTCAGGCAAATGCCTCAATATCTTTATTACTGTTTTTAAAGTAAAAGTTTCTGAAAAAAGAAAAAAAAATAAAAACGTATGCACTGTAGACATTATGAGAAATCGGAAAGATGAAAATCAGTTTCTATTGTTTGTGGCAAAAGTGAGTGAGTGTGTCACGGTGCCGTAAGAAAGAAATCGGGGACTAGATCTGATCTGTGTCGTGAGTGTGTAATGTTTAACTCTTTTGGAGTTTCCCGCTAGATATAAGGGAGTTTATAAGTCAGGCAACAAATTCGTATATTGCGGGTTCGACGAACCTCAGCCATATGAAGTGAAAAAGATAAAGACTGACAGCAGATAGAACGAAACGATATTCCATTAGGCTATTGAGGAGAGCATATTGAAATAATTTTCTGTAACTACCGATATAAATAAACCTGCCTTTGAGGGCAGCAAAAACCTTAAAATGTTTCATATAAATTTCTCACAAAGAAGATATATTTCAATTTGCTATATTTCAAGTAGGCCTAGGAGGTCTTGGAAAATGCCCATTTCTGATTGGGTAACATGTTACAGTTCTTTATCGCCACTGTATTTCCATCTCCTTGAAGCTCTAAACATCTTTCTTGATGCGTGTTACGAAGGGTGCCCTGAAAAAATATTAAGAGGCTTCATGTTTATTCGCGTTTTAGAAAATCTGGGCGCGATGTCCTAGCAGATCTAGTTTGGACACTAGTCGAAGGACGCCCGGAGGGAACAAATATGTAACCCATTCAACCCATTAAATACATGCTGTATAGACGAGCGTGAAATTGAAGATCAACTTAAACTTTCTTTCCCTCAGAACAAAAGCTAGTCCCTTCAGATTTCTACATGGTACTGAATTCCTCTGCGAAAACCAGTAACTGACAATAATGGATGAAAGCGTACGACTCTAAGGAGAACATAAGCTTTACCTTTGACAGTTCCCATTGTTGGCTGGTTTCTCCACAAGAAAAAAGATACACACTGTCAGACTCTCCTCCAACACAAAATGAATCTTTTACTCCGGCTTTCAACTCCCCATCGTCCGTTAGAACAAAATGCTGTGAAGAATGTGACACGACAATCGTTATAAGAACAGGTCTGTTAACTCGTCTCCCGCAAATAAGTGCGTTTAAATCGACTTCCTTGTTGTGCTATCCAGGCTAAATAAGGGCTAAAAAAATCAAGAGTACTAGAAATAAATCAGCCGCGTGTCCTATACACTTCGCGGTTCTGACTGCTCTAGTAGTGTTGTCACGTGAGAACTTCACTTCAAAAATACCTCCTAGGTCTTTTTCTTAGTTCTGTCCAATTTTTCCCTGATTATAATCTTATCATCCAAACACTAGTTGGGCAATTTTGATTATCAATATGACGATCTGATACTTTGCTTGAGGAGCAACAAAATTTTCTTGGTGAAATTCCTATGTTGTCGGAAGGGCAGTCTGAGTTCTTTTATGTACATTACAAACCTGATTTCCACCCATCCCATGGCAAGGAGACACACCCAGTTCAGAGCCAATAGACCTGGCCATTGTATCAAGGCACATTCCAGTCTCAGGATTGCGAGCCTTCAAAAAAATCCATACTTTAATTAATAAAAAAGGATTACTATGTTATATCCATCACAGTCGGACATCCCATGGATAGTGAAAGTTTGATTTTTTTTTTTTTTGTCGATGATCAAAACATATTAAAATTTGTTCATTCAAAACAGCCTAAGAAAATATATAAGCAATCGCCATGCATTTTAAGAGCCTCTGGACCTTATCTCAATTCTTGATGAATGATGCTGTCATGAGTATTGTGAATTCCCTTGATGAGATTGCCAAGTCAGCTGAGGTTGGAGTTTAAATTCTCTGATCCAGGTGACATTATGTATGGGGATCAATCGTTTCAAAGAGAACTTAAGCAGAACACCCACGAACATATAGTTCACGTTGTTCCAGTGTCCTCCCCCCCTCCCCCTCTTACCTCCCCGTATGCGTGACTTTCCTCTCTTGGGGTAGTTTGTTCAGGATAAACATTATCCAAGTACCATTTGAAGCTTTTACACTTAAGCCGCTTACGGAGTTCCAAGCGCTTTGTCAAGTTTCCATGATCGACTCCTTCTAAGTCCGGTCTCTTCATAAACACGAACTTTTTGTATTCATCCATCCATACGTGAACAACACGTGCAAGATTCACCGTGACCTCATGATAGCCACCCGGAAACTTGTATGGAAAACGAGAGCGGAACACGTGACCAACACGAGAACATGGAATTATTTCTATTTTTCCTCCACATTGCCAAATCTGGAATAAATTAATAAAGGACATCAACAATAACGATGAAGAAAAGATTAACTTCTATATGTAACTGTTGAAATATTTTTAATAGGAGTTAAAGTTTTAATTCGCGATGGCGGAGATTGGTTTTGTATCAACATAGAAAACAATCATTTATTTTGTTTTAAATTTTTTTCTTTGTCTTTTCGCTGTAACTACTTCGGAAAAGGTTTAGCTGATGTCAATATGAGTTTAGCTACATTTCAAGACTTTTTAATTTTGAGTTCGGTTTGATCCTCGTGTCAACATAAAAAGAAAGAAAAGCCTTCATCGCAAGGAAACCTGGAAACCAAGGTAGCCTGTATGTGAGGTGAAGTTTATCGGCTAATTAGGAAACAAAACTTCAGAGAGCCATGACTTCTAATCATTAACACCTCACTCGAAAGGACATCTCCAGATTTTCTCCTCCCCAAACTTCCATTCCTTCGTCGTAAGAGCCAGATTCGAAGAAGTACTTGCGATCAATAGAAAACAGCCCTCCTGCCATTGTAGGAGTCCTGCCATGAAAGAAAAATATGCACACATAACCGGGAGATTTTCTAAGCGAGGTGCACTCCTACAAATAATTCACTTTTGGTGATAAATGTTCATTTTCAGAGGGAAAGAACTCGTTAGAAAAAGTGAATCAAGTCCGTAAGGAGCCAACCTTCACAAAAATTGGGAACTTGAATGAAAACCACCTTCTCCTGTTCAAAAAATTACTTCTAGTTAATCTTAAAGGAACAGAACTTTGCGAAGAAACCAAGAGATTCCTAAAAACTGAACGTCTCAACTTGGTGAATTCAAAAAGCCCCCTGTTCTTTTGGATGCAGTCATCTTAAATTTAGAAAAGCTTTCGAATTATCCAGTTATCTGAACTGTTGGTTGCACCGATACACTTGGTCTTTGTTGTTTTTTCTCCGATTCTTTCGGAATGATCGGAGACTTTCTAAATCCCTTACTGCAAAATAATGGGTACAACCTCTTTTAAGTTCAACTGTACACTAACCTGGTAACTTGGTATTATCAACCAAGTTGACAACGTAAATTGGCCACCGTAAAAAGTTTAAAAGCTGACGTTTCGAGCGTCGGCCCTTCGTCAGGGCGATTGACGAAGGGCTAACGCTCGAAACGTCAGCTTTTAAACGGTGGCCAATTTACGTTATCAACTCAGTTGGTGATACTTGATTACCTTGTTATACTCTCCCACCGAAGCAGCACCACAGTTTCTTTAGAAAGTTACCCCATTTATGCATACTAACCTGATTGGCTCGCTAAAGTCTTTGCGTTTGCTTCGAACACTCAGAGGTAATGAATGCCAGTTGAACTGCATGTCCCAGGTGAAACCGCCAATAACTTCGGCTGGTGTCCCTGAGTATGAGAAGTCTGTGGAGCTTATAACATCGATAACTGGCACAGGAACAATGGTACGGTCCTGTCGGATCCTTTCTAGTAGGGGCACTAACCAGTTCACGTTTGCTTCACAATGAGCGTCAAGAAATGTTAACACTTGGGCTTTAGCTGCGTTGGCTCCAAGAAGACGAGCCCGTATAAGCCCCTCTCTCTTTTTTGTCCTAATGATATGGACCTTAGTGAGCCTTGATACGTAATCTTCGAGCGGCTTTTTCAAATGATCTGGAAGAAATGAGCAATGTGCAAAAATATAAATAGTTATTTCTGACAGAAAGTGAGTGCTGCACAGCAGCAGGGCAGATATCTAGTTCAGATGTGAGAGGGGAAGAGTAAAACAAAACATAAGCTTGATTAGAACGTTTTGTGATTGAAGAGAATAACATTATTTGTTGTAGCTACAGGAAAGCCTAGAAAAAATATTGGAGGTCTCAGAGCTCAGGGTAAGAAATATATCTAAAATTATTTAGATTGTTGGGCCTATTTAGTTCAAATATGATACAAAATCAACGTCACGATGCACTCGGTGTAATAATTTTTGTAAAATGTTTTGCAAAGGATTAATAGCTGTGTAAAAGCTGAGTGCAGATTCGAGGATCATGTTTATGGTCGGACAGGGCGAACTGAACACAACGTGAAATCTTCTCCATTTACCAAAGGTGCTGAAGTCATCGACGAGTACAATCTCGTGTAGGAGGTCTGGGGGCGAGCGGTTTAACACACTGTGAACAGTGCGTAACAGAGTGGACCATGCCTCGTTATGGAAACAGATCACCACACTTGTAGTAGGTAGGTCCGAGACATGGTACAATTTACTCACGCATCTGGAATTAAACGAGGGAAAGTATACCTCATTAAGTCTGAAACGTTTCCTTGTCAAGTTCTCACTTCACACAATCAAGTTAAGGAAAAAGATTTTTAAGTCTATTGTTAGTATAATATATGTAAAGTAGAGGCAAGCCAGACAAAGCTGGTTCTTCCGTAACAACTCTTAGAGGCCAAAAACCGCTGGAGCATTTGATCTTAATTTATTCAAGGATCCGTAGGTGCTAAAACGAACGCGACTTGCAACGATTGAGGAGCTCCCATCCGACTTGCGTGACTCCCTCTGCCCAAATAAACCACAGTCTATGAAACAAAAAACTCTACTTAATGTGTCATCAGTATCTACGACTCTCAATAAAAATTCAGGCACTGTTAGAGTAAAGTTTGTTTCATACGAGCACTTCATGAGGACTTGAACGCAGATACCTTTTCTTCCTGCCAGGAAATACTCAGACTTAGCGGTTAGAAAAGTGACAAAAAAAACTCAAATACAAACTAACAAGACTCTTTCGACCAGGAAAACACTGCATCAAAATTTAAGTCGCCATCTAAAAGTTGAGGACTAAAAGTATTAAAAGTGATGGGACCACTACATCTTAAAATAAACTAACGAGCTGAACAAAGAACGAATGAAAAATTCAAACTATGAATCATGATTTGGCCATTAGCGAATTTGTAACACTCAATGAGATTCCAAAAGTTTCTGTCAGTGCACGAAGAAGTTTGAATACGAGGCAGTTCTGTTTACAAAACAAATTAATGAGGAAGCTAGTGGTTGAATGTAATTTATCGATTTGATCTATAAATAAAACCAATCAACCACTTTTACACCGAACTAATGGCTGTTCGAGAGAGCTGAAATTACACATCGTGATCGAGCATTAAGTGTTGCAATATTATCCAAAATTTCCTTTTGCGTGCATCAAAGTACAGCACTGATATTTGAATAACATTAACCTGATATTATTTAAATAAAGGCCACTGCTCACCCTGGACTCCTAGTGTCCTGAATAGATCGGTCAAGAGAAATTTTAGAACTGGCATATTCGTTGAAAGCGTACTTATCGTAACCAGCCTTCTCGTTGTATTTTTCTTTATCTAATATCCTCACAGCTTTGCCATTTTCCCCCGGACCATTCGGGTCATGTGTCGGGAATCTTGCGACGCCAATATTCGTGTCGGCAGAGTCTTTCCTTGGGTTGTCTTCGGCAATGGATCTCACTGACGAAATGAGTTTTTGATTTAAAAATTTAGGTTTTTTCCTTTTTCTTTCTGTTATAGTATCTTCTTTGAACCGTAGTTTTTCCAATGATTCCTTTTTACCATTTTTAACGAGTCCATTTTGAATCAATTGCCTGTCGTGATCTGACTTATACTTGAGTATCTTTGATATCTCAGTGTTTATGGTGTCGAGTTTCTCTCCGCCGTGGAGTGCGATCTCTGAAATTCCACGTGGCAATAATTTCTCTACGATGGCTAATTCCTTTGACTTTTGCTCAAATTCAAGCCAATCATCTTTGTTTCTCTGATCAGAGATAATGTAACTTTTGTGATCTCGTGAAGGAATATTTAGCTGATATGAAACAAGTATTACGGTATTGAGCGCAAACCAAAATATGGACGTCAGTAGAGCTACAACGATGACCTGCCGCGGTTTCTGAACAGTGCATCTCCACGCCATAACAAATTAAAAATACCTCAATTTATTCCAATTACTGTATCCTTCCTTTGTATCTCTGCTAGTCTGGGATGATTTCCTCCGTGATTTTCACTGTTATGTCTACCAAATCCCAAAATCAAACACAACTTGACTGGCCATCGATAGGCGTAATAAATTACCTCGCGCTATTTGCCATTTAAAGCACATTACTTCTGATTACTCCTGATAGAATCTCCCCATTCCACACACAAGTTTTGAGAAGTGTGAACAGAAATAGCTGTAACGACAAACATCATCCCATCACAACCAGCATCACTGTTTTGTCAGTGGCTCCTAGTATGTTGACTTAGCTCTGTGTTGAGTTTCCGCGAGCACGCGTATAGGATGACACGTATTGTATTAAAGAGCCATTAACAAGCTTTTCATAGTTCATCCCATCTCAAATTTAGTCAGCTGGGTAGGGGGCTTTTGTTCCGCTGTCTGCATGACCCGACAAAGGTAAATAATTCGCAGCGAACAATTTTAGTCCTAATTTGCATACGGGCAACATCACTGATGCAAATAATTAAGACGGGCACAACATCTAGTTAAAATCTAAACTATATCAATCTCTGTATGAAATAAAATACAGCCTAGACATTACGACTCATATCAACTCAATCTGGCAAAATTTTCTCTGTCTATTTATTGCAAAACTCAAATGGTAAGATAATTTCCTTGCGATTAAACTTTGGAATAATAACAGAGTAGAAAAGATTTATTTCAGTTTCCGTAACTATTTCCTTGAAGTATGTGGGGCATTTGTTACTAAGGGAAGTGCTTTTTCCAAAGACGTTTGACCCATAGCAGTCGTCAAGTCATGGTATGGTAACCGATTAGCGTACTGTTTCCTGACGAGGCGTGCTTTACTTTTTCAGCGTATTTAATTAAAATTAAGAAAAAACAAATTCGGCAACGCCTGATTACAAGTTGGGCGAGGAGTTGTCCGCTGCGATTGAACAAATCGAACGCTAGAATGATGACTAGAAAAATGAATTTCCTAGATCACCAACTAGATTTCATTGCGAAAGGAACACATCGACCCGACATGGCTCAAGATGTGACGATGATTGGTACAGATACGAGGCTTTAGAGACATCACTTTTTACACTTAATCCAACGTTTGTTTTCTTTTCATAAATTGGGAGATAAGAGAGAGGTTTTCCGTTTAAAGCTTTCGAACCCAGGTCTCTCCTTGTTACAGTTACAGGTGTGCAGTGTTGTCAGAATATATCATTTTCCACTGTGGGAGGATAACAAAAAATAATTTATTCCTTCTATAGTTGTTTTCTCTTCACAGAACTAATCACAAATGACATCTTATTTGAGAAACAAGTTTTCATAATCAACAAATTCTGACAGATAACTTAAATTGTTTATCGCCTAATTTCAAAACAATAAATTCATATATCCTAAAAAATTTCAGCTCTACAAAACGTACATTGTACATTTTTTAGGTACACTGATAACCGTAACAGCTGGACAGTGATGTCAGCACTATAGAAGCGTCCGACGTGCACACGAACATAGAAACAATTCAGTGCGGAAGAAAATCGAAAAAGAGTTCGTTCAACTTGAGCCAAACGAGGCGAGTGTCTCCGAGTTTTGATAGATAGTACTGTGGCGATTAGTGCTATACTGGAGTGATTCAGCAACGACTCGCTATAGGAGGGAGATGTTTCTTATCACACCCCAGTGGAGATGATTCCCGGTGGTACAGCTTCAGCCAGAACCCATGTTCTGAAATTGGACGATCATCAAGCGACCTCATCCTTCCCAGAGCTTAACTCCATACCGGACTATTGCCTCGTTTCGTCACTGTGCTGAGAATATGCGCAGACCGGCTGAGCATCAGTCCATCTCTTCTGTCTTAGAGAATTCCCATACTTGGGCCAGTCTCCCATCACACGCGCGAACTTTGGCATACTCTGCATTTGAGGAACCTCGGTCAATACATACATCATGGCGTGGATGGTAGAGCACTGTTTTCTATGAGCACAAAAAGAGTAACAAGGATAAGAAAAAAATGACTAAATTCGATACTCGACCACGCTAATTAAAACTAGTCGGCGGAGAGTAGGGCGATATATTCTTCAGAGGGTTTCAATGAAGTTCACCGCTCGTTAGTTGTAAAAAAGGACACCGTTAACATTTTCCTTAAATCACAACAGAAGTAGATAAACCGTCAAATGGCTAACATTTTAACCGCCAGTCGTAAAAGCCATCACCACATTAAGACTTCGATAAATCTCTTCGACATCACACTCGCCGCAATGGCTCAAGCTATTAGAGATTTCTTGAAGAATCATTTGCCTTCGCCTTCGAATTGAATTACTATTAGCGAAATGGCGCGAGGACGTGCTCTGATTTTCTCCTGCTTTTACGCGTCAATACTATTCTTATCGCTCACCAAATTCGCCGAAAGACAGCCTTCTCTTCAAGAAAATAGCAAAATCTCCATCACGAAGAATTTCTCGTGGTCGAGGCGTTTTCTCATATCAGTATACGCAAGCCTCTGCAATCAACGGAAGACGAAAACGATCCGCCATCTTGGCCTGTTGTGGCATGTGCGAGGTTTTCATGCGACCAGGATATGTTACTATGCGAACTCGCACTCAACATTCCATCAAATGCGACTCTACACAAGTGGGGACATCGACATAAATCCTGGTCCAGATGAATGTTCAGTGTGTAACAAGCGTGTTGCCCGAAATCATCGAGCGGTAAATTGCGATAACTGCAACATGTGGTGTCACATAAAATGTGCCTCGATCAGGCCAAGCGAATATAAGAACTATCAAAGACTTCCTTCATTTTCCTGGTGGTGTCCGATTTGCCTTTGGTCGTCTTTACCATTCGACAATGAGACAAACCTAGATTGCTCATCTGACTCGCATCTTTATCCATCTTTCGAAGTGGACCTGCAACTACCAACACTAGGTTGCTCATCTGATTCGCATATTTATCCATCACTCAAAGCGGACTTGCAACTACCAGGTTTGAAGATCTCACACATCAATGTAAATGGTCTTCCTAACAAGTTATTGGAAATTAAAGCTCTTTTTACTTTCGATGAATTTTGACATTTTAGCCATAACTGAATCCCATCTAGGTAAGGATATTACTGACGACGAAATCGCCATTACTGGATACAAAACTGCTCGATGCGATCGAAACGATGGTCGAAAAGGCGGTGGCACGGTCATCTACTTTGCTGAATACTTAGATGCATATGAGCGTCGAGACATAAATGTAAACAACTCTCTAGAAGCTGCGTGGATTGACGTTACGGTGGCGTCTCAGAAACTTCTAGTTGCTTCAATGTATCGCCCACCCGATGACACTACGTTTTTAAATAAATTTTCTTCTACTTTGGATCGCATATGGATGAAACGAACGAATATAATTTTATTGGGGGACTTCAATTTTAATCTTTTGCCTAAATCCAGGGACACAGATTCTTCAACCTGGAAATTCCGTCAACTTTTGAATAGATTTAATCTAAAGAATGTCATCAACAAGGCAACAAGGATCACTGACACCTCCACAACGCTGATTGATTTGGTGATTTGCTCTGACACCTCAAAAATTTCTCACCAGGGTGTTTGTGATTTAGGAATCTCAGATCACCACTTAATATATGCAATCGTAAATCTCAAAAGAAAACGTCAGAAACCAACGCTCAAAACAGTCTACGATTATAAAAAGTAGATCTAGACTCATTAAGAACGGACTTTGCTGCAGCCCCATGGAGTATCTGCAATGTCTTTCACAATCTGGACGATGCTACTTGGGCTTGGGAGTATTTATACAAGGACATTATGAAATCTCACCTTCATGCTCGACGAGTAAAGATAAGAAGAGGGGCCTACCCTGGATGAACTCTTCCATACGTAAAGAGCTGAACAAACGCTACAAATTACTCCTTAAAGCACAGAAAACACCGAAGGGCTCACAAGCCTGGATAGATTACAAGAAGGCAAGAAATAAATGCACCAAACTCCTTAGATTAGCGGAATCAAGTTATTGGCTAACAAAATTTAATGAGACAACCTCTGCTCGAGATTTTTGGAAGACAGTAAGATCTTTCGAGGGAAAACAAACAGCTACAAATATCGGACCGATTAAAGATAGTTCCGGAGTTATTCACGCAGACGATACATCAAAAAGGCCAACACTTTAAATTCCTTTTTTGTCAATGTTGGAAAATCCTCTCTCGAAATCAACACAAGATTCTTCAGTAAACTCTCCTTGTCAGTCCGCAAGAAAAATCAGTGCCTCTCTTTATAACATAGCCCTTAACAGAGACCTTTTAAAATCTTCTCTAAGGTGTTTGAAACCTGGCAAGGCGAGTGGACCTGATGACATATCCAGCAAAGAGCTGTACCTTATTGGAGACGCATTTTTGGATTGCTTTATGCCACTGGCTCAAAGAAGTATTTTGAATGCAAACTCCCCAGCCAGTGGAAACAGGCACAGGTAAAATGTCTTCACAAGAAGGGGAATACTCTCGACTGTGAAAACTACAGGCCTATTTCCCTTCTTAGCATTCCGGGCAAGCTATTGGAGAATGTTGTAAGCCAACAACTTGATAACTTCTTATATAGCAACAATCTGATCTCCTTAAATCAATGGGGCTTCAGAAAAGGAAGCTCACCCGAGCTGCTCTTACTTTCCGTTACAGAACGATGGCGTTTAGCCTTGGATGAAAGCAATATTATTGGCGTAGTCTTTATTGATTTTCGGAAAGCGTTTGATTGCGTCAACCACACAGTTCTTATGGATAAATTACACTCTATAGGTATTAGTGGCTCTTTTACGATTGGCTCTTAAATTATCTTGATAATCGTAAACAATTTGTCACCGTAAATGGTTCAAACTCAGAATTGTTGGAAATAGATACGGGTGTACCCCAAGGGTCTTTACTTGGTCCTAGACTTTACAGCATTTACTCAAATGATCTGCCCGGAGCCACAACGAACGCTTCCGTTGAAATGTTTGCAGATGATACTACTGTTTTTGCATTGGAAATACTGTTGATGAAGTTTTATTTAAGATACAGAAAGCGATCGTTGACTTAAACAAATGGGCTAAGGATAACTTCATGACTATTCATCCCGCAAAAAAGTGAACTAATGTTGTTATCAAAATCAAGATTCATCGGACCCCTACAGAAAATTTGTTTAGGGCAAAATGAGTTGTCATTTGTTTCCAAAGCTACATGTTTAGGGATTCTTATCGATAATAAACTCTCTTGGTCGCCACATATAAAATCTTTGAGCAAACGTTTTTCGGCAAGAGTGAAGAAACTCAAACACCTAAAAGGACTCGACAATCGCCTCTTAGAGTCAATTTATTTCAAAGGTATCATTCCCAGTATTGCGTATTCTATTGCATTATGGGGATCTTCTAAGTCACTTCAGACACTGGAAGACATTCACATTGGAGCCATGAGATTTATTTTTAACCTAAAGGAATCTACCCCCAATACTGAAGTTCTGGCAGCGACAAAATGGAAGTCCTTATCATATTTCTATAAAAAGAGGATTGCCACTATATCCTATCAGGCATTTTACAATAGAGCTCCGGCTGCTATAAGCTCTTTGTTTACTAAACACTCTCCGTTGAGAAATCTAAGGGACAATCTGAAGCTATTCGTGCAACGCCCTAAAAGTGACTTCCGTCGATCTTCTTTTTTCTCACCATGCGTCTGTTCTATGGAACAACTTACCCGTGTACTTGAAGAGCAAACCGAACATTGTTTCTTTCAAATCTGCTCTCAAAGCAAAATCCGACATTTTAGATAAAATAACATTTAATGGTTTACAGGGACTAAATAAAGACGTTGTAAATTACATATATTAAAGCTATTTTACTACTTTTATTTATTTTATTACTTTTTATTACTACTGTAAATCAACTGTATATTATATTACTAGGTCTTACATCCTTTCTTACTTACCATAATTTCGCTACTTGTTATTGTTATTATTTAAATTTTGTAGACACTCTTTAGTTTTGTAGGTCCACATCAGCTTTTTAGCTGCCATTTATCGACCTACGTGACAAATAAAGTATGTATGTATGTATGTATGTATGTAAGACCCTCTGCTCAGAGCCATCATGCGAAATGCTCTGTTGTGATTCATAAAATGACCGTAGAACGGTTCCAATGGTAAAAAATGAGGGCAACGAAAAAATAATCCCAAATGATGCTAACACAAGTACGAGGCACACTATGTCTAGGAATACGTATGTATTCGTACCTTATATTCCCATTTTTGGTTCTGCTTCAGTCCGTCACATTCCTTCAGGTACAGATCATATCCATTGTAGTCCAAACAATTATCTTCTGATTTTAGCTCTCCCTTGCTTGTTAAAACAAAGTACTAGAAACAAAACAGAAAAGATCTGTCATAGTAAGCACGAGACAATCCCCTGATAAACAATATTTGACACCTTGGGGAAATAGGAATAGTCTCTCATGCTGAATGCCTGGTGTTGGAATTCTGTGCTTTCTCACCTGGTTTCCACCCTGGCCATGACACTCGTACAGCCCCAGAGGTGCATCGTCTTTCTTCCCCAACGTGTCTAGACACTTATCACTCGAAGGATTACGAACCTGCAGATAGTCAACGACTTTTGTAAATAGAAGAAGAAAGGTGGTAAGTCTTAAGCTCGGTTAAGAAATAAAGAACGATCATCAGTGTATTTCGTCTTGTCACGAGCGCGAGACAAAGAAAAAATTCTGAGTCCCCATTATTAAAACATGACGCTATCGACATTGCTGATCCCAGCAGTATGCAGACCGTGTGTCATAAATAAAATACGTAAAGTGCCTTGCTCACCACAGAGTCTCTGTGGCTCATTGGTAGAACACCGGAGCGCGGAACCCGAAAGTCTGAGGTTAGTTTCCTCATGGGGACTCAGAATTTTCCTTTGCCCACCATCTTGACAAGACCAAAAACATCTTTGTAGACAAAGTCTCCATGACAACTCCTGCACCTGTTCAGAGTCTGATTCTATTATTACTTAGACATTCCATACCATTCACCGACAAATGCTTAAAAGATCCAGTCTCACGTGCATGTGTAAGATTACTTTGCATTTATCAGTGATAGGAGTAGTCGGAGGATTGGTAAAGGAATAGGTGGGTAAGAAAGAAGGAATAATCAATAGAATTTTAGAATAATTCTACCACACCCCTCAACGCAGATCGAAGTTGTTCTCTTTCTAACCAACCTGTCCAGCGGCCACAAAGTTTGCATCGGGCACCTCTAACTCAGGAATAATATTCTCCAAATACCACTTAAAACTCTTGCACTGTAACTTCTTTCGCAGAGCAAGTCTTTCACTGATATCATCATGCTTTTTTCTTTTAAGATCAAACCGAATGTTGTAGAAATGTTTGCTGTATTCATCCATCCACACGTCTGCCACTCTCATAAGATTACGACTTACAACATCAAGGTCACCACCTGGACGGGCGGGAAATGAATATGGAAAACGTGGTCTGAACACGTGGCCAACACGTGAACAGGGGAGCATCTCAATGGTGCCTCCACACATCCAGACCTACATCACATGACACAGAGGGGCAATTTGGTTAGAAATAGCAGCTCAGGAATTCTTCTTATTAAAAATGTGAATGGTCATTTGCTTATCTGAATCTGAAACGAACCTTAACAAATATATATTCTCACAAACTGTTCATATATACAATAGCCTCCATTTGGCACAGCATGATATGTATGGATATTTGTCCATGGACATTGCCTGTTCTAAGATGTGGACTGTTTTGCAAGAGCAAAGCTCAGGGAAAACTGTGAGCTTCAAGGAACAGATAATGTCATAAAATAAATGTTCGAGCATACTTTCACCAAATGAAAGCTATTGTGTTGATGTTTCCCAGTTTCAGCTGGGGCATATTTGATCATGTGATGCATTTAGACCAATTGCAAGAATTGCAAGAAAAAAGATTTGATGGATTATAATTAACAATTATTTACCCACATGGAAGTGAATAATGGTGGATATCTACCAAGCCTCTAAGTAGTGAGGTAAATATCCACCACTTTAAACAACACTAAGATGAATAATTGTTTTCAACAGATATAAAAAAAATAGTTAATTTCTTTCAATGTACAGTAAAATGGTCAGGAATTAAAACTCGTGACAAGTGATTTTTGTCTTATTGGCTGCTAGGAGGTGAACAGTAGTAGCTATTCACTTTCACACTAGCAAATCAACATGTGCAAAAAGCACTGTTCACCTGTGTGGTAGGTACTAATAAATAATATTTACTTGGAAACAGTGAAAAGCTCTGTGAAGCTAATGTATGAAGCTAACATAAGCTTAAACAGGCTGATGAGATAAAGATCCCCTTCCCTTTACTTACAAAAACAGAACCTACTACAACAGACTTACCCTAAAGGAAATTTCCAGGTTTTCTCCACCCCAAATGTCCATTCCAGTGTCATATGTTCCTATTTCATCAAAATAACTTTTGTCAATAGAGAACAGGCCTCCTGCCATCACTGGGGTCCTGAAAAAAGGAGAGTTTTGATTGTTTAATTACCATGTTAACACAATTAAGTTTCATTCTCACTAATATATGCAAGGCAGCCACAATAATTCATCACAGAACATTTTAGTTCATGAGAATAGTGCTATCCTATACCATCTAATTCAGGCCACCTACAACTCATTACACAGTGACCAATACTAAAAAAGAATGTGTATTAGCTTGACCAAGATTGCCAACAGCTTTTTCCAGATCAACTGCCCACCAAGACTACCCACAAGCTGATTCATGTTGCCTTCAGCTTTAGTTAGATTGCATACAGCTTAGTTCACAATGCCTACATGATCAATGCGACCAACAGTCCAATTCAGATTTTTTATTTGTCTGTTTAGATTGCTTGCATTGTGATAAAGATACCTATAACCCAACAGAGATTGCCTACACTCATTAAGATTAACTATGATACCAAAAAGGTTCCCTGTGGCTTGAATCAATTGCTATGAACCTGGTACAGATCACAAACAGCCCACACAAATTGCTTTAATAGGATAGTTATATTGTCTAGGCACCTGAAAGAGATAACTTACAACAATCTAATATACTCAGAATTTATCCTAAATTTGACAAAAAACCTCAGTATTAAACAAAACTCCAGTTTTTTTGGAAAAAGAGATCACTATATGCCAATTAGAAATAACATTGATAGGTTTAAAGTGTCTACCTTATTCCCTCAGTTTCATCTTTACGTCTTTCCATCTCATACTGAGGAACAGGCTTCCAGCCAAACTCTAATCGCCAACGAAAGATGCCCCTATGGAAAGGCTCTGGCACCGCATGATAATAAAAGTTCTGGTCACTTATTTCATCTATAACAGGCATTACTACATTTGAACGATTTTCAGCGATTTTTGCGAGAAGAGGCACCAGCCAACCCTTAGAACATTCACAATGGGCATCCAAAAATGTCAGAACTTGTCCCTTGGCTCGTTCTGCCCCAGTCAGTCTTGCACGAATTAAACCCTCTCTTCTAGGAAGACGGACAATCTTAACAACTTTCAACTTGGCAACATAGTCTTCAAGCTTTGTCTTAAGCTCATCTATGGAATAAAATCATGGGAAAAATTTTTTCAAAGATACTTCAAAGGAAATACAATGTCTAAAAAATTGGTTTATTAACATCCATGATAACTCAAACTCATCTTAACATAGAATTCCATTTAATCATTATTAATTGAAACTTAATCCTTGTAAAACTAAAACAAACCCGTCTGTAAATACAAGACTTATGCAGGCAATAAGACAATTTTGCCACAAACATGTCTCATCATCAAACATTCTTTCTAGAAAAGATTAATAATATATTTAGGTTTGAACCTTGGGGGGGGGGAGGGTCAGATTGTCTGGGTGACAGTAGTCCCATGAAGGACTGTTGTAAGTAGTAGTAACTGACCTTGCAACAACCTGAACAGAAGTTATGATTAGAGTCAAGTGAAGAGTTGTTGTCAGTCAAATGTATTGTTGATGAAACTTCAGTCACAACTACTGACAACAGTCCTTCTTGAGGCTACCTTCACCAGGACGATCAGATACATGATCACAAATTATTTACTGTTATACCAATAACTACATGTACCTCTGTCACTGGCATCATCTACAAGAATGATTTCCTTTAATAGCTGTGGAGGAGTCCTGTTGATGACACTATGTACCGTCCGTAAAAGAGTGGACCAAGCTTCATTATGAAAGCATATAATTACAGAACTTGTGGGTAGATCCTGAGGATATTTCTTTATTTTACACCTAAAAAAAAATCATGATTAAAAATAACATATAATTTCACTCTACATAATAAGTTGTCAAAAGTGATCTAGTTAGGACAGTATTTTGAAATCTAAATCTACTGAGTTCCTCCATTTTGTATCTGATTTTCAATTAGTGGTTGCTGCTTTCATTCACATCATTTGTTGAGGAACCAGAGTGCAAAGAGCTTAACCTATTGTTTGATAATAATGCTTCATGGATTGAACTTGTAGATTGGTTCCTAAAACAAAATTTAAAAATCAAAACTGTTGTTCCTTTTGTTTCCACACTGTCTCAAACCATGGGATTTTTTTCCAACTTTAAACATCTTAAATTTTTCATTCACCAAAAACACAATTTGTCATTCAGGGTAACTTGCTCCAACAGAAGATGTTTCCCTTTAAGCTTGTGTATGCCTCCCTTTTTCCCAAACTATTAACAATAATCTAAAATGTTTAATAACAACTGTGAAATATTAATCACAGTATTTAAAACTGAACCACCTCATTCCCTTTAATTTCATCTTTGTCCCTCCTTCATGTCTGCTTTACAATGATGGAAACCCATCAAAATGCTCTGTACCAATAAAAAGCTACTCTGTATTTGGGGAGGGAATGTACAGCGATGGAATAGGTTGTTTTCATTGCAGAAAGGAAGGGTATCCCAAACATACCAATAGCCCTGCCCCTCTTCCTCAAAGTAGTTCTATTTCATCAAAAATCCTTCACAATGTATTTTACACATAGGTCAATTTTGGACTCGGTGATTTAAGGCCTATTAAAGCTAGATGGTCATTCCAGCACGAATTTAACGAATCTGTTGATGTCAATAGCCAGATCTAGATGGTAAGCAAAAAACTCTCGTCAGTATTAATAAATTATCACGGAAACTGATAAACTCGCGTGCTAAGTCTTCTCTGATGTAACAACATAATTCGATGTTCACATTATTGTCATCAGTAGTGATAATGGCATCCAAAATACTTATCGCTAACAAAAAAAATGACATCTGTAACATATATGACATTTTCCAATCTTCTAAACACAGTGCGTATTAATTAGAACTGAGTATCAGCGTTATAATCTCCTTTAGATCGCTTACTTTGAATTTCGTACGTCTAGCAGATTTCTTTCCAGGGAAATTTTGTCGCTTACGACTCGGTTAAATGCATGATCGTGAAAGCCTTGTTCTTCTCTTTTCTTTTCCAAAAAATTAAGCGAAACTCCAACACCCCATTCTCCAGGCTTGTTTGGGTTTCTATCTGGAGTTTTATCATACATAAGAAGATTGTAAGTGGCTTCATCTGCAACCCTGTTTTCCTCCGGCTCGAATTTGTTGGTGAGGATAAAGTACGTAGCCAAATAAATCCACACAGAGGATGTTATAACCACGAAGTAAAACACAATGCGTCTCTTTGGAATGATCATTCCTCAAACATATTTTGCTCAGTTTCCACGTGATGAAAGCACCCAGCTTTTATCAGATCTGGTACCATGTGTTGCACAAATTATTCATGGTCAGCCATATTTAAAAAAGTGTGGCCTTTTATGGAGAGAAAATGCTAATTTCGAGACATCCTCACGATACCGATGCAAAAGGAGATTTACTTTATGATTCGCAAACGTTTTATGACATTATCCTGCGCCTTCGTTCCACTCGACCAGTGGTAAGAAAATCAGGAACTGGAACGACTTTTCCGAAGGACTCTTTGGAGTCTTAACGAAAAAGGGCCTTCACATGAGTGGCCTCTAAAATGAATCGTGCTTGCAAGAAATATATATTATGCTTCGAACACGAGTTGTGATAAGAAAGAGAGTGCAAAGGAGGGGAAATTCAACCCAGTGATGCTGGTAGAAACTCGGCAAATGATCCGTAAAAATACCGGTGAAAAAAATGTGTAATATCTCTAACACGATAACACCATCACTGTGATACTGTGAAATAGAATTAACGTATAACACAGTCCATAAGGATAAACTGATTTATCATCTTCCAAAAACAACCCAATTAAACACTATGATAATTTAGCGAATGCGAGTGCTCAAATCAACCTGTTCACAAATGACGGCCCTCTTATCGTGTTGTAGTCAATCATTTAACTTACCTGCTATTTCTGTGGTCTTGTAGCGTTCGGTGCACAGAAATCATATCACTAGCCACACGATTAAATGAATGCTGTTCAAATCCTTCATCTTCGTCGTCCTTGCGGGACTCCGGTACGGTAACCCCCTCTCCCCTAGCGCCCGGTCCTTTTAGTTTAACCCCCGACGGATACCTCTCATAATTGGCTGTGATTTGTTCAAGTTTCTTTTGAGATCTTTTTGAAGCACTGATGCCTTTGTTGGAGATTTGTTGATAAATTAGGTTAATGGGGGCTTTCTTTGTCTCGTTCGGAATGTATTGTTTACCCGCTCTCTGGTCTGTTTCCTTAGCAAGTCGGTCATGTTGAACGTTCCATTTCGGCCTTTGCGAGGAAGGGTGACTATCAGACGTACGTCTTTTCACGTCGATGCTAACTTCTAACGACTGAAAGAGAAAAAATGACACAGTTCCCAGGACCCAGCAGAAGGAAGTTACCACTATGGTGTAGTAGACCAGTTTTCTCCTTGAAATCAAGCGGGCCATGATCGCTCACCATGCACCAGTTCAATGACACACATCTCTACCATGCCATGACTGGTTCATCGCCGGATCATGTCATTCATTCAAGGTCATGCAGAAACCTAGATTTCCGGAGAGTAAGAATCGCTGAATATGGAGGAACTATAAAGTACTTGAAACAAACAATACTAGCTTTTTGACCAGGTCACGTGAACCAACAGGTTCTAGTTGATTCACCTGTGAGTTTTCGCGCAATACCTGTCACACCACACGTAACTGCATTCAAATGATTTTCCTTTAAATGGTACATTGATTTCGTTTCCCAATTTGCCTCTTTAAAGTGCGAAATTGTAAAATTCAAAGTTTGAAGAAAACAGTACATGACTTTGAGCGAGTGCTTCCATTGAATCCCGTTCCAAGGCTAACCGACAGCAAGGGTCAAAGTTATCACTCAGAGAGGTGAATATAGTTGTTAAATTCTAAGTGGCTCGCTCTCATCATGAAGAGCATCGGAGAATCTCTTGTTTATTAAAGCAGAACACTTCAAACGTATTGACATCAACCTTTAACGCTGGTTCCGCTTCCAGTTTCTTTACCTGCTATGAATCTAACCGCCATAAAATGGCGAACCGATGACCCCGATGTTAACGATCTGCGCACCCAAATTATCAGAAACTTAATTTGTGAGTACAGACGTTTCACAAATGAGCCCGCAATAACGGAAAAATAGTCTGGCAAACTAGCTCATACTTGTAAACATTGCAGTCGAGGCTTCAATGGCTAATAAAAGGCGTCAGCAAAGATCCTTTTCTGTTGGTAATTTTTTGGCATGAAGTGGAGTGTCAGGGCTTTTGATCAAGCTCTCATGACAGAATTTAAGAATAGAACATAAATTGCCCTTGGTTCGTATGAAAATGGATCAAGCTTTCAGAACATGAAAATTATCAGCCCGCTTGGGTTCTCTTTTCCAAGGGGTATTCTCCTTGGAAGGAGGAAGGAGTCACTAGGAAGAGTCACAGGAAGGGTCCACGGCTTCAGAAAACATTCAAGGCTCACGTAGCGAGCTCTTACGTTGAAGCTACTCTGCCCTTTTTTCCGTTCATTAACGTTTATCTGACTGGTTTGTAAGCAGGCCCTCACGCGCGCGGTGGAACGACTCGGAGCTGTGATAAGGGAGCTTTCCACTAATTTGGGGCGCGCTTTATAGTGAAAGAATGCCAATACAACCCCCTATTTATATCCATGCAATTAGAGACAGATTTCATTTCCGATGACTGTTGTACAAAAAACGGGGGTGAAATATACTCTTGGGATGTGCAGGTTACCTTGAATGCAAAGCCGCTAGTTTTACTAGCGAGCCTAACAGCCGACAAATTATGCTGTCGAGGGAATTTCAATCGTTACCATATGCTGGTTAAAATGAGAACTACGTGGATTAGTTTTCTTCAGTATAACGTATCATGTATTTGCCTACATAGCAGACAATCTGCATGCGCTCTATGTCAACTTAAGGCGATAGAGTCACGAGTTTCCTCTCGGGGCACTCTTTAGTTCTTGTCTAGCGAGTCTTTTCAGATTGTTCTCAATTTCACAATTCGCATGTTTATACTACTACAATACATGGAGTGAATAAAGATCTATTGTCGGATATGCTTTCTCGACATCAGAACTGGTACATTCAAAAGGATTTGTGTCTGGTTCACTCAAAATTTCCAACTGCGATCGAAGCAATGATCGCTGTGTGCTTTACGAGTCTAGTATTCGAATAAACGCCGCATCATGATGCGGCGTTTATTCGAGGGCGGCGTTTAGTAATATTTCTGCTCTAAAATGCGGCGTCTATTCGAGCGCGTCGTTCAATCCATTAAATACGGTACTTAATGAACACAAGAGTTAAAGAGAAACTATAGCTATTTATTCACGCCAGGCAACTAAAAGAACAAAGTTGGCTGATACGCAAACTGTTGTTGTTTAGTTGATTGATGAAACCACATCAATTATACAAGGGTAACTCCCTTCCTCGTCAATTGAGTTCGAAAAACTTTCTGACGTAGTGAATGATCTGACCCAGATTGTTTAAGCCTAATTCTGAATTTGGCTGGGAAAGATTTTGAATGTGGCAATGTTCCAAGGAGTTGAACATTAACAAAAACAATATCAAAAAAAAAATAAAGAAAACCTAAATAAAATTGCATAGTCGAACTCATATCAATCACACTTCAGATATATCGCTAAAATGCATCAAGTAGTCTAAGATGCATTTCATTTGGTGTTGAGAGGTTCTCCCGTTTGGTTACCAAGAACATCATCACATTATACAGTGGTATGCCCTCGGTGCTGACTTGTTTGACAAGCGATTTGCTTTTATCTCCTAATGTATCACACATAAAATAAACTAGGCTGTACTAATGTAGGTTGAGCACAGTCAGTATTACCTCAAGATAATTGTCGACATAGGCACTACAAAATGACATATTTCTTAAATGTTCTTCAGCACAAAAATATTATTTAAATATCGTTTGGAAGAAGCAACCTTCTAAGGTTTCAGTGTTTAGCTCGCTGAAAGACAAATAATTCATTTTCAAGTTCATGTAAGTCAAACCCAACAAAACCAGATTTTAAAAGATGACTTCAGGACCCAGTTGTTCGACGGCCAATTAGCGCTAACCTAAGGTTAAATTTTACTCCAGATTTCTACATTTCTTCTGTTCAAAGCTATTTTGGGATAGTTTTCCCAATTCTTTTTAGTGTATTCAGTCATCAAATTGTAGAAAAATTGGATTACCATAACCCAAATTTTCTTTTAAAGCTACCGGATCTGAAATCAAATTTCACATTAACCCTAGGTTATCGTAACCCAGCTTTGAACAACTGGGCGTGGTTAAGTTATTAACTTAAAGTGAAATGACTTTTCCCTTGTGAAAGTCTCAAAATACAGTAAAGGGAACAAACACCAATATTTTCTGCCATCAACAGTCTTGATTGCCACATAGCCATGACAAGCTTATAAGAACTGCAATTTGCTCTAACCACTTTACCATACTTGTTAATCCCTTCAAGCCCAAACTTGATCAATAACGAATTTCTCTTCTCAACATCATTACATTTACAAGATGAACAGCAAAGAAAATTATTTTCTAAGGGACGTTGTTTAATTTTGCAGCAAGTTGGAGAGGACGCGTATAATTAGAGTGTGAACAGATAGTGACAGTAATTGATATTTAGATTTTTTGAGTAAAAGGGTAAATCAAAGACACTCCAAAGTATTTAAAATAGAATTTGATCCCTTGACTGAGCAAGCAAACCACAGTTAACCCAGAATTGACTTTGCAGAACTTGCAGCTTTTAAATTGAAATTGAGGTCAAGTAAATGAGTGGATTCCACTCTTTCTTTAACATCCAGTTCGTATTTGCTTTGTAATTGTGTAATTAAGTAGCAATCGACCCTAGCTTCTTCTCAGTGCATCAAACTTATTTCCCAGATCAAGCTGTGGTCCCCTGTCTGCTAAATTCTCAAGTGTTCGTGATCCATGCTTCACAGTCTCAAAACTTTTCCCATCATTAGTCTCCTTGCTACTGAAAACAAGATAAAAAATGTATTTGAAAGACAATGCAGCTTGCAATGAATAGAGAACGGTAGAGTACATCTCATTTGAACAGTAACTCAAAAAGTCTTAAAACTGTCTCATGATGCATAATGATTACAATTTATAAAAATAAATCTGAAATGATACCAACTAACTTTTTATCATTTGATGCCATGGCTGCTGACAATGAGGGGAAAGCAATTTCACTGTCAATTTCAGGCATCTTTCGGCCTGCAGAAACTGGTGCCCTTCTACCAGGGGCTCTATAAGCTGGTGGTCTGTAAGCCCCTACTGGCTTAGACTCCTCTGAGGCCTGAGAAGCTGTGGATAAACCAACAAACAAACAAAAATAAATATATCAAGTACAAATTGGTGTGTTTAATCAAACTGGAACCTTTCACAAACCATGGTCCCCCGCTCCCTATCTTATTGAAAGATGGAATTACCAGCAGTGCCTTGGGGTGCTGTGGAAAGCTGCTGCCATGGTCCTGCAGTTTTGTCTTTCCTTACCGATGAGTCTCCTGGAGATAAGCATGAGAAGTGTTTACAAAATGACAATAACCAAGATACAGCTTACAACTATTTGGGTCAATTTTACAAAAAACATTAATTCATGCATCAACCAAGCCTTCTAGTCAAATTTGAAACTAACTGCTTACATACTTTTCCCTCTCCAGAAAATAAGAGGGGGGTCTACATACAAGACTAGCAAACAGTCCTCAGTCCTACAGCTTGTTGCTGCATCTTCATCAATTAATGTCTTTGTCCTTCATTTAGAGTGGGATAAACAGTTGCATACAACACTTTAAATAAATCTCCAATATTTTCTCTTTTTAATATTGCCTCTAGTTGTCTGGATATTAAGCCTTGAGATATTGGATGAACTGCCAAAAGCAATGGTGACTGAAATTTTATTTCTGGCCACTATTTCATAATTTAGGTCATCAAATAGAAACTTTGAAAAGAGTTTAGCTAGGAGTACTCTATCACACAGCATCTGTAGCTTATCCCAGTTTCTGGAGTGTTTCTGCTCCATTGTAAAGAAGAAAACTAACATTGATCTCCTTAACTATCCATAGAATGTTTTACACTGGGACAATGTAATTCCATACCTTCATCATCTTCATCTTCTTGTTCATTACTCTCTGATCCTTCACCTTCAGCATTCTCTCTTTGAAGCAAAACAATTTAAATAGAGCTTATGATCATCATTCTTATAAGTATTATTATCATCATCAATATCATTACCATGCTTGTTGCTGTTATGATAACAACAGCTTCATCACTTGAAAAAATAACATTCGCATAGAAATACACTTAATCTCCAAACTTAAACTAAAAAAATTTAACGATAATAAAATGACTTGATTTGATTTTTTAGGACAAATTTCTCACTTGGTAAAAACTAAAATAATTGGAATCCTCCCACCAGACTAAGAGATTTTTTAGTGTCTTGACATGATCCTTACACAATCATCTAATATGAGAGGTCAAATACAGGTTATCACAGCCCTGACAACTCACCCAATCTGTAATGACTGTATCCTTAGCCCTGAGTAATCTTTCTCTTCTGGTTCCTGAAAGTCAATCCACTCCTCCTCTTTCTGTATGAAGAATGATACTTGGAAATTATCCATCATTTATTGATAGGCTTTTGTCAGCCTCCTAAGCCACCCATGATAGGATGAGATTTTGAAATCAGTTTTTCCTCAATAAGTTTGATGTAATATAAAGTAGAAAGACAAACTACAACTTTATTTCAGCATGCAAATGGGCCACAAAAGAAAAAAAATCAGAGCCTTAAAACTTGTGGAGACCCCTGTTTAAAGATTTCAAACAGAGATTGCACAACAGATAAAAAACTCCCTCTTACCTACCCTTCTTAACTCAGTAAGCTTTAGCAAGTTGCTATTGGTGAAAATAATGTGCTTAAGTAAATAATATGCTTAGGTTTTTTCACTACCCACTTTTGCACTTGCACTGCTATATGTAAGCTTCAACATTGCAAAAGGTTTTTCATGTACAAGATCCATAGAGCAACTCTATGAGTAACTCCAGCTCTAGACCCTTGATCTTAAGAAAAATGTCACACCTAAGAACTTTGAGAGAAGTGCAAAAAAAAAAAGGCTCCCTGGTGAGATTTTGGAAAACACAAAAAAAAATTGCAGACTTGCGATTTTTCATGATAGCATCACCACCTCTTATATTATTGTTCAGGCATATAAGATATATAATATCATAATTGTTCAGAAAGGAAAACCAATTGGAAAAATAACATTCATTGATGAAACAAACCAATGAGAGGTGAGAGGAGAAGTATCCAAGTATATGTATATATATATGTATAAACTGACAAAAACTTAGAGAACGAAAACGGTCAGCTCAGTCACTAGCATAGAAAACGGGTATTTTGGTAAGGTTATTCATCAGCAATTTAAAAAAAAATAAATTTGGCTTTCCAAAAAAAAGATACAGGATAATTAAGAAAAAGTTATAGACGGAAGGATTGAAGATTCCTTCAAGACCAAGGCTATATCTGCATGTTGCAGCTAGCTGTTGCCAGCTCTCTTTCTTCTTCCTCCACTGGTTTATAAAAAAGCGCACCATCACACTAAAAGAGATTAACGTCGAACTAAAAAAGACTTGGACGAGGAATATGAACGTGGGTTAATTGGCTTACTTCTAGGAAAATACAAAAAAAAGTGTAGTGTAATATAACTGTTACAAGAATGACGAATACCATTTTTAGGCCATTTTTAGGACTTAACAAGAAAAAAAATACACGTGACTCGATCGATAAGCCGACCGAGAATGATTGGTGAACGTTTCGACGAAGTTTTAGAATGCCTTGAACGTACGTGCATTCATACCGTGTTAGAAGGCGCCGGTGTCACTCCAGAAGCCTTCTTACTTGGTTGATCTTTCGATCGACCGTCTGGTTCCTTCTGAGTGCTTCCAACTTGCTTCGTAATAGCATCACTTGTTGTAAATTTGCTCTTTCCTTTGGACTTCTTTCCCTTCTCCTTTTTCGCGAAGAAACTTTCTAACTGTTTGTCATGTTCTGACATAGCTCTCCGAACGAAAAAGGCCCAGGCAAAGCGCCGGGCAAAGGGAACAACGTCTTAAAACTTTTGTGGCTATCACTCCTTTAGTCTTTCTTCGAACTTTTATGAAGTGGCGCATGTGCTTGGAGTAGCTCGCCCTATTCCCTCACGGTTTGTTTCATCAATGGCTGCTGAATCGCCAAACCTGGGGAGTAAGAAAGATTGTGTTTTTTGTAAAATTGCAGTCAAAGAACAAGAATCTCGCATAATTTACGAAGATGAGAAGACTGTTGTTTTTCCAGACATTCGACCAGCTGCGAATCACCATTATTTAGTGATTCCCAAAGAACATTATGGAAATCCGAAGTCACTCACTGCAGTTGACCTGCAAGTTGTTGAACATTTGTTTGAGGTTGGGAAGAATGCTATTACCAACAGTGTTACTGATTCTGAGGACGTCTTGTATGGCTACCACTGGCCACCATTTAATTCTATACAGCATTTGCATCTCCATGTAATATATCCGCGTTCACAGATGGGCTTTTTCGCTCGACAAATCTACAGACCCAATTCATTCTGGTTTGTTACTCACGAGTGGCTTGTTGAACATTTGCAGAAAAATCCTGCCGGTTAATGTTGCTAAAGCTAACCTTACTCCAGATGTAAGATTTTATTAGAACAACAGCTTGGCCAGATAGCCTATGGTTGAATTCAAATTTCGATTTCTCATCCATATATGAATGACTGAAGTGCAACAATAAAATAAACTGGCTAATTCGCGAGAAATGAAAAAATTTTCATTTTTTCATTTTTTTGCAAGAGTTTTAAATTGGTGTAGGTAACCGCAAATGCAGTTTGCAAGACGAATGAATTACATGTATGTAAGAATAGTCACTATTGTTACTCAACTGCACATCTTGCAGATTTATTTCAAATTTTAAGGAAGATAAGCACCAGCCTTGATTAATCTTTTATCAGACAACCAAGCTGAGCTGATGAGTCATGTCTTTTGAAGGAATACTTTGTGGGTGAAAAACTTTTTTTTTGCATATTTAATCAACACCATTGTAAAATTAGTTAATTCATCATTGGAGAAAAAGTGGTGTTGGAAGAGAAGTTACATAATGTAGAGGAAAAAGAGATCTGGAAAATTGTTCTCCAGAGATAATCAGAAAGGGCTGAAGTTTTACATTTATTTTGGATTTTTCTAAAAAGTTTTAAAAACCACATTGTGGTGTATATAACAGTCTGTAATTAAACCATGTCCTTCCAGGCTGTTCTATTTTATTGATATCATGCAGCAGATGTTTTTTTCGTTGAACAGTATAATGTCTTTTGTATAACTCGTAAGAATCTTTACCTCAGCCCTCAGTGTAAACATACATGGCACAATTTAGATCCTTTGAAAAGTGCTGCAGCTACCCACTTCAAGTTTGGTTTTAATACAAACTATACTTTCTTCTAAAGCTCCTGGTGAGACAAAGGTTACCAACAAAGGAACTCTTGGCACACACATCTCAAGCTAAGTTTCTCTAAGAGACTCCAAGAATAACGAAGTCTCACTATTTAGCACATCCTCCTGATGTATGGCTTATTGTTTTCCAGGGCCAAACTAAATTTCAGATTGTCAGTCTTGTTGTAGCAAAGGAGATTTGCATAAGGTTACATTGTTAGCCCCTCAGTTAACCCTGCTAAGCCCTACCTGGTTCTCCACTGGGCTTGGGACTGAGCATGGTGGAGTTAGGTGCCGACCCAACTTACTAGATTAGGCCCATCCTTGATTTGGAAAGATACTATAAAATGCCCTGTGGGCAAATCATGATTAAGCACCACATCTACTAGGAATGCAGCAATTATGTGGGGAATGTAAGGAAAACACACTGAGGTAGAATACAACTTTGGCTTAAGACCTCCCCCTGCCCTCCCCCCCCCTCAATTTTATTCAAGGGCCATCAGCAAAGTAGACACTTTTCCTGCATAGTTGACGATTTCTTGTTTTCAGTAAGTGATGACAAATTTAAGGATGAAATAACGCATGCTTTTTGACGTAAAAAGTTCTGAAATTTTGTAAGGAATCGTTTCAATGCTCTCTTTTTTCATCCCGTCGTCTTGAACGCGTTAAAATCAAGATTTTCAAGGAGTATGCCAGCACCCCTCTCGGGCTCACTCTTCCGCGTTTATCTGTAAGCCCTAATTGTATACTGCACCTCCACCAATTCTGCTCTTCAAAAATTATTTGTTTCAGTGAAGAAATCGATTCATACACCCACCACTAACACTGACATTAGTGCTCCCTTTAAACGACGGTGAACTTTAATATTTCACATTTTCGCACACGGTAAGCTTTACGAAACTATGTACTTGCGCCATAAACGTCCTGCGCGAGTTTCCGCGAGTGCTTACCAGTGGATTGGATTCCAGACTCCTTGCAGTTCGGGAAGAACTTCAACCAGTTCCAGTCCTCATGATGGTCATCTGTACCCGTGACCTTAGAGACAGGCGAAAGACTCTAAAGATCGAGGGAGACACACTGTGCAGAATCCATGCAAATCTTTTAGAAAGGTAATCAGGCTTTCTTTGACGGTTGTGACGAAATTCGAGAATGCTCTTCGGATTCATACACTGATTTTCGCAGTTATCAGCGCGTCAGATCGAGTGATGTTGACGGCATATACCTCTAACCTCTTGCATGGTGATCTGTTTCCTCAGGTTTATACTGATGCACCACCCTTCTGGTCTTCGTCATTCGATTCCCTCCATAGTCTCCTAAGGGCAAATGTTTCAACACCATAAGGACCATAAGCTTACGTTACGATACAATACAATTTGTTTGTTTCTTCCATGTGGGTTTTTCCGAACCAATTGTCATAGCAATTTGCTTACAGCAATTCAACTGTAGCGCTGATAGGTATATAATGCATGATGAATAAGAGTGATTCCATGGTCTTTCAAAATTATGTAAGCCTAGGGTAACTTTAGCTTCAAATTAATGTCACGGTAGAGAATAGGAACTTCTGTGTGTGAGGTTGGGAGGGGGGGGGTAGGGGGTGGCAGTTTACTGACAAGTCAAACTGGAAAGTTTTTAGAAACATTAGATTTTGGATGAATTGAAAGTGCACTGGATTGCTATAGAATTTTAAAACTTGTAGAAGTTTGGTGTGGAGAACAATATGTGGAACAATAATTTTTAATTAGTATCTTTTAGGAGTTAAGGGAAGAGTTGAGGTAGTTTGGCACAATGGATGAACCAAGGATGCTTAAATCTGAGATAAGTAATTTGGTAATGCTTTTCCCCTTATGGATCATTAAGTCTTTTGGTCTTGTATCCCTAGGACCACAACTACACAGGAAAGAGAGTGATGACAGAATTGATTAAGGTGTTTGTCTATGGGACCTTGAAAAAGGGATTTGCAAATCATTACTTCATGCAGAACAGGAGAAACGGAGTGGCACATTTTATAACTACTGGACATACCAAGGATGCCTTTCCACTTGTAGTAGGGACTGATGCATCCATTCCTTTTATGCTTCCAGTAAAAAATCAGGGAAAGGTAAGTTGGAGACATTTAGTATCAATATCAGTCTAGGCTCAATTACCTGGCACTATTCAGGAATATGAGCCCCTACTCCTCCCCTCAAACCCAGGGGAGGAGCAAAGACCAGACAGGGAGAGTGGCAGAAATCGAGCCTTTATCTGACTATAATAAAAGTTACTGCAGCGCTGTAGAGGGGGGGAACTGAACTTCTCAAAAATTGAAACTAATCACCCTATCTCTGGCTGAAATGGCTTAAGACAATAACTTTGTTAAAAAGGTGGTTGTCCAAACACAAAACACTGTTCATCACTCACAGTGTATCAGTGGTAATAATCAAAGTGGTTCAAAAAGTATTTGGTAGCTGTTTCACTCTTTAACCCTTTACACCCTAAGGTCATTGTGCATATTCTCTATATTGTTCTCAGTACATTTTTTTAAGGTGCTGATAAGGAGAATTTGTTTAACAATCAAGAGCTTCCTTAGTTCATGATCATTTCTTTTATTCTCACAACCTTAATGTGGTGATTCACAGATGATATTGTAAGGAGAAATTAGATGATAGTCACTCCTAGTGATTAAAGGGTTAAAAGATCCAATATAATAATGTTTTCAGTTTTATTTTTCATTTGATGTACCCAATCCTCTTTTCCAAATGAGGATTTAGAATAGTGGGTGTTTCCTATACACAGTTTTCATATTTCAGGCTGTAGTGGGCTATGGCAAAATAATAAATACTTCAATTAAAGACCTTGTTTCTTTCTAGGGAGTTGGATAATCATTTACCTTAATTATTTCTTGACCAAAGATGGTTTGTTTTATCTTTTACAAATTAGCAAGTCCGTGGTGAGGTATATGAAGTGGATGAGAATGTTTTGAGTGAACTGGACGATCTAGAAAATCACCCAACATGGTATGAGCGTTCAAAATGTGACATTATTACAACCCAAGGAGCAACAGGAATTCAAGTAGGAGATATTGTACCATGCTTTGCCTACTTTTTAACTGACTTCAAAGAGTCATTTTTATCTCAAGATTTTCTTAGTGAATACACCCTGGAGTGTAACCAGGCACACATTGAATCTGACAAAAGATCCTTGCCCTGTGATGTGATTATCCAGTCCCAAAGAAAATGACCAGGAATTAACTTATCAATGGTTCTGCATTTAATGGCTCATTTAAAGACTTGCAATTCAAGACTAGTCGAAAGACACGTGTTAGAACAACTCTTCACCAACAGAAAAAACATAGTATGTCCTCTCTACTTGTACAAATGATACTGGTCTTCAGATTAAATCTCTGGAAAAGGAACAACTTCCTCACAGTATAGATCTGTCAAGACTAAAGCAAAGTATTGGATGTCAACATTACTTTAAGAGTAAATTTTATCAAGGCTTCTTTTACAAGCTACAAATACAATACAATTCTCATAAAGAAAATTAATATTTTGAACACACTTTGTGTTACTGAATATGCTATACAATCCTATTTCACTTTATAATAGTTTAAAACTCCTTTTTCATTTATCTAAGTTTTGAAAAGCCACATAACTAACAATATAAATTTTCAAATATCTATGTCTGATGCCTTGTTGGGAAAATAAAATTGAACACTGTGTTAAATTTCAGATTATTTAATAAAAAATTTAATACAATGATTAGAAACTAGAAACAGGGTAACAGTCTAGACCCTCAGCTTGCTCAGAAATTACAGAATAATTACTGACAAAATAATCGTTAGTCAGCAACCACTTAGTCCATCCTTTTTCAGGATTCTAAATTAAATGAGAAAAGTGAACTTTTCAGATGTAACCCGAGTTCAACAAGACTTGTCACTATTTTGATTACTTGAGACTGACATTAATTTGCAACAGTTGACTTTCCTCATCACAGTGGGAATTTGGGAAGTACAATTTTCCAGATTGCAATTATATTTTCCATTGAACATAATTTATTTGTACTAAAAACTTCATCTTTCAAAACAACCTGTTTGCGTCATGTCAAATTATTTAAGTGCAGGTGCATTGAAAACAGCCCTTAAGTTTTGCAATTCAGTTTACACTGAACTGAGGCTATAATCAAATGATTGCAAATTGACATGAGTAATCCAATTCTTATCAATGGAGACATTTTTTGAGAAATAGCAGAATGGGACAAGTGCTTTAATCATGACAAGAACATTACCAATCTTACAGTGATTCCACTAAGATCGGTGAGGAGAGAGTGAAGAATTTTTAGTGCTAGATACATAGCTATATATGGCTTTCTCAAGAAGTTCAGCTCTCTTCATTTCTTCATCGTGAATTTTTTTTATTTCATTTTCTTTGCATCTGAGCTGTTCCTTTAGTAGTTCCAATTCACTGTCCTTTATGCTTATAGCATCCCTGTGTCTTCTTGTCATTTCAGCTATTCTACTTTCCAAATCAGAAATTTTATCTCGTAGCTCAGACTGAGTTTTCCTTTCTGAGTCAAGTTCAATTCTTGACCGATTGACCTCATTTCTGTAATCTGCATCTTTCTGTTCCAGTTGTTGCTTCAAAGTTTCCATCTGCCTCCTCAACATTTCACTATCTCTGTGTGTAGAATTAAGCTGAGACTGCAAATCTGTGATCTGTGTCAACTGTTTTGTGTTTTGGATTTGAAGCTCACTCTGTGATTGCTGGATTTGAGATAGATGCTCGTCATACTGTCGGGATCTAGTAATTTCATCTTGTTTTAACCTTGTCTTTGTGTTACGGAGTTCTTCATCTGAGGAGATCCTCAACAAGACCAACTGAGATTTCAAAGTGCTAACCTCCTCTTCAAATGCAGTTTTCTCTTCCTCCAACTTCATCATCTTTTCTTTTGTGGCTTCACGATATTCCAGAGCTTTCTGCTGCAAATTGCTTACTTCTTTTTGTAGCCTTCTTTCAGTATTCAGAAGCTCTTCCTGGAATTTTTTATCACTAGCCTTTCCCCTATCAGCAAACTGGGTTTCCATGGCTTCAATATCTTTCTCTAAAGTACTTATCTTATTCTCATGGCTCTTATTTCTTCTTTCAAGAATGTTGATTGTGTTTTCTAACTCCTGATTTTTCTCCAGAACCTCATTCATTTTCTTTCTGTGGAGGAGCTCTGTTGCAGCCTTGCTTTCCTTTTCCTCTTGCAGTTCATCAGTTAATGTCTGAACTGCAAGCTTCTGTTCAGAGAACATTTTTCTGGACAAAAGTAATTCAGAGTCAGTGGTGGACAATTTTGATGATAGAGAATCAAATGCTGCTTTCCTTTCATCCAAAGCTGTTCTCAAGTGATCAATCTTGGTTTGCATACTTCTGTTAAGCTGTTCCTGACTGGATCTCTGTTGGTCAATTTCTTCCTTCAAACTCGTCACCTAACATTAATCAGATGAAATATGGACTTGAATGTAATACATTTCAACCTTTTCTCGTTGTTCTTGTAGCCAGGAAATGATGAGAATGAACAACAAGACATCCTGTGACACTTTAACAGCTACTTCAGTCATTTTACCCTTTACCATTTCAGTTTGAGCCTGTTTTGGTAAAACTGCTCACCAAAAAAACTATCAGTCACTATCATCCACTCATTCAAACAGCAACAACTATCATCACTTATTATGTTGAATTTGAAGATGGTCAATGATAGTTCGTGTTCAAATGCACATGATAATTGAAACTATCATCAACTATCATGACCATTTGAATATTTGAATGGGGGCAGCCATGGACAAGCATCCAAACCATGGGGAATAGACAATACTCCCAGTAACTTCATGCTATGGAAACAGGGATAAGCTCAAGCCAGATAGAACAACTAAGACTTTCCCTATCTCTTTATCTAAATAAAGTGCTTGATGATTATACTTACATAGGCAACAAAAAGAGAAGCACCACTAAGGATAGAATGATATTGAGAATTGTAACAATATCCTGTTTGATAATCAGTTATCAGTTTTACGGCAAAAGAACATACCTCCTGTCTTTTTTTCTCTTGTGTCATTTCCAATTCTCTTGTTAAAGCCTCAGTTTGGGCCTGATGTTCTTCAAAAGCTACTTGTCTGTCACTGTTCTGTTGGATAGCAACAGACAAAGCCTGAACAATATCTTGAGGAATGTTGTTCCCTGTGCAGATTTTTAATGAAATCAATCAAGCAAGCTGTCAAAAAATCTTGTTTAATTTGATAAAAGATTGTAACTTATTTACTATTTTGTGATAAACATTGCATGGAGTAACTTTCCACTGATTTTACTTTTGCTCTCAAATGTCTTCATTTTATAGCCATACACAACCTTACCTTTCTCCTCACTATCAAGAATTCATGTGTGAAGTTAGGTTCACAATGCAATAACTACACTGAGATTTTGTCCCTAAAATGTATATTTGGACCTATAACTAGGGGCTTTTTTTAAAACTATCAAACCTTGTAACCACCAGGTCTTGTTCCGACTTCTACTTTTTTTTTTGCTTTCTTTCTTTCTTTTTCTTTCTCTTGATGGAAATCCAGAGTTCGTACAAGCATAATCAACTTTCAAGGACAATAATCCCTCCTATCCTATCACAGAATTTCAAATGGGACAACAACATAAAATATCAAGGTCGTGAAAAATGATAATTACCAAGACACTTTTAAAGAATCCTTCCCATCTGTGATACATGAATGGTACCCCCAACTTCCCCTCAAAAGAGGACAGAAAACCTCACCTGTGAGTTCCAACCCCACAAGCCTTTTGTTAAACTTCAAAGCTTCCAGTAATTCCCTTCCACCAAGGAGGCCGACATTATTCCAGCGTAAATCTAGACCTCTTAAACATTGGTTACGTTTTAATGCAACAGCGATTTGACTTGCTCCTTCATGGGTAATCTGATTATTCCTCAAATCGAGAAATAATAACACTTGATTGTGAGCCAGTCCCTCACAAATAGCTCTCATTCCATTATCCCACAAGCCAAGCGAATTCCACTCGATAAGTAGACTTCGAACACACTCATTTCTCTTCAGGAACTGACCCAAGATTTCTGCAGCCCCAGCGCGAATGTTATTCCCTTTCAAGTTCAACCGTTTGACGGCCTTATTGTCTATCAAGCCTCTAAGAATGATTTTGCTTGATTCTTCGCTAAGCAAACAGTCGGAAAAATTTAGCTCTTCAAAGAACAGGTCATCCGTAAGAACGCTAACAAGTGCATTACAATCCTCTGGAGTGAGGTTACAACAGGAAAGATCTAATTTCGTCGCACTCTCAGGCGTTGATCTACCTTCACGAAACTGTTCGCCGTCTGAATAGCTTCGAATATGATTTAGAACACTTTCTAATGGAAATATATGATGTTCTCGACATATTGTAGAGTAGCGTTTGTGAAACTCTTCCATCTTCTTCAAATATTTTGCCTAGTACTCCAAAAACAATAAAACAACGCTGCAACAAGTGGTAACGGACTTTAACGGCCACTAGTTGAGTCAAGTACGTCAAATATGGCAATGGAAGTGTCCTCGGGAACACTTGGCGTGCAAAGGCGTGCATAGTAAATAGTCTTTGTTTGTTGTCATGGCAACAACACGAATGTTTACAGAACTTTTTTAATGGCCACTAGTTTGTTCATTTCCATGGTGTTTTTGTCGATGGGCTGTGACTCATCTAGGCTGTTTAAACTAGCCAAAAGCTCAAATTTCAAGGTGATTACAGGTAGTTTGTAATTAGAACCATTAGGAAACTAACTAAACTAAGGATAGTCATTCAATAATCAACAAGTGACATTCACCCCAAGAAGTCAGGATGCAAAAGAACAGCGGATGTGAAACAGTGCAAGTTAGTTATCGCTCCAAAGTTGAATTCAATGTAACGAAGGCCCTGATCCGTTCTCGAAGCGACTGTTTCTTGGAGTCAAAGCGAGCGCGTGAACGAATGCTTAAAGAAAAAGAATTTGAAAACCGAACTCCATGGGACATCAAGCCACCGGACTTCACACTTCAAATCTACCGTCCAAAGCCTCCCAAACGAAATACAAGAGAATCTATGATACCAGGTTACAACGAAGACGAGTGGAATGAAAGAGCAAAGGAGAGAAACAAACAGCGGATTGAATTTAAACCTATTTCTTTACCAAAAATCCTACAGCCCCCAGTATCACACAAGGTGCCTTTCTCCACTCAGTTTCGTATTCCGGACTCTCATGCTGCCAAAATCAAGTACGTTAGGGAAGGTGTACACAAACGTGATCCTTACGTTACACCGGGACCTCATGCCTTCAGAGGGGATAATTTCAGACCAGTAAGTTGTTATAGTTAAGTAACCAATTAAATCAAATATACATCTCATTATCTGTTTCATAAAATATAATTCCTGTTATTGTTATCAATATTATTACAATACTATTGAATGTTTTAAATCGTTTTGGTTGATTTCTTACATCCGTTCAGATTTTTTTCCCAAGAGCATTTTTTTGTTTATGAACGGTGGTGTATAAAACGCTAAAATAACGGCTAATTGCGTAATACATAAAAGAGCACCCTAGCATGAGTTTCACCCACGAAGTCATGATTCAAGACAGGGATAACTTAATGGCAGACTTTTTTTATCCTTACCCTCTCAATTCTTGGACAGGGGGGAGGTATCTCTCTCTCAGAACCTTTGATATTAAAAAGTTATTAAGACTAGATCAGCTTGTAGACATGATGGCACACTGTGCTAGGACATGAGGCAACTAAAACTTTTGCTATTCACCCTAGATGGGATGCCAGTTTATCATAAGTTTCGTCCCACATTTTATCTGTGTGAGAGTAAAGAATTTTTCCCAAGAACACAAAAAAGGGACCCAGTCAGGGCTCAAACCCCCTTCATTCCATCAGGAATCCAGTTCACTGGCTTAACTAACACATTTTCGACAAAAAAAATTTCTGCTGAATCTAGGCATATAGTAAGGAGAGAAACTTTCTCAAAAAATGCACATATTTTACATTTGTGATTTATAGCTGGAGAATCCAAAAACATATGGTTTGCCAGAGTTCGAGACTACTTATGATCACGATCCAGGAAATTTGAAGTTCAAGTCCAGAACATTGAATGTCTTACATGACCGTAAGTGTTCTAATGCACCTAAATGTAAATTATTCAAACTACAACTTCAGCAACATTCTCATTCTAAATGAAACATCAGTAATTTAATATTAACAGGTATTTCAATTGAGTATGATGAACATCATGAGGAAAAGAAAACAAAAATTTCAACACTTAAATTTATCTGTACTACAATTTTCAAATAGATAATTCATGCAAAATTATGATCTTCATCGCTAAATTACAGTCACTGTGTAATAAACATGATCCAGGCAAAAAAGAAACACAATTACCAACCTATTCTCAATAACCCTTTGGTGATGTTGCTATGATTGCATTATATGATTAATTATCAAATCAATCCCTTTTTTAGCCTATACAGATCAGTTTATAAATTGTAAGGATGGTTATAGAAAACAGATGATAACTTATAAAGAGGAGGAGTGCGAATGGGATAAGTCACTCATCTTATACAAAGGGGTAAGTGGTGTAAACTAAGTTGATGGAACACACAATTATTACTTATGTAAGCTATTTAATAATTCAGTGCCTTCTGCCAGGCCAATTACCTAGAGTTCCAACACCTCTCTTGCCTTCATCTGCACATCATGTTAACTCACTGCAGCAGCACTATTTGCTTTAGTGATTATGAATGAATAAAGAGAGATGGAGAGATAGATAGGAAAGTGAGATGAAAGAGGCTGGACTGTCATGAAACTGATACGAAAACAAATTTCTCTCATTTGACTGTCTTACTTTTACATTCCACTGTTTGTCTCATTGTGGATTTTAAATGGCATCAGAGGCATGTACAAGTACAATGCCTATTAGAACATAACACAATTTGCCTTGTCCCTTACTTAACAACACATGCTTGAAACTGTTCTCTGTTTCTCTTTCACGAAACTTTGCAGCCATACAAAAAGGGTCATTTGCCAGGAAGTGCTCTGATGAGACAGATAGCCAAACAGCTGCCATGGTGTTCACCCCAAGATAAGATTGAACAATTTTCAAGGCCAGACATTTTTGACAATAAAACAGTTGACTGGTTAGAAGTAACAGCACATAGCAAAGAACTCAACAGGATCTAAAAATTGACAAGAGCATGCAGAAATGTGCAGAGTAAACATGGTCCTAGTGTATGTAAACAATTGCGAATTACACTTCATAGTGACTGGCAAAACATGCTACAGCTTGTTGTGCATCAACAACAGCTTGTTGAACCTATATCAAAGACTGCAATAAGGGTTCTTCTACTGTGCAATAGCTAACAATTATTCACCAAAGTGGAGCCGCGAACTGGTGATCAGGGTAAATATCCACCACTTTCTCAAAAACCATGGTGAATAATTGATTCAGTAAATACCACACAGAAACTGAAAAGAATTAGTTTATTTCAGTCTGTAAATATACAAAAAAATGGTTGGAAATTGAATTATTGACATGCAATTTTGTCTCCTTGGTTGCTTGGAGGTGAATAGTGCTTGCTAATCATTTCTGAACCAGCTAATCATCATGCATGAAAAGAAACATTCACCTGTGAGGTATAAACTAATTCAAAATATGTCAGACTGGAAAGTGTTCACTCTCTGAAAGTTTATTTTTAAAAACAATCATGTCTCCCCACCCTTTGATAATGTGTTACAAACATTTTTATACAATCACTTACAGGCAAAAATGAAATGAACAACAAACTATTAATTTATTCTATTAGAAGTACATTTTTTTTGGTTATTGTTGCATTTTTTTCCAGATACCATGTACACAAACATAATATTTAAGAATATTTAAATTCAAATTTTTCTTGGTCAACATTAAATAGAACTTGATGTTTCTTCATCAGGAAGAGTTTCTGTAATAATTATTATTTATTACTAAATGTCTGCAATAATTATTATTTATTACTAAATGCAATGAAGCACAGCTATTTTGTAAACACAAGTTTGGGTATCAAAGTAACTTTTATCAATAAATATTTTCCTATTCTTCCCGATGATATGGGTTCACTTTAACATTAAAACTTCAACTTGCAATTTAAATTATCACAGATGATTCCACCTTCCACCTTTTGCACAAATGAATGATACAGTATGTTATAAATGTTTCATATGAGTAAGTACAAGATTTGATGATCACTCAATTAAATTCATTCAGGCTAGATTCATATTATGTGCTGCTGTTATACTACCAACTCAGCTGAGGTTACACATCTTAGGAGGGAGCTACACTTTAGTGGTTTTTGCTACTGGACCAGTAAAGGAACAACTACATGAAATACATCACATTTTGAACTAAAAACCTTAAAAATGTACGGAAATGATTCTTGCAACTGAGTTGCAATGAAAGAAATTGCAGATAAGAAGCCATAGGAAAAATTTAGCCTTTGACAGGATTCAAAACCATGCCCCCAAGATACTAGTTGAGCACCTCTACTAACTGATCTGCCAATCAACATGTGTTGGGGGTGGGGCAAATTTTGGAACTTCTTTGTTCTCATGGGGGAGTCCAATCACAACCAAATAAAATATATTATCTTATTACCTGTGGATGATACACAAGTAGAGAAATGAATCTCACAGGTGAGCCACACTTAAAGAAATCCCAGAGAGGAAGCCTGAATTTTTTCCATTTCTTCATCCTGCACACATTCCTACACTTAATAATTGGTTCATACGTCAGTATGTGTTCATCGAGATATGAAGCACACAGAAAGTTTGGAGAGCACGAAAGATGCGTAAGAGTTGCTCAGAGCATAGCCGAGAGTAACTCTAGCTTCGTGAGTGCTCTCTAAACTTCCCAAGTGCTTCATATCTTGATGAACGCATAGCTGACATATGAACCAATTGTTTTATAACATTTTCAACCCAATGGAAAATTTTCTTCTCGAGGGATATGTTTGTTGACATCATGAGCGTGCACAATAGGAATATGAAGCACGCTCGTGAAATTGAATTTGATTAGACAAATTTACTAGCTATGTTATAATAATAAACATTGCGAAAGTTTTCAAAGTTTCTTGAATTAAATATAACATCATTTACAGAGGAAAATTTACATTTCCTGGAGACTCTTCGATAGAAAATCTCAAAATACAATGAGAATGAGCCTGCCTGTCTTTGTTCAAATTTGAAATGAATTTAAATAACTTCAACAAGTCCACAAACATCCTCGAATATAAGTTTCTACTTTTGGCAGCTGTCATTATGATGAACTCTCATGCAAAATGAATCAGGTTGATAATCTTTTTCATTATAAAACACAAAAGGTGAAGTTTAAAGGTATAGCTATTCTTTAAACACAACATGTAGAAAGCTGCCATATACGTCACCACAACTGAGTCACAAGTACAGTGTCAATTATGAAGCTGTTTCATCTTCTGCCAATATCTTGAGACTTCTACACCTTCCCAGGAAAGATTACCACATGGCTCAAAAATACTGCAAGAGATAGCATTATAACAACATTGTCTCATGATGCACTTCAGTAATGTAAATGGCATGTCCCACAGCCTTCCATTAGTTTTAACCACCTTTTCAAAACCCAGAGGAAAATTTTGATGCTGAATGACTTTTCCATTACTGCTTTTTACATGGCTGATGAAATGTAAGTGTAGTTATCCTAGATGTAGTAATATTTTCTATGTATCATCTTTTTCCTTCCAAAAGTGACCACTTCAAAGTTCTGATGTACATGTAACTACTAGCAACACATACACAATAATCATTTAAGACACCTTAAAAGCCTCTAATAAGGATGGTATTACTGTTACACTTTTACACATAACACAAACAATTTTCCTCCATTTCCAGAAATCATCTTGAATGAATTGCTCCTGACCATTTTACGGATGCATTTCTAGACTTGTGTCATAAGTACAGAGCTATGACTGAAAATTTAGTCTGTGGTAGATCTTGCCTCTTGTAGGCCACCACATACGCTTGACATTTTATTTTTTCCCAGCAAGTTATTCCACTTTAATTTCATCACATTTCATTCAAAAGGGAAAAAGAAAAATCAACATACTTGTCCCTTATATACAGTAGACATCTGCTCTCAGCATCTGATAACTTTTGACTAACTGCATCAATATTCTTCTGCAGATTTTGAATGCTAGCAGTGCTGACCAAAGTAGTTGGAATTTCTTCAAAACCCAAAGTGAAATGAAGTGCAAGCTTGGAAATATCGACCCCTTGTTCCTTCAAGAAATGGGTGAAAAAAAAAATTTTTTAACATGAATCAAAGCAGGTAAAACAAGCTTTGCACAAAGATAGCTGTCTCAAAATCATAGAACAGAGAAATCTCAGGCAAAAAACTTTGACAGCCCAGACAACTCTAAAACATTATTGGGTGATATTTCTATGATTGCTATCAGGCAGTGTTAGTGGCAAATTCATAATTATTGATTTTACTGAGTGGAAGTCTCTTGTTTAAGTAGAGACTATTCTTGAAAAAGCAAACAAACAAGCACAGTGCAAAACAACAACAACAACAAAAAAAAAAAGATTGAAATATTTTCTATTACTATAATCAGTAACTAACATACATAGCAATTCTTAGAATTTGTTCTGAAAGGAAATGTGTCATGGCAGGTGTCCCCCAGAGATCTCTGCTTAGTCCATTGTTATTCAACAAATATATAAACGAAGTAAACTACAGTGTTCTGAACATGGTACTAAAACTATATGCCAATGATGCCACTAGATACAATTCTGATCCTTTGTCTTTAGCTCTACAGTTCATGGTCAATAAGAACTTGTATATGTTTTCTACAAGGTTTGAGTAAAATTTACTCAACTAAAAACTCCACGACACAAGCTATGATCCTTGGCTCATCTACATACAAGCATGATCTTTTCATCAACAGAATGGAGATCAAAGTGAAGCCTACTCTCAAGATTCTAGGAGTAATATTGGATAGGAAGATTTCTTACAAGGCACATATTTCAGCAAAGTTAGCAAGCATTTATTCCAAGACCTCAGCTCTTAACCCTTTAACTCCCATGAGTGACCAAGACAGAATTTCTCCTTACACTATCAATACAATATTAACCAGATAAGCGATGAGAATACAGAAAGATATCAATTTGGGGATAATTAGCTGATAAATTAATTAGCAGGATAAATTCTCTGAACTAACATTATAGGAATTGTATGGTTGACAGTAAGAAGAATGACAAATTTGATCTGGGTAAACAAATATCTCACTTTGTTCCCATGAAAACTATGATTCTCCTGTAGAGATATTTCTAGTTCCATGTTTAAAATATTGTAATACAGTTTTAGTTTGTCTTGGTTAGGTGCAGAGCAATAGACTCCAAGATGCTAACTATTATATCTTAAGAATTCTATTTGGGACTAAGAATGAAAGCTAAGAAACCTTACTGAGTCTTGTAGGCATAAATACTTTGAAACACTATTGTTATTACCAAGCTCTGGTCTTGATTTATAAATATCTTAACTCAATAGGTCCAAAGTACTTTGCCAATTTTCTGAATTTAAGGGATGTATGTTATAATGTAAGGGATAAGGGAAGTAACTTGGTACAGCCTCCTTTTAACACTGAGTGGATGCAAAAATCTTTTCCATTTATAACTTGCAAGCAGTGGAACAAGCTAATGTTATATACTGGGAACTCAGATAAACTTCAAGTGTTTATTAAGGCTCTTCATAAGTTCAACTTAGAATCTTAATAGTAGTTTCTGTCTTGCATACATTATTAGGTTATTTTATCATTATCACTTTTCTCTATTCTATTTTATTCTTTGCTATCATAGTTTGTGACTTTTCTAAATGTTCTGTCAAATTTTAGCACTTTTTGAATAATGAACTTATATTGAAGAAAATAATGTAAAATGGTTTCCGTGTTTACATAACCTGATGTAAACACGCGGGAGGTTGGGAGAACACAAGATAAGCATAGGAAACCACAACACAAAGCAGAGTGGTTTCCAGTTTATCAAGTGTTCTCCCAACCTCCCAAGAGTTTACATCAGGCTAAAAAGTATGTGAACACGAAAACCATTTTACATTTCTTTTATAAAATAACTAATGAAAGAGGAACAAAAACCGTGTTTACATATGCTCATGTAAAATGGTTTCATGGCCAATCAGAGCACGTGTACTATTTGAATTATTTTATAATAAATGATGTATCTTTAATAAAGTAGGTATTACATTTTAATAAGTAGTTTAAGTTTTTCACTTAGGTTTTTGTAATTTTTTTCCACACATGCACATTCGAACAAGTTTTTTTAGACTCTTAGGTGTTAACGTTTATAACTAAAATACTTAGTTACTAAATAAATATGAAAAAAATTCACCCAGTTATAATTGGCAGGGGTTACTTCAATGTACCCAACCCTTTACTTTTAAATGCTGACAGTTCATGGAATAAATAAGGACTATAATGCTAAAAAAATCCTTCTAAAATTAATGAAATTATAAGGGTATACTGAATGCATTTTAGACCAACACACCTGACAGTAATCAACAGCCTCGCTGCATTTTTTCCGTACAATTTCCCCAGCTGGGTGCCATGAGGGAGGCCCACGGTTTGACAATAATCCCATTGATACAGGAGAAGCATTTACAACTCCAACTCCACTCTCCTAAACAACACAAGAATTAAAACATGAAAAAATTTGAATGACCTAAAGAGGAAAAAAAATGAAAAATAATATGAAAAGTTAACAACAAACGCTAATCATATGCCAAAGAAAAACCACAAATTTAATGCAATGGGCTGCCTGATTTATTTCCTTTTTTTCTTTTCCTTTCTTTTTTGCTTCATATACTGTTGGTAGTGATTAAAACTACCTTGTTTGTACCTGAAATTGTTATACAATAGATTTGGTCCTGAACCTGCTCATATTGTAATCCTAAGATCAGAAGAGTATCATTCACTGATGGTGGAGTAAACATTTGTTGGCCAAGTTAAGGGAGAGAAAAAATTCCCAAAGCCTGAGGGAAAGAAAAGCTATTACCACCATTTCAAGATTCAGACAAGTGATGATAATCATTTGCTTACTTTTGGAACATTTCACCTTGAAGATAAACAATTTGCCTTAGAACATTTATAATTAATAAAATTGATAAGAACTTTCAAAAAATGATCAAAATTGACAAAATTAATATACAGAAAAGGAACTCAGCCTTCCCTAATAAAACAATATTTGTTTTAGTGGTGGTGTGTTTGGGGTCAGTTTTGAGACAGGCAGCATACTGAGGAGATTTGCTTTTAAATGTAGCATGGAAAGCCAATTTAAGCACATTTTATTTCCAACCAGTTGTCATGATAGAGTTGCTTTAAATCTTACTTTAAAAAAGTTCATATAATCTAGCAATCCAACGTCATTCAGAGAACAACGGCAATATGTCAACACTGTGTCAATGTTTATTTTACTCCTTTCCAGAACAGTCCTGAAGATGAATGAAACAGTAATCAGCAAAAAATGAAAGAAATTTTCAGAAATGTCTGACTCTGAATTGGGTTCAACCACCAAGAATACTGTTGAGTAAGATATAAACTATATCTGAATGTAGTTTAAAATGAGTTGCAGGTAAGAAACCTTGTAAAAACCTTGTAAAAAGTTTCAATTTTTTTCCTCAAGATACATTAAACTACAACATATGTATTCACCGAAAGTTTTCTAATGGATATCCTGTTATCCCAATAAACTTCACTTTCCCACTGTCTTTGAGCTGAAACCATAGAGAAAATTAATAATTAACAAGAATATGTAATGAAAACAAAACACACTGAACTTAAAGATTTTGGCAAATGACATATTTCAACAGTTTTGTTTGAGATTAAATTCAAACTATGTAATTAAATATTGGAGTACAATTATACCAGCCTGCTATTGCACTATTTTTGTTACTATTCTTAATACCGTAATTTCCGGTCGATTACCCGCACGGCCGATTACCCGCACCGGCCGATTATTGCATACGGCGAAAAAAAAAGTCAACGGATTACCCGCACCGGTGGATAACCCGCACGTTGTTATTCAACTTTTTCGGTGGCGAAAACGTGACATTAAGGCGATACATTTCAGTCTTTCGATTCAGACATGTGCACAATTCTGTGTCAATATTAGCTTATACTTTATTGATTGATTATTGCTGCTGCTCTATTACCGATTTCATCGGCAAGAGTTATTACTCTAAGCTTATAATCAAACGTAAAACTGTGACGTGGGCGTTTCACAGCAGGCATTTTAACTTAATTGGTGACTCGTAGATACACTTATCGCGAATGATCGAGGTTTATAATTCTTATTCAGTCAGTTACCTTTTTATAGCATGTAGGAGCGTAATGAGCAATATCCATTGTTCATTTGTCGTTAAAATACTTTTTCAGCGCGAAATTAGTTAAGTTTCGCACCTATTATTTTCAACATTCTGGTGATGCATTTGGGATTTAAAATTACTGTCGGCAATTTCTCAAAAAAATCGATATCTCCTGTTCTACTGGGCCTAACAAGTCCCTTAAAACGGGAAAATTCTCTTTAGCTCAAGCTAGTGAAAACTGGAAATTTGTTACTGATGCGCCGGATATCCTTGGATTATTTTTGTCACCATCAAGGTTTTGTTTGTCACGCAACTAATTATGCGTGAAATAAACTCGAGTTGGCATCATGTTTTCGTGCCGCTTTGTGGCACTTTTGATACAATAAAATTCATTTGAGAGGTGGAAACGCAGGTAGGTGAGAAATTTTTTCAATTCAACTTCCAGAAGAATTTAAAATTGTCACATAACCCGCACCTCCCTATTACCCGCAGTGGCGCGGATTTAATGCAAAATCAACAGATTACCCGCGGGTAATCGACCGGAAATTACGGTACTTCTGATAAAAATCTTGTAGAGGTGATGGGTAAACAAATTACCATAAGTATATTGTAAAGCATCAATTCAATGCAAGTACCTTCTGAAGGGCAGGTAATGTCTCACTGATAATCATGTCCAATGAAGGAGCAAACTCCATATCATGAACCTGTACTGACAGGGAATTCACACTAAAAATGGTTATTGTTATTACTAGTGCAAATCAGTGATTTCTGAAAAAATAAAAAACTGTGAAATTATGGCAATTATAAAAGATGTGTTTTATAAAGCAATAAAAGATTTCAGTAGAAGGGGAAGTCATGTTATAAGATATTTTGGTTACAATTAAAGCTTGACTGACATCACATTGAGCTGAGCAACAGTTTCGCCCACAACACAAGTTAATATAAAGCTTAGAAAGTGATATGGGCAAATTACATTATTGCAATTGTACACAGTATATTTTTTGAAAATTATAGAGACACATTTCAGCTCGCATGCATCCTTGAGCTAGGTAAAGAGAAATATCATTTCCTAGGGAGTTAACATGGTCTGTGATAGAAAATTGGCAGGAAAACACAAATATGATCCTTTCCCTGAAATGCGAGCTTTTGCAAGTCAAACTAATTGGGATTCCTATGATATACCTTTGAAAATCCTAATTTCCAGTTTGAAAAACTTCAATTACATCCTGACAGTTTTCAATTCTGCAGAGCAATACCTGAATAACATCTATGTAATCCAGACCCAGTCGCTTCAAGCTTTCTTCAACACTTTGTATTGTTCTTTCAGCAGAAAAATCAAACATCTTTTGCATGTCAGGCTCATAGCGACACACCTATGAAAAACACGAAAAGGCATAATACATCTACATAACAAAAATGTATCAGGCTTGAAATGAGATCATTAATGTAAACATTTGAGATGAGTAGTGACTCCAACTGGAGAGTAAAACTTTCGATTACAAACACTTTCTGATAGGCATTATTCCACCACTTCTCAACCATGCGACTATTAAAAGTGGTGCTGTCAAACACAATAGCTATTAATATTTGTAAACAGTTTTGAAATTCTTAAAACATTTGAAACTAATGCAGATCTGTATTTCTACTTGGATCAAGGAAGCATTCATCTTTCTTTTCACAAATGACGATGCTTACTTCAATGATCCAAGTTTTAAAAAAGGCAAAATAAATGTTACCTTGGTGGTGATGTAATATGCTTCTCGAGGTATTTCTTTCAAGGCCTGAATATAAAACAGAAAAGATAAATTCCTGTGGTATAGCCTAACAAAAACTTGCTGCCAGTCCTTACTAATGGTGTCCATCTCACAGAGAATGGGTAATAAAGAGTAGTTACTGTAATAAAGAACAAAACAACTAACCAAACAGCAAATAAATACAAACCTTGCCTAAAACAGTCTCTGCTTTACCATGGCCATACCACGGAGCAACATCGATGTAGTTGATACCACTTTTTATTGCATGATGCACTACTTTAATGGACTCTTCATCATTAGTTTCCCTAAAGACACTTCCAAGTGATGATGCTCCTGTCATTATTTAAAGCAAATAGTAATTTTTTAGAATGAAATTGACACGTCACCTTGTTGCAAGATATAAAAATTCATATTATTTGTTATCTATATTTGAATAGAAAAATTGAAATTTTCACACTTACTATTTGTGCAATTGATACGTAATCATAATTTGTATTTTAAGCAAAGCCTTAATTCACAATTCTCATATTTCTAAAATTCAATAGCTTCAGGGAAATATCACAACAGTAGAACAGAGCAATATCAAAAATGGCACTTGTCTCAGCTTTGGTTAAAATTTGTGTATTAATTACCATTCTGAAACCGTTAAGAAGAAAAAAAGTTTTTGATCTGACTTTAGCAAAGGTTTACCATATTTTTGTTTAAGGTCTATGGATTCCCTGAGAAAACACTGTTAAAATGCTGCATTCATTTAAAGATGCAGATGCAACACCTATCAGGGAAAAGAGCATATTGATATTTGGCTTTCACAAGCAGTGCCTCTCCTTAGGTGATCCAATAAGGAGGATGCAAAGTTGAATTAATCAAATTTATCTTAAAATAAATATAAATGTGGTACACAACGATACACAGTACCTTAGCAACATTATTTTTGGCTTTGTCTGCCAAACACAGGCTTAGAGTGCTTTATTTTCCTTTTTTTTTTTCACTTCTGCATTGTTTCAGAAGTTTAGAGTCACTTTAATTATTTTATAATGTAAGATAGCTCTGAACTGTTTCTATACTTTAAACTAATTGCAATTGAACTATACAAAATGGGAGTGACTGAATTTGTTTTAGAATGCACATACAGCTACAAACATGGGTGTTTCTACTATACTATACGGTTGCTATGGTGGCTTATTGGTCACAAAAGCCTCACTTACATGTAACGGTAGGCTTTGAAGATTGAGGCACAACACAATAGACGCTATTCTTATTCAGTGACATGTAAATGAGTGGCCGGGTATTCTGCAGTTGCTCCATCATAAATTTCTCCTAATGAGGTGAATTTGTTTCACAATCAAGAGCATCCTTCCTTGGTGATAATTCACTTTATTCTCGTGACCTCAATGAGTGATTCAGGGGTACCGCTGACAGAAGAAATTGGATGATAGTTACTCTTATGGGTCAAACAATTAAGGTGAATTCCTGATGCAAATATTCTGTTTGGTTCTGCTCAACCAACCGCCTCGTTTAAAATGCAAGATTAAGATGGCCGCAAGCCCTGTGTCGCTCTTACGCTCAATGACGTTTTGCTACTTTCCTAACACAATATATTTCCTTTTTCAACATCATACATAACATGAAGTAATGATTAACAAACTGTATCTTACCAAAGCTCAATTTAGACACAATCATCCCTGTCTTGCCGAGCGGTTGATATTTCATTTTTCTAACGGCCTCCACACTGTGGAACGTTTCCAAAAATGTGTTCGGTAAATCGTTCATCATCATATTCAACTGAAAAATCACAACTTTTCACTAAAGAACAAAACAATTTTGTATATTAAAGAAGAGCTCCTATGGAATCGCTTTGACAACGTACACGTGGATCGTTTTGTTCAGATGTGACGTGACATTACGTGACATTACGTGACACTACTATTCATCACGATATCTGCGTGATCACGAGTCTCGCTCCCATGTTCTCCTAGACGTGACGTGTCTGTTCTACAGACAGTGATTAAATCAATTATCAATTAAAGCAATTATCGATATAGGAATTTTCAATTGCGCATTACAATTAAATGTTAAAAATTCAACCCTACATAGATACAAAAAACTAAAAAAAAAAACTAGAAAATAAAAAACAAAATAAAATAAATAATAAAACTGTTCACTAAGAAGATGTAAAAATATAAAATTAGATGCAAAGATTGGTGTTTCTGATAGAGCCCAAAAGCTCGTTCCACAACTTCGGGGCGGCCGCATGGAAAGATTGATCGCCGAGCGTGGTGAGTGTTTTACCCTTGCGAGGAGCAAGGAGTAAGCCGTCATTGGAACGTAAATCATATCTTCTGGTTTCTCTAATAGAAATCAACTCACTTATGTAGGCCGGGGCAAGATCATGATTGCTTTAAAAGCAATTAAGATCATTTTTAAAAACTATGCGATATTTTACAGGCAGCCAGTGTAGTGACTTGAGCAGAGGTGTGATATGACAAATTCTGCTCTCCTGGAATATGAGGCGAGCAGCTACATTCTGGACTCTCTGTGATTTGTGAAGATGGCACTCAGGAACTCCAAATAGGAGGCTGTTACAATAGTCCAAGCGGCTGAAAATAAAGGCATGAATAAGTGTCTCCGTGCATTCTTTTGTTAAATATTTTCTAATTCTTCTAATGTTATAAAGATAGTAAAACGCTGCAGAACAAGTCTTGGTGATATGATTAACCATAGATAGGTTTGAGTCACACCAGACTCCAAGGTTTTTAACAGGAGAATGCGGAGCTATATTTACTTTGCCAACTTTAATGCATCCAATATAAACTTTGGCGAGCTGCTGCTTCGTGCCAATTAAAAGAAACTCAGTTTTTTCTTCGTTCAACAATAGTTTATTCTCACGCATCCAGCACCTGATCGCCTTAGTACAACACTCAATAGCAGTGTTGGCATCCAAGTGACCTGTCTCATCTGCGGGGCGGAAAGAGACGTAAAGTTGGGTATCGTCTGCGTAGCAGTGAACAGATGGAAGATATTTTTCGTCGACGTCTAGTAACGAGCTCGTATAGATGGTAAACAAGAGCGGTCCTTAACAGGAGCCTTGGAGTACTCCGCAGTTCAAATCCTCTTCGACGGACACCCACGAATTAATATCCTCTGACTGCGCCCTGATGAATACAATCGGAACCACTTGGACACCCTGCCCCCAAGTCCCAGCGTATTGAGTGCCTCCAGCAAGATATTATGCTCCACTGTATCGAAAGCAGCACTAAGATCGAGTAGCACTAGAAGGGTTACATGTTGTTGATTCACCCCGTAAGCTGATTGAGCGTTCGGGTATAGATTCGTGTCGACCATGTGTTCGTGTATCTGATGGAAGACTGCTTTCTCAATGAGCTTCGATAAGAAAGCCAAATTGCTTACCGGTCTGAAATTCTTGAATATGATATCAAGACCAGGCTTTTTGAGTAACGGACATACTAATGCCTCCTTCCAGGACTTAGGAAAGTGTCCGGCTTCTAATGATTTGTTAATGATCGTAGTAATGACGGGAAGAAGAGCATCACATCTGCTGACCAAGCGAGAGGGCATTGGGTCGAGTGGGCAAGACTTCAATGTTGAGTTATGGATAAGCGACTTAACACTGTTGGCAGACAGAATCTTGAATGCAGATAACGATGGAGTCGACCAAGTAGAGCCATCAGCAGTAGTGGATGTGAAGGCAGGTAAATCTGTAATATCAGCATCGATTTGTCTCTGGATTGTATCAATCTTTGACACAAAATACTTTCCAACTTCGTTTGCGAAAGTAGGGGCGTGCAGATTCGGAGGTAACTCATCGCCCTGCGACTGATTAAACAGGCGTTTACTAGCACGAAACAACGTTCGCTGATTACAGCTGTTATCCTCGACAAATTTAGTGTAAAACGCCTGTCGTGCCTTGTTCATAAGATTGTTGACAGTATTGCGCTTAACTTTGAAGACAGCCAAGTGGGAATCAAGTTTCGACAATCTCCATGTTCTTTCAGCTTTCTCTTGGCTTGCCTGATTTCATCTGTGTACCATGGAATTTGCGGACACACAACAATCGTTCGAGTCTTAACAGGGGCATGTTTGTCCAGCACAGCTATTAGGGTTTTGTTCTAGGACAAAAGAAGTTCCTCGAGGTCGTCCGGTGGATTTTTGCATAGCTCAGACTTAGCTAGGTCATTATTCAGGGAATCCACGTTCACTGATTTTATTTTCCTATTTCCCTGTGTTCTGTAACAGCGACTAAGTCAGCTTTACACTCGCAAATATAATCGAAAAAGGCCGCTGATTGGTGATTGGTGTTGGTTGCGATACAAATGGGTAGAGTACCTTCTCTCAGAAATGCGCACGGGAATATTTGAATTGACAAGTGGAGTGGAACCGACTGATCGCTGATTGTTAGAGACATGAGTAGGGTCAAATTTCTTCAGACCATTTTCCCAGTCAGGATTTACTTCGATATCTCAAGACAGAAGTAAGCAATGCGGCATTTAGAAAATTTGCACTTTCTCGCTCGGTGATATACTTTTGGCGTTTCAGGCGGATGATAATCGCCAGTTAGTCAGTTGATGTAGGAAGTGCGAACAAAGGCCAATCAAGGCAAACGTTGGAAGTACGAACAAAGGCCAATCAACGCAAACGTTAACACCTGTTATTGTTGTAGGAAGTGCGAACAAAGGCCAATCAACGCAAACGTTAACACCAGTTTTTATTGTAGGAAGTGCGAACAAAGGCCAATCAACGCAAACGTTGACACCAGTTATTGTTGTAGGAAGTACGAACAAAGGCCAATCAACGCAAACGTTAACATCTGTTATTGCTGTAGGAAGTGCGAACAAAGGCCAATCAACGCAAACGTTAACACCTGTTATTGTTGTAGGAAGTGCGAACAAAGGCCAATCAATGCAAATGTTGACACCTGTTATTGCTGTAGGAAGTGCGAACAAAGGCCAATCAACGCAAACGTTAACACCAGTTCTTGTTGTAGGAAGTGCAAACAAAGGCCAATCAATGCAAACGTTGACACAGTGGAATACAGTAGTCTGCTCTTGGAAAGCTTTCGCTAGCCACTATCGGCGAAGGAGAAATGTAACCATTTTGACTCGAAAGTTGGATATTTCCATTCTCTAACATCGCTTCACTGAACTCTTTACCATTACTCATCCTTGTGTAGCTTTTTCAGTTTTAAACAGCTTCCCAGTGACGCAAGTCATTAGTGTGACGCGAATCGCACTCCAACATTTTCTGTAGTTAATATTAATTTCAAATCTTTTCGGTGACCTGTAGCAGTTGTAAAATGAGAGTATTGGGACAGGTAAATACCACAAAAAGGATGAAAAGGTAGTCCGGGACAATCCCAGACCACTTTTTCATACTTACCCTTTAACTTCTCCCAGAACTCTCATTTTACAACTACCAAAACACCTTTTATATTTCTCCTTCCTCAATCTAACATGTCATAATTTTTTCACATTTTAAATTTTCAATCTTCAGTATCTCATCATCCTCAATAAATCCAACCAAGTGATTTTAGTTTCATACAACAGGATCAGCATCAATATTGTATCTTCTTATGAAGAAGTCATGGTATGACTTGATTTGTTCTTCTGTCAAAAGAGAGTCTTTGTAAAAGTATGACCGTTTTATTAATAGGTCACACTCTCAAGCTCTCGGTTGATGATGCTTAGCTGAGTATCTGAGAGGATGAAGATGTGGCATTTCACATTAACTGAACCCAATGCTTTGATGTTAATTGCGAGCTGAACTCCTTCCTTCATATTCACCAATCTCAATCCTGAACCATGAAGATCAATGTCTCTCATACTCCTGCGATTGATGAAAAGACTGAATCTAACTCGTGCATAAACGTCTGTTGCATTCATTGCACTGTTTTCTTCATTAAATCTTCTGAAAACTTCCTCTCACATATCTCTTGTCCTCATTCCTTGACTGTAAATCTTATCCGGGATTCCATTCACAATCACCTTCACCTCAGTTATGTCAGGATTGAAATGCTTTTCAATATCTCTTGTTCCTGCTGCGTATGGCTCGTAAAAGAGAAGTCCCTTCATTGACCTCCTTGAGGCATTTCCTGTTTCACTGATTATTGTGTCAGTTCTTTTATCTAATGTCTTGAGACGAGCAACATGCTTGTACATGAATTTCTTTCCATTTCTTTAGTAAGACAATACCTCATCAGCGAGTTCTTGACTGTAAATAACTACATACTCAAGCTGGAAGTTGGTCAAATCACAGGCAAGATTTGCTGGTTTGGATTCTTTCACACCACTACCAACAGGTGCAAGCCTGATTTCTTGTAGAACCATTGAGATCTAAAGGAACTGATAGCATAACAAGTGCAGCTCCCTTCTTTGTTTTTTCAAATCTGTTCCTAAATTGATTGCTCAAATATTGGAGAGATACACCGCAAAAACAACTGGGTCCGTCACTTTAGTTCAAGTAATGTGATGATGGTCTTTATACAGTGTATATACACTGAGTCTAATGTGGGCAAAGGGGTTGTTGATCTCTCAGATAAAAAAAACTAAAACCCACAGAGGGAGAGTTATGTGATACTACAAGGAGAATGTTGCAGATGCCTGAGCAAGTCCTTGGTGCCTGAAAAGAAAATCCATCAAATCACCTTAACCTTTCACACCGTAACATTAGTATGCATATTCTCCATACTGTTATCTACATGTCCCCTAACTTGCTGACAAAGAGAACCTCTTTAACAATCAGAGCTTCTTTAGTTAGAGATAATTTACTTTATTCTCAAGACCTTAATGTGCGACTCAGGGGTGATATTGTAGGGAGAAATTAGATACGAGTCACTCTTAGGGGTAAAAGGTTAATAGAACTTACAGTTACTA